AGAAGGTTATGTCGACTACTTTCGAGCTTCCAATTCACCTTTTTTCTTAAGTTCTTCAGACGATCCATGTCACACTATACACAATCACTTGTAATATGAAATATTTTTAACTTTTGATCCCCTGATGCAGTCTATGCAATCCTCTTTCGTTGCATACACTTCTGAATCGTAATCTGTACTGAATACACATGCACTACGGAGTACGGACTAGTAGGTTAAAAAGCACGTGTTAAGGAGGTACCTCCGACTACTACTCTAGTCAAGTTCTCGTAGTCGCTCGTATGGTAGAAGTAACTACAACTAGAACTAACCCAACTAAAAAAGTTCCTAGGCAGGCCCGTCTGCTCGTTGTTCGCAAATCGCATACTACATTGATTAGCTTTTGTATGCAGGTTATGTCGCTCGTTTACCGTCGCCCGAGATTTCCACTGAAAATCACTAGAATGTGCATTCGTACATAGTTTTCAATTAATTACACAGTACTCATGTAGTGAAAGTTTACAAAACTTTAACACGAGGTACTGTGATAGTTCATAGAAGGGCTCAAAAAATTTCACGCAAATCCGTTTTGTAAATTATGAGATATGCCAAAACTATCGCCATTTGCATCGGAAACAATGTTAAAATATTTTACTCATATCTCTTAAACTAAGTAGTGAAATTACACCAAATTTTCACAGTACATTCCTATTATAAAAATGAGCATGTCTGCATAATTTGGTTTGATTCCGTTTTGTAATTGTTCGACGGAGGTACCTCCTTAAATACCATCGTTGGGAAGAGGACGTCTACACGAGACACGAGTAGTTAAAACCACTGATGAAAAATTTGAGGCACATGCGTATTGTGTACGCAGCGGCGGCGCTCAAGTGGCAGATCCGGTAAATAGTAGATTCCGCAGTGAGCGCGAAGTTCAAATTAGTATAAAAATGTCAATTAAAATATACATTATACATTTTTTGGCATTTATTAAAAAAAAATATGATTGCAGCTCTAATATTGTGCTGACAAACCTGAAAAAATTATTAACATTTTTTCATAACTAAACCATGACATTTTTTTTACGAGCCACGTTTACATTTCGAACATTTTAAAAATCCTAATATATATCATTCTGAATTGTAAACATGGCTCAAACATGATAATAATATCGGAACTATAAAACAAAAAAGTGAATAGAGTTTTTAATATTATACAAATTTTCTTAGTAATACAATGAATGCGTGGTAGAAATTTCCAGGCGATCAGTTGGATAGTTTTTGAGATCATGAAAGACAAACAGACATGAAATTCGTTTTACATTAGATAATTTTTTTGAAAAAAATACTTTTTTTTTAATAATTTTATTAAAATTTTTTTTTATACTTTTTCGGCCATTGAGAACTAAACGATACCCATGCGCCCCCTGGTGGATCAGTGGGGAATTGAGGCAGATGAGTAAATTTTAAAAAATAACATGTAAAAATGGGAAAAACTGTAAATAAAAAATGCTAGCGATAACAATGTTCATGTTTATCATTCTTAAAACGAAGATCAGACCCGCACATAATATTAGAAACAATAAAATTCTTGAAAAGTTTGATCTGCGGGTCTTGAATAGTAAAATGAATGTAGCAAAATTTCGCGGGAGTTGCCGTCGCCACCGCAAGTTGATTGATATTTGCGATTCTTTTGTTTTTTATTTATCCATTATTCTACTACATTGTGTTCACGCTCATCATATCATAAATATATTATCGAGATATAAGCTAAAAATGAGTAATATAGAATTAGAAATAAGCTTTGAAGATATTTATACGATATTAGGGGATTCAAAGCGACCTATAGTCGAAGGTATAGCCGTTTTATTAGCCGATCACATTTTATTGTGCGTACTATAAAAATAATTATGCAAATGTTAATTAGATAAGCATTTAATGATTGATCTTCAAAAAGGATTTGATACAAACCTGGTAAAAAATCTTCAGGTAAAAAGTGATGGTTACATATACGAGCATGCACTGATAAATTTTTTACTTTCAGAGCCAGTAGCCACTTAATTCTGAACGATCTTTTGGTGGTTTATGGAAACTAATACAGTCTTCGTGTGCCTTTTTTTGTACATCCCTGTACACTGCAATACACTGGTTTTTTAAGTTTATCTATGTCAAATATAAAAAAATTTAGTGAATCTTGGCAATGTCAACAAACGAACGGCAAATGCTCAGCAGACACCAGTAGGGTGCTACTTATGCTGTTTTCGAAACTGCTGTCAGTCGTGACTTTTAATTAGTGTTATTTTAAAAATGTGACAATTTTTCAAGAATGTTATTGTTCCTAAAATTATGTGAGGGGTTGATCTTTGTTTTAAGAATGATAAACATCCACATTGTTATCGCTGGCATTTTTTATTCACAGTTTTTCCCATTTTTACATGTTATTTTTTAAAATTTACTCATCTGCCTCAATTCCCCACTGATCCTCCAGGGGGCGCATGGGTATCGTTTAGTTCTCAATTGGTTGTTGTTAATGGAGCAAAATATATCTGTGGTGGAAAGGGCTAACGAGATAACTCCATTTTTCGTGTTTTCGAGAAAAACGCATTTTAAGTTGCGCACGAAGGCCTAGCTAGACGCGGACGACTAAAGATCTGTACCTATAATATTTTTTTACCTATTATGAGGTATCTTTTGAACTATGTACTTGTGCAATTGAAAGACACATCATAGTGATGATACGGAGCAAAAAATATGGACTTATCTCGTTAGCCCTTTCCCCGCTTAGCAGATAAGTCCACTTTTTGCGGTCACACTTTTTTCAATATCGATAATTTCGCTTAGTTTGTGATCAAAACCTCATGTAATGATTTTACATTGATAAAATAGCTCATTTAACGTTATACTGGTGTCAGATCTCAAATCTTGCAACGAAAAAAGGCCACACTGAAAATCGCGAAAATGGCCCCTCGTGTATCAAATGTAGGGTAAACCTGCCAGTTACCGGACACTGCTAGTTTTCGGACACTTTCAACTTTGAGTTAGAATAATAAGAGAACGCTTACTTCTAGCGATGCGCGGTTTTTTTTAATGAATTCAGCATGCAATTTTCTTCAAAATGACATAGTTCAAAAAAAGATTGGTTCATTATATCAATTATAATTAAGTTAGATTTGCAGGCTACTTCAACAATATATGATAAATTGACAAAATTAACGAAAATCCATTAGTAAGTGGTTTTCGTAAATCTGACTTAATTACTTGAAATTTTAATTATTCATCAAAAAAAACTATTGGAGCATGTTCAGAAGCCTTTTTTCAACAATTTCCTATAGTTTTATTATTTTTAACGGGTCAAATTGAATAAAAATTTTGGTGTCCGGTTATTGACCGAAGAAAATGAAAAAAATTTAGTTTTCGGACAGGTGTCCGAAAACTAGATTTAATAATCATTTTAATATGCTAGTTATCGGACACCCCAAAAAATAGTTTTTATATTCGTTCTCCATCCATATCCTATATAATGAGAGATACACTTATCATATGTGCAGGCCAATAATTTCTAAACACTAAATACTTTTCAATTATCTTATTCAAAAGAATGTTCAACTGTTATCTTGTAACTTTAATGGGAATAAATTTATTTTCTAAAAGAACTAATTTTTTTATTTGAAACTTGGTTAATAAAAAAGATAGAAATCTCGTAAATATTTATACTGAACAATATTTATTCTTTCTTCAACGAAATCAACGTTTCAAAAAAAAAAAAAAAAAATTAAAACAAAATAAAGTTACATTGAATCTTTTTTCAAAAAAGAGATATTTTGATACAAAAGTGTACAAAATTTTTGATTCACCATAATTGAAAATAAAGTTTTAATAACATAAGTCGAATTTTATGAAACTAAATAAACAAAAATGCAATATGTAACTTGTTTATAGTGTATTGTTCCTTTGAACTAAAATAAAACAAGACGTCAATTTTAAATTCTTTTTTTATTGTTCTGTATTTTTCAGTTGTTTCACCTTTTAAAAATTTAATTTAGCAAATTATATAAAAATATAGTATAGTTATAGTACACAAATAAACTATTTTTCTTCTACATTTAATAAAAAAAAGAGGAAAAAGAAATTATGAGAAATAAAAAAAGAAAAGAGATTTGGAAACAAAAAAAAGGAAGAAAAAATTCAAAAAGCCATAAAAAAATTTGACAAAGTAAAAACCACAGTTTCATCAACGAATTAATTAGTAGGAGAAGAACCATTAAAAAAAAAAAGGGAAATTATTCATGAATTCGAAAAGCCGAAAAAAGAAGGATCGAGAGAGAGGAAAAAAGTTGTAAAATTAAATTTGTAAATAATTTTTTATTAATAACATAATAAATGGTTCAGTATATAATTTTTTAGTTTATTATTTTCATTTATATTACTCACACGAACATTATTATTGATTTACAAGCTAATTTTTAGGGTGTCCGAAAACTAAAAGAAAAGTGTCCGAAAACTAAAAAAAAAGTGTCCGAAAACTAACATTTTCGGGTTTTTTTAGAAATCCTTCTTAAAATAGCTGAAAAAATTATTTTAGGTAAAAATAAACATACGCATTAGAAAGAGCAGAAAATTTCCTAAAAGATGGTATATTCAAAAAAAATTTTTTTCAAACGAGTAAGCTCCCCCAATCGATTATAATAGGAAATTTCCTTAAGTGTCCGGTAACTGGCAGGTTTACCCTACCAACTGTATAGTGAAATTCACAACATTCGAAGAGTGTGAGAGCCATTTGTATGTGGGAATATCATTTTCTTCCATTTTCAAATCAATCTAGACTCTTTATCGCATTTTGGAGCTCGCAAAGGTGGACTTATCTCGTTAGCCCTTTCCACCACAGATATATGGGAGAAGAAAAATATCGGAAAAAGCTTTTTTCTCATTTAAGCTCTAGTAATAATCGCTTAACACTAATTCATTCACAAAAGTAATCAGCCCTTTCCTGGAATTTGAAGAATGTCGTATGTGTGTTCGCAGTTCGTGTGCGGCTTCGTGCTGCTCTGGACGCTGACGCTAATCTCGATGGACCGTCATCGCTGCCTGGCCGTGGCGCCGTATCGCAGTGCCCTCACCAGGAAGCGCGTCGTCCTGGCCAGCTTCCTCACTTGGTTCATCGCAGCGATGCTCTTTCTGCCCGCGGCCTTCTGGTTCAGGCCAATGGTATAAAATCAGCGAATAATCCTGATGTTTCGATTTATTTTTTATACTTATAATATAACAACTTAATAACGACGACGCGCACTTTTCGTCTGTTGTTGCCGCGCCTCTCGCAGGAAGTGTCGAGCGGCCAAACCATCTGCACTTTAGTTTTTCCGCGCAGTGAGATACTGAATATCTCGCTCTTCTTCATCCTGCCAATTATCATCGGTGCTTGTCTCTTGCCCATGACGCTGCTCGTTTATCATTATCAAAGGATATTTCAGCGCATACTCGACACGCGCAATCGATGGGCCGTCCCTTGCGTCGCTCAGGTAATAATTGCCGCACTGCGCGTCATATATTCGATAAATCCTCGATGTGCAGAGTCGTTCGCATAATTGAAAAATTGCTTTACGCGATTGACCGCACGTACACGTATTATGTGAGTGAGTGTGTGTGTGTCTGTGTGCAGGGACTGGAGCCCGAAACGGCCGGAGGCAGGCGACGCGATTCCGAGCTGTCAGTCGTCATGGGAACGCTCGTGCCATCCTGGGCAGGAAGGAAATTATCGTCCGCGTCCATGCAGGGCAGCTGTCCTACGACCAACATCGGCAGCGGCGGCGGTCTGCAACAGCCCGCTGGCCGACAAGTGCGAGCCAGCAGCCTCTCGCAGACCGAGGAGATTCGTTTGCACAAACATTTGCGAGTCGTGCGAATATTGCTGCTCAATGTGGCGGCTGTGCTCGCCATGTGGCTGCCCATTACCATACTCATGATACTGATTTACGTCGACGGCAGGCGACCCATCGAGGACGTCGATTTTTTCCTCAGGTCGGTGTCAGCGCGCGAAAATATAAACCATCGATAAACGATTTAATTGTCTCTCTTTCTCGTCGCAGATCTCATCACTTTATCTGGGCACTGGTGACGGCCCAGTTCAACACGGTGGTCAATCCGCTGCTGTACGGCGTGCTCTCGGAAAACTTCCGGGCCTGCTTCGCCAAGCTGTGGCGCGGTCGGGGCGAGCCTGGCCGGACCTTGCAGGGCCAGCAGGCGACCAAGAACGGCGCCAACAACAACCCCACGAGTGCGACCGATCGGACGAGCGGTGGCGGCGGCGCCGGCGGTGGAGCGACCTCGAGGACCAGCAGCAAGACGCTGGGTGGCATTCAGGACAGGCTCGGCGCCGCGGGCCCCGCCAAGAGCGGCAGCTTCCGCAGCAAGAGCAGCGGCAAGAACGGCAAGCTCGGCATCGGCAGCATAATCGAGCTGCCGGCCAGTGAAAAGTCCTAGTGCTACGACGAGAGGGACGAGGACGACGATCTGATTCGGCCGGCCGAGCAGAGCGACTGATCCTTGCGCGCCCCCCCGAACTCTCATTGACATTTTCGATCGGCTTTTAGACCATCATTTTTAAGGTGTCGTGTTTTTACCGTTTCGACCATTATACCATACGTTCGTTTCTCACGTGCGTCTCGATGCATTATTTATAAATGTAAGTGTTAATTTTAAACTCGGCTTCGTTGATGCTGCACCCGTGAAAACTGCAATAAGTTGATACAATTTTCTTGCATTAGTCTGGGTAAATCGTATAGAATGTACGATAATTTTCTTTTTCTTGTGAATGATGCACAAGACGTTAAGATTTCAGAGATTTTTTAATGATAAAATAAAACAACGAGGCCTTTAAAATATGTTATTCACTTGATAAATGTCTATCGATCGTTTCTTATAGTATTACAGATTTATGTAAGAGGCAAGAAATTGACTCATCTTTTCTTTTCATTTTCGTGTCTCTCGATTCTAAGTGTATATATATACTACATTACCAATGAATCATAATTATTTTAGGATCCTGTGTAAAGTAGATGTGGACATTAGATATTTTTAATAAATTCAATATTTATTTTTCTACTACCGATGAACAATTGAATTATTACAATTGAAAGTCGAAAATCATAATACTCGAGATGAAGAAAAATCCATCGATTGAACGAGCTTACACGATTCAACAATCTTGAATAAATTGTACAATACTATTTTTCAAGTATATAGATGTATTTTCACTGTCTCTTTCTGGATTACGCTCGTAATAATGATAATGTATGCGAATGTAAGAAACATAATTACAAGTAACATTTCAACATAATTACGTATAGAAAATAAAACAAACTTTTTGTAAAGTTAAATAATTTATTGTTATCGATCGAATTAGTGTTAAATTTTAAGACCTATGAATTAGAAGATTATCCTAGCTTATTCCGTGCGAATGAACTTTCATTTGAAAGTAACAGCAATAAAAATATTCCTTGTACACAATCGTTTTGTAAAAAACAGAATGTTGCTTCATGGAGTGAATATATATAATATGTATATTATCTTTCAAAATGTGAACTCCGGTACCTAATGTACTTCAACATCTAAACTCTTCTTCTACTTTAATGTCAATCAGGTTGTAAAAAAATGAAAAAATATATCGTCGCAGTTTTCATAAAATGAGTATATTTGCATCCAAACATTTATTATTAAACTAAATATTTGTTTTTTTTCAGTAAAGATAATGGGTATTTATCTATACCTAGATATATCTGTAGTTATTTCAGTTATCTTAGATGAGACGAGTACATTGATTACGATTACATTATTAAGAAAAATTTTTATTAACTCATTTATAATAAAACTTTTCCAAAAAATGAAATTGTTTTAAAAAATAAAACAATACACGTAGAATAGCATAGAATAGCACAACTAATTTTCTGCCGAAGTATCCACTTTAGTGCGTAATAGATATCAAAACTCACGAAATGATGTTATATAATACGTGTTTACGATACTGAAAAATTAATGAAACGAGTCTCGTATAATCGTGATCTATTCCCCTATAAAAAAAATTTGCTATTCAAAAGTTTCTGATTGCTAAGAGAGCTCTACTCGCGCAATGAACTTGATTTAATCAAATAGCGAGAGAGAAAAATACACGAGGGTACGGCAAGACATTAATGTTGAAATTTATGTAACGTCGCAAGGGCAGGTAAAGAAAAGCGACATGCAGACTAGCGACTGAACTCGGTGAGCTGAAGTTATCACCGCTCCCGAGATCTTGTCGAAATTGGCCGAGCAAACGAGATTCGATGGAGTTTGACGAGGGGTGGGACATAACAAGGGTAGTTCGTTATACATGTATAATAATCGTAAATATTTCATACCTTTATCTTCAAATGTTTTACTTCTCAGGATTTATACTCTGAAATATACTCAGTTGGTAATGATTCACAAATCAATGTATCAATTAAAATGGACAAAAAAAAATTATTTTCATTTTCAACTTTTTTTATGCGAGAGATTTTCAAGAAAAATTGATTGAAAAATGGATAAACAAATAAATACATATTTAATACAGAATACTAAATAATTTTCAATCGAATTCACGATTCTGCCGTTTTTTGACGAAATAATTGATTTCTTTGCATTCTCTAAACGATCGGTTTAAGCAGTAAGTTCAAACTCAAAATTTTATGAGTATGGACTGTATTCTCCACGATAGCTAAGATGTGCGATGTTTTTCAAGACTTTAATGGTGATTTAAAATATGTGAATTTTTTCGCGCAATTTTTAAATATATTTATTACAGTATTTATTATGTAAAGTATACTTGCAACAAAATGATGAAAAAAATTTTTAATAAAAAATTAGTAAAATATGTATTTCTGTTTTTTCTGAAGCTATTTAAAGCTATCTACAAACTGTAAATATTTTTTAGCTATAGTGATGACTTTCATAATCTCCAATCCGAAATCATAGTTCTTAAAGAAAACTCGTAATATAATTAAAGTTACTTCACTGTGAATAAGAATGAAGGTTTCATTCTATTTCGAAGAATATGTTCACAAGAATAGAATATCATGTTATTGCAGTAAATATTTACTTTTCTAATTTTTAATGACATCGTAAATAAGAAGAAATTCGAAAATATAACGGTCTAGCATACTATTTTTTACTTTGAGCAATTAAAATAAAATTAGATCAAGCATAAGTTTTTATAATTTTATGGCAAGTTTCACAATTATAAATAGTTTGTTTTACATGTTTGGTTTTAAATAATTCTAGTTTTTCAAAAATAATAAATTTTTACGAAAATTATGTCATAGGTGATACGGTTTTTTCCGAATTTAAAGGATATTTGGAAAAACGTCTGCATCGCGAGTGTGCTTATTATTAATCTTGAGTTTCTCATTAATCAAGTTTTATATTCGATGACACGCAATAAACATTAAAAATGAAAATAAAAATAAATCTTAATCGATAGGACTAGTTTTGCAAGTTAGTTTTATAAATACTTGTAATACTGCTGGATAATTAAAACGATATCGTCGTATCACTAGTCATATATTTCTTCGATGGTCAGTCTAAAATGAGACAATTTGAAATCAGCACTTGTTCGAGCGAATTAAAAAAATACTAACTGACGTACCTAACGGAATCCGTATCATCGTCGTATTTTTTGAGCTTATTTAAAGCTGCGATCGCCGTCTTATTATTGGGATCGACATTGAGCGCAGCCTCGTAATCCTTTATGGCCTGTAAGTACATAAAATAAAGCGAAATGATACTCGTGCTTATTATTACGCGCAGATGATCTTACTTCTTTGCTCTTCTCAAGATGCTCAAAAGCTAAAGCTCTTCTCAGCAGTGCCTTGACATTCATGCTGTCCGCTTCGAGGACCGTTTGGCAGTCTTTTATAGCTTTCTCGTAATTACGCAATTTTATGTCTGCGGAACAAAGGTAAAAATAAAAGTGTTTGTAAACACGGCTTTGTAAAGGTACGGCGTGAAATATAACCGCGACACGAAATAAAGAAATTTAGCAGAGACGCGCAGCTGAGTTCGAGTCAAAAATGTTAATAAACAATAAGAGTCAGTTGGAAGATTCGAACGAAATGAGAAAATGACCTACGAGTCATGGCGCGATTGTTGTACGCGGCGATGTCGCAATCCATGGCGATGCTGGTCGTGTAGAGCTGAAGGGCCTCGGCGTAGTCGCCCGCGCGAAAGGCTTCGTTGCCTTTTTCGCGCTCCCGCGTGGCCATGACGCTGAGCTCGGTGCCAGTCAGCAAAGCTGCGAATGCGAGACGTTGCCTGACATAGCTTATATACATAGACTCGAAATGTCCAAAAGTCAAATCAGTCTCGAGGCTCACACTTTTCAATAGCGACCTCCTTGCGATTGCTGGCCAACTCGTGCTTGCGCTTCTCCTGCAGCCTCTTGGCCTCGGCGAGCTCCCTCTCGGCGCGCAAATCGATCTTGCTGACCTCGGTCTCGGCGTCGTACCTGTCCCAGGCGGCGTAATCGCAACTGGCCAGGCGCCTTCTCTCCTTGGCATTGGCCGCCTCGTCGCGCGAGTCCGCTCCCAGCTTGTTGGGCTCGCGGGGACTCCTCCTGATGGCGGGCCGAGGTATCGGCGGCCTCTGCGTCTCGTTCGCGCTGCCGCGTTCCTCCTCGAGGTCGTACTCGCGCGTCCTCATCTCCCTCGTCCAGCTGTCCAGCTCGCTGTCCAATTGCTTGCGCTCGTCCGGCCCGAGCATCGAGCGCGACGTCACCGGTTTAGGGTCGTACAGCAAACGACTCCGCGGCTTCAACTGGCCCAGCCGCTCCTCGGCGCATCTCGTCAGATCCGGGTAACATCCCTCTTCGCCGGATCTGCGTGTTCTCGAGATTTTTTTTCAATCAAATGTGCCTCGTTACAAAAATGCTTGAATAATGTACCGTAATATTCGAACGATCCTCTCGATTTCCTTGGCGTCGTTGCATTCTTTAATGTACTCGAATGACAAGTGCTCCACGGGTATGTCGTACTTTTTCAAAAGATTTTCAGACTGCTCCTGTTTCGGCGGAGGTATTTCATCGTCCTCTTCTTTATCTTTTCCCATTTTTTCGATTTAACTGCAATGATATTTTCTCTCACTTAAGAGTCGTGTGACTTCGGGAGGACTGCTTCAATCGCCCTTCACGTGCGAGCGTTGTCATAGTCGCAATCAACAATTGGACTATTATCATCGTTGATTTTGGAGCTTTTCACAGGCGCGGAGTAAATGCGCGCGCAAAACCAAATAAGGGATCTGTTTAGTAAGGTTATGTATACGTGCGAAATACAATAACACGCAGTTCAGCAATTCAGTCGCACAATGAGCAGCTCCAGATAGAGCTGTCATTAAATGTTTTAATCAATCTATATCATTATAAACATTTTTATCACCCAAAGTATAAATTTTTTTCTTGCATAAGTCATCGATAAACATTAAAAAAGCTGTCCAATTACGAAGGGTAAGTTTTTATGCACGATTACTGACAGATACATACTATTCCAGGGTAACGGTTAAATACCATGACATGTTTACAGAAAAAAACCAAACAAAGCCACCATGCCTGAGCCGGTGCACCACCAAATAAACACGGCGAGAAAAACCTTTCAGGCTCTCTACAGAATATCGAAATTACTCAATACCAATCTCGATCCAGCAACCCTTAGTTATTGTGTCAGGTTGTGTGAAAATGGAGTGAATCCACAAGCCTTGGCTACGGTTGTTAAAGAGCTGCAGAGAGAAGTGAAGGCTTTAAATAATGCAAATAATTATCCTGGCAAAAAGTAACCCTTCAAACAGCATCAACTTCGAGAGTACATACCATGACTATTCCTGTGTATTATGTTTAATTGATTAATGATTATGTTATTCTAATTCATGTAGAAAAAAAAATTATTTATTGAAAATACTCGTAATAGTAAATATACAATACAATTACAAATTAAATTATGCGTTGCATATATAGCACTTTTACAACTCCACTTCAGTTACAGTAACTGTACATACAATTCTTATTATAGAAGTTTCAAACAAAAATTCTTTAAAGTTCACCATTTGTCTTGTCCAATTTTTTTTGTAAGTTATATTAATGAACACACTTAAAATCATCAAAATTATTTAACAATGACATAGTCAACAATGCTTTTTGAACAATACGAAGAATTGCAGGGTCATCCGTTAAGGTTGCTGAAAAAGCATATCATCTGGTCCCACTTTTTCTATTCTTTGTTCTATTAAATAATTTAGATATGACAAAGACTTCAATAAAAACTTTTTAAAATCATTGTTAGAAACTGGATATCATGGAAGATGCTTTGTTTTTATATACATTTAAGTTTACCTCAAAAAAGGTTCAAAATCAACAAACTATTTTTGTAATTCCAAGAAGTACATTTATTAACTCCAACACTCAAAATAAAATGTCGTAGCAAAACTGGAAGAATGAAATGTATCTTCGAAGATAACTAAATAGTTTGTTGTTATTTGTTGATTGTTGTTGTTTGTTATTTTCTTCAGAATTTTTATAATTCTGATTTTTTATTTTTTTTGTCCTTTTTATCATTGGTAGGCGATTGAAATCGGTGAAGCTTTTGTCCCAAGTCCTGAGAAAATTAATGTTCATTAGAGTAACATGTATTTTAATTTTATATATTATAATAAATGATCTTTGAACATAGTAAGTATGCTTACCCCTGTTGAATATCTTCCAAGATGATGCTGACCTTCCAAAGTAACATGAGATAGTTCTTGTTGCTCTAAAAGATAATTCTTGGCATCCACAGCTTGAGCTCCATCTCTGAACATAAATATAGCTCGTTTAGGTTCTATCGGATACCTTTCTGCCACAATATGATTATTGTGAAGACTAGTTTGCCAGATTTTCAAAATATCATCGGCTTCTTTCTCTGACAACTCAGGATTGACATCTACAAACATCATGACACTCTTTCCTTTCTTTGAAACTTTTAGAACATTGTCAGGATTTGACATATCTAACTGTAAAAAAGATATAATTATGAAAATAACTTGTGCTCTCATAAATTTTAATATTAAAATTATGCAATATTTACTTTTGATAAATCAATATTTTGCTGTGGTCTAAGGTGTTCTGGAAGTTCATCAGGTTCAAGAGGTTCCTCATCTTGCTGAAAAAATCCAATTAAATTCGAGTTAGAAATAAAAGGAAATTTTACGGTTTCATTCATATCATTTTAGAAGAAAAATAAACACTTAGGGGTAGCAACGACTCAACAATGAAAAATGAATTTCTATGCGTGATAAACAAAAACATAACGGTAAAAATCCACTAACCTCCCATTGATCGAGCAAATGCTCCAAATCCACATCATCCATATCACGCACATCTTTGCCAATTTTCCGATCTCTCGGTTTCGGTTGTTTCAGCTTATTTTCGTTAGCTTGTGCACACACTATAAACACACAAAGAGCGAAAACCCAGATGGTTTTCCAACTTGATGCAGCAGTCCTTAACTCCATTTTTTTTGTGTACTATAAATAGGTTATAGATCTAAAAATCTACGTAAAAACGCAGGAGAAAACCCTCGGTCGGCACGGGATTCGATAGAAATGTAATCGCAGACCTTGTCGTTGGCACTTGCCAGTGCCACTTCCTACGTGACGCACCGGCTTTCGATGATTAGGCAATGTGACATTGCTATGCAATCAGCGTTACAATACACAAATACGCCAAGTGGTAGACTACCATAGGCTACTCATATGGCACGCTATCGACGAAAGTGATGTTTTACTATATACATTAGAATGCGGGAGAGGATACGACTTGCGATCATTTTTCCTCTCTTTCGTATACCGAAATCTGAGATATGCAGAATCGCTGAACTGATATGCTTACTAATGAGTTTTATAAAATGTAGGAGCCTTTTTAAATGAGTACAGAGAACATTTTTCATTAAGTAAAAATATATTCAACTATATTTTATTTTTCATCATATGAAATTTTGAATTGAATTAATTAAATTAAAAAATTAGAAGAAAGCATAACTTTTACAACAGTTCTTTACTAGCTATTTTGTTAAATTATCTGTTCCCAAATCCATTATCATTCATAACTCTATAAAGCTTATAAATTTGTCAATAATAGGAATATCAACATGAGAATATTGGTGCTTATTCATAAATGCAAAAGAGTTAAATTAAGAACTAATTATTAATTTGATCCTGAGGATATTGATTCATTTATAAGATCTCCCACCATTTTACCCATTTCTATTGAGTCTGAAAGTACAAAAGAATGCTGAAATCCTCGTTTGCATAAATGAGCATCAATATCTGGATGCCTAGCTTTCAAGTCATCGTAATAACGAATAGGTGTCCATCCGTCCTTACTTCCATAATATAGATATAATTTTTTTTTATGTTGTGTTATAACATCATTGTCTAATTCTTTTACATGAATCATTTCTTGCTTTGCTAAAGAGAATATTTGATGCAGTGAAAATGGATGTATCATTTGAACAATTGGACTAACACAATTTGATGGTATGCCATAAAATATTCCAAAAATTCTGACCAAAAATATTTGGAAAATATGAGGAAAAAGAGTAAAAATCCAAGCAAGAAACATTAAAAGTTTGGCTATTCTGAGAGTCTGAAACAAAAAAACTATTCTATTAAACTGTTTATAAGTTGATATTTTTATTAAATTGTTCCATTTACTTACAATATTAATAACAATTTTACCCATAGGACTTTCTGCCATTCGTTCAATAGTAGGAAACAATAAGTAACATTTTACTACTTTTTCTGAAATCTCCTTATCTTTTAGTAAGTTTAAAACAAACCAGCTACCAATTGAATGCGCAACTAAATGTATCCTTGCATTGGCCGGTACATACTTTTTAATGAATTCTTGCTGTAAGAAAATTTTTAATTTAGTAATGGGGCGCTAAAGTAAATGATTTTAATTATATTCAATATACCTTGTGCTTTATGTTGCCATCCAAGTCATATAAATGTCTAGAAGTTTTTGGATCGGGGAGAGAATTAGGTAAATGTGAAGGTGGTTTAGTGTGACCAGTATGTCCAATGATCCAAACTGGGACCTCAGTGGGTAGACTCTTTTGAATTTGAGCAGCAAATTCTTTGTAAAAGCTTGGTACTCCAGGATTGCCTGTGATAACAATAACAACATCCTGTCTGCCAGTGGTGGATATACCTTCTTCAATCCATCGACCATAACTAATAACTTCTGTTGGTACTCCATTGATAGGGACAGTGGCTTGATACATTCTGCTTTTTTAGCTGTTAGCTAAAAATCGTAGAGTACTGTGAGTGCTATTACATCGGAAATAATTATTGTTTAAAGTAATTTACCAATTTCAACGTATAACTAGCTGCATAAAATCGATAGACGATGCGAAAAAATGTTCCTTATCATACGTCATGAAAATTCGAAGAATATAATATTTTACGAAAATGTTGAATTAGTTTTATCAGAAAATAAAACGCGCAAGAAGCGAGTCTGACAGCTGACTGAACGCTACTGTCATGTTTTATTTACGCTAGATACACTCGAACCCCACTTTTTACCTTGACATTGTTCAAGGCCTCGCTTCGTATTACTCTCTCCGCTTTCGTGCAAATGTAAAGGAAATGTGGCAATTCATATTTTGTGTGTTTTATGCTGTAACGTATACCCGTTGAGTAATGTTTTCATACCTCATAAATTAATGCAACGTAATACACTAATTGATTGGAAAATAGAATAAAGGAAGTTATTTTACTGATCGTTCGCCTCCTCTAGATAGTTAAATAGATAGTTATTTTATTTGACCATACGCAAAAAGAAGTTACTTTATTTAACCAGAAAAAATGGCCAACACTGGAAATTTTTTTAAAACTGGTTTATCTACTTTTTAAAATAAACATTTTATATTTTCAGTGTATGGCAAGAAAATCATGTCTGATTTATATTTTATTTTTTATGTAAAGTATTTATAAAATTTTATTATAAAAATCATTAATCATGTCCGATTCACGGAAAAAGTTAACACCATATAATATGGAACTTTAAGAGGAACGTTCAATATATAAAATCGAAAATCGGAAAATGTAAAAAGATTTTCAGTCTTGACGCATAAAATGATTCCCAATTAGTGAAAATTTTTTTAAATTAATGAAGTGTACGACCATCACAACTTATTTTATAATTTTAATTGAATTATGCGTTTTATTTACAATCTCCCAATTTATAAACGCATAAAAAGATTAATAATGCAATTCAAGTTATGCTAAAAGTGTCGAGCGCCATCTTAACGAATATTTATTTCCCTACACGTACTGTCGTATAGAACTATTTATGCCAGCTGCTTTGACATATGCAGTGCGTTCAGCTTCAGTGTTGTCCAACATACAAACGTTCATACGTTCTATTTACATTCGCATGAAATTACTACGCTAAATATTTTTTAACTGATCTGAGCTCGCACACCCTCGTTATCGTCAAGACGATGATTAATCAAGTATGGACTGCTCAAAACTGAACAAAAACTAAATCCCATGACTGCGTTGTCTGCGAAAAATCTTATGGATTCCTTAGATTAGTAATCAAAAATGTTATTTACATCATTACGTTCACATATGTATATAGACAACAAGTTCATCAAAATGTGAAAGTGCAGTCGATTCAAGCTTCCATTAGTCTGTTTATTATGGCTGCAACTTGCAACGCAACAACGCTGTGATCATCGAAAGATCTGTAGTATGGTGAAATTACGACTGCTACCTTTATAAAGTTAAAGAGTAGCTCATTTTTCGAAGATTTTCTAACTTACGTCCAAAACAATTTAAATGCATTGCAAAATTAGCAGGTTAGTTATTTTTGCGTTATATAATTTTATTATTTAATTTTTGTTGTTATGAATATATTTTGGCATAATAGCTAAAAATATTTTATTTATCGTTTAGGTGACAAAGATTGAAAATTATTTTGAAACTTCAATCAAAATGTCAAGAACAATCAACAATACCAATACTCTGCCAAACATGCAGAAAATTGTTGAGCTTGCTAAATTATTAAGAGATAAAGGAGACAAAATTTTAAGTGCATCAAGTAAGTTGACACTCTCGACAAGTCTACTGGCATCTCTTAATGAAAATTTTGCACTGATTATTGAAGAACCGGACGATATAGAATCTTCGTTCCAAGTGTGCAACAGTTCAAGAAATGAAGTAAACATTTGGAATTTATCAATATTATTTTTATTTAATAAAAATTATTATTCATCGTATAATTTTTTTCATTATAGATATTCAGAGATATCAAGTTTCTACATGATTTTGTTCAAAAAACAATTGGACTTAAATTAATGTTCAATAAATGTGAAAGTCAAATTATTGACATTACAAAATTTAGACACTTGAAATATTTAGAGCTCCATAAAATACCTATTTCGTCAGTCAAAGGTATTCAAGCCATTAGAGGACAGTTAGAATGTATAATTTGTAGTGGTGGACATGGAGTTATTTCACTTGAAGAATTACTGGGTAAAATCTTTAAATAATATATCATTCATACATAAAAGTTAATTCTTTGTTTTCAATCACAGCTTATTGCGGAGCAGATAAAGGAGTAGGATTTGTTTGGGGTTCACTAACTCGATTAGCATTGCCATATAATAATTTGTCACATCTGGATAAATCTTTGGAATTTGTGCCTTGGGTGGAAACCATAGATTTGAGTCATAATGCTCTTACAAGAGCTACAGATTTAAAATATCTCCCAAACGTAAAAAACGTTAATTTAAGCTATAATAATCTGGAATTTGTACCACAATTCAATAGAGCAGCATTTTATTTGCTACAGAAACTTATTTTACGAAACAACTACATTGAAAATATTAATGGTAATATTCTTCAATGGCATTTATTTTTTTTTATATAATTTTTTGATTTTTCGTTTTTAGGATTGGAGAAACTTGAAGGACTGGTAGAATTGGATCTCTCTCACAACCTACTTACAGATCATAGTTTGCTATGGCCTTTATTGGCAATGCCTTTATTAAGAACTCTGTGCCTTGAAGGAAATCCTTTATCTTATCATCCAGATCATAAGACAATGCTTTTTTCTTACTTGCATCCTGCATTAGGTAATAAGAACTGCAAGGTAAATTTATAATTGTTATAATTTATAAATGTTATATTTATAAATGATATTATATTGATTCACAATGACTTGGTTTTTATTTTCTAGCTGACAATAGATAATGAAGAAATAGGTAAATTTGATCGTATTCAAATATCTGAAAATCGTTCGTTTTTCTTGCACTCAAGACAAGAAAAACCAGAACTACGCAGAACTGACATTACATCAAGTTCTGATATGAATGCTGCAAATACAAGCGAATTGGAAAATGAACTTGATGTTTCATCTGTTTCAAGAATTAATGCTAAGAAAAATGAAAATATTCAAGTTGCAGTTATTGCTGATGATGAAGTAGAAAAAGATGAAATAAAATCTGATTCTATTGCCAACTCTTTTTTTGGTAAGTGCAGTTTTCCTTAATACACTGATTTTTACATAATTTTCAAAGATGAAATTTCAATTTGATTAAAACTCTCACATTTCTTGTTAGAAACATCCATGGATCATTTAGAAGTAAAAAGGCAAATACTGGCATTAAGAGAGAAGTATGGAGAAGATAATTGGTTGAGTAATCATGGAGCTACTTGTGTGCAAACTATAATGGGTTTGCAGTCAACTCCTACTGCTCCATTGGGGCTTTTCTCCTCCACTTTGAATGATAATCACCTTATGCTGCACACTACCATTGGAAACTCTAACTCAACGTCTCCATCCCCTATTTCAAAACCTAGTAGCAGTGATGAAACTGCAATGCAGCACCATGAGAAATTTGAAGTACAGGTTTGTAACAATGATGAAATATTTTTTCAGTACTACATAGTTATTTAACGCAGGTTGAAATAAATCATCACGTAAGTAAGAATGATACGAAAACGGAGGTGGAAACTATAAATGAAATAAATACAATAAGCGAAACAGAATTTGAAACTTCTGAAAATGGAATAGTGGATTTGAAAATAAACGAAGACTTGACAACTTCATATGATCCAGAAGAAGGTAAAATGAATACTATAATTTATTTCTTAAATTTACATACTAAATCAATCTTAATTATTTTTTTGATATCCATAGAAACGGGAGACCTATTTTTACTACAAAAAAAACGTGGACAAGAAGAATCTGACGAAATTTTTCTCGTGATATCATCCGAGTAAGCATGTTTTAAATTCAAAACTTCTTTATTTGACATTGACAAATATTCTAAATTCTATTTTTATTATCACAGCGACATAAAAGAAAGAGACACTATGACTGGAAAAATTTTGTTTCGATGGGCCACTAATACAGTTCTTTCGTGCGTTCTGGGACGTGGTACACCTACAACAATCGATATCACATTTGATACCACGAGAAAAGATCGTAATGCAAGGACTTATATCACCAACCTAGATGATGCCAAGGTAGATACAAATAATCATTCGAATTTGGAAAATATTCATAACTAATTGAATTTTATTTGCTAGAAAATTAATGAGAAACTCAATGAAATGATCAGAACTTATGTACCAATAGTACTCAAAATTTTTATGTGCATGAAATGCTCTACTCAGTTTTCTCAAGACGGTGATAATAACATTGTAACATCTCAACCTGGTAACTATTAACATATTTAATAAAAAAACTTAATAACTGCTTGATTATATAATAATTGCATTTATTATTGCAGCTTTACCAAAATGTCCAACTTGCAAAAGCACATTAGTTATACAGTCAGATGAACTGTTATCACCAGACAAAGAAAAATTAGAAAAGATTCCAGAAAAAATCAAGACTAATCTTCCGAAAGAAGAAAAGGTCAACGAAATGAAGCTTCCACATTCAAGCTCACAATCTAGCATAGGTACAATAATAAGTATAGTAGCATAAATTTTGACTATCAGCAAAGAATGTAGAATTAATAGATTCCTCTTAACAAATAGATTAATATGATTGGTAGCTATTAATTTTGACTCAGCAATAAACACATGAATTTTGGAATTCCAATAATAAATTTGTAATTTAAAATTTTAACTTTTGATTTATAATCTTTAATTTAACTTTTGAAGTATAATCTTTACTAAATTGATACATTTTGATAATAATTAATTCGCTAGAATGTAATGTTGAAAATCATGGTTTAAATATTTTTTCAAATTATTAGATGATTTAAACTTTGAAAGTACTGAAACTAATTGATTGAAATTTTTTTTTGGTTTAATTCGGACTCACTTAACAAAAACTAATTCACGGTACAGGTGGATCAGAGGGTGGCGCTATGTCCATCATCACTTCTATAGTGCACTCCGACTCTCACCCTCAAGCTCAAATCAGCTGTAAGCTTTGTCACTGTTTATTTTTTTGACATTATACCATTGAATTGCATGTTTGATTGTATTTACGCTTAGTGACTCTTGCTTTTATCCTCCATAAATTATATGTATCAAAATCACAAGGAAATCAAATTTTAATGACAAAATGAACATTGCAATCAACACATATTATCCTTTCATTACTCGTTAAAAAGAATTTTTGAATTTTCAAAGTTCAAAATAAAACATCAGCTATGAGAGCTGACAAAAATAGTAAAAAAGTCATGTATAATAAACACAAATTAAATTTTAGTTATAAGTATAAATACTTTTATAAATGCAATAAGTAGATTATATAATTTTCTTTCACCACATTTAAATTTGTTTATTTATTCAATCTTTCGCAATTCATAATTTTCTTAACATCGTTATATGTTTTTTATACACTTCCTAAACAATACTTCTCATATTCTTACTAGGTTCAGCAACAAGTTTAGAAGAATCACGAGAATCAACTCCATCAACTGGAACAACAACTAAGAAATATGAAAGCGATATTGAGATATTGAGTAATCCCAGCCAAAGCAGCATCGAAATTCTTGATGATGGATCAAAGTACGTAAACCTTATCAAAGTTTTTCAACTACCTATGATTTTTACGTCTCATTTTTTTAATAATGGTTATATTATTTTTAATCAGTTTTGTGCGGTTTGATTTAATATATTTAATTCTTTATATACTTCATAGATAACATTATGTTTTGATCATTGAAATTCGACGTATTTATTTCGAGATCGAATCATTTCTTGATTAGTGAATGTATGCTAATACAACATCTTCACAATCTATAGTCCAGAATATTTATAATAGCGTGTTAATTTTTAATCGCAATACAATTTTTCTCAGGCTTTTCTGACTTTCTAATTTCAATAATAATTCTTTATTCATGAAAATATCCAGAATTCATTTACGTGACACAATTAAACTTAACATTCTATGTTAATGAGTATGTAGTTTTTGCTATACTTTAATAGTATTTGTAGTAGTAATGAACCTGTACTCATGAATTAGATTTTTCATTTAAACCATGAGTTTGCTAACTAATTAAAAATATTCAAATAGGTCAACAACACCTCATCGAAAGAAATCATTGGAAGAAAGACGAATAGCTGTTGCCCCGTCATTATTAACAATTCCAGATTCAAGTATCATTATGGCTGGTTTGACTGAAAGTAGTTCCTCAGGTTTGCCTTTTCCTTAGTACTAAAAACACACGATTTCGTAAATCCATCGTAATTCACTTGCAACTAACATATGCATTGACAGGTTCTTTGACTGATAGTGTGTGCACTGCTTATGAAAATATAACTTCAAAACTGATGGATAAGAATGAAATGTCCAACAGTAAAAGTACCCTAAAGAGTGAAGGAGATGCAGACAATACTTTAACACCTGTGACAAATCTCTCGTCGATGCTGGGAGGTACGTTACATCAAGTATAAACTTATTTTTATTATTTTTTAAATTTATTTTTTATTATCATGACTAAAAATCATTTTATATTATAGAATTACTTCAAAGCATGAAAATCGGTACAACAAAGGATATTATGTCAAGATCTGAGGAAACTTCCGAGTTTATGGGCAACAATATTCAATATTCTTATACAAATTTCAGTGACATTGATCATAGAATAAAACTTCATATTATTTTGAATGTTTTTGAGCACGAAAACGAAGATATAGCATTTCTTCTTAGAGTGAGTTTTTTCTTAAAAAAAAATGAGAAAAAAAATTATCATTTTTAACAATTTGCAAATTATTTTCAAACACAGGCAGATATATTAACACATTCATCAAATGAGTCATTTCCTGGGTGCTTAGTCATGTCAACAGCTAAAGTTTATATTTTACGAATAACTGGAAAAGAGGGGTAAGTGTGCTTGCATTTATCAAAAAGATTTTTAATTTAATTTTAAAAATTATTTTTCATACAGAGAGGATCCTCAAAGATGGCTACAAAAAGAATCGAGTTGGACTATAGATAGACTTAGATCTTTCTCACCATTGCCATACAAACAAGGTATACTAGTCGAGTTACAACAGCCCAACAAACCCGGAGAAGCTCCGATAAACACGGTTCTCTTGTGCATCCTTCAAGATTTTCAAAGAACTTCCAACTTTTTATTCTATCTTACAAGTATATCAATCGTACAAATTAATTAAAATTGTCTTTGAGCATATTTTAATTTACTTTATATTTTAGATTCCCCTCTTCCTCCAAGCTGTGAAGTGGAATTTATAGTTCCACAATACTGTAATGCAGCCTTGAAAAATATGTTGAAATTCTGCAAGAATTACAAAGAAGAAGTCCCTATAAGATTACTAGCTCTTTTCTCTTCTGCAACCCTTAAATGGTCTAATGATAGTGTAAAATTAAAAATGTCAAGTTTAATTATAACTTCATCTGATCTGATAGTCATGCAAGACAAGATAAACTGGCTTTTATCAGAAAAAAATGAGCTTCCAGGCATTGTAGTAGAGCAAGGAATGAGTAATTTGATTGAAGTAGTAAGTTGATAAATTTATAATTAATGTGAAGAAAAATTTAATAATGCAATAATCGAATTTAAATTTAAAAAATCAGGAAATAGCTGGCAATACTTTAACTCTAAATTTCTTGGACGAAGTAATAGGAGAAGATTCTACTTGGATTTTTGAATTTGTATCGTCAAACGCTGCGGAAGCGGTCATCAATTCTATAAAACCACCGTGGGAAGAGCTGTTTTCTGTACCACTGCAAATTAATGCGCCGTTGATGGACAAAAGTAGTGGCAGTCTAGACCATATGTGACCTTGTTCAATTTTGAAGCAAAATTGTATTCAAATCATTGCGACTGTGTAGGTACACAATGTGCTTTTTCAATAGTTAATTGTAATATCATATTTGTAATTTTCTCATCCTCCTACGAGTGACTGTTTCATTAGTGATATAAAAGCAATGCTCGTGGAGAAAATTTTCATTATGTAGAGAGCTGATTTATTTTTTTTTCTTATTATTTGTTCATTAGTTCAAAACATTATACATTACGAATTTATTGCAACGTTATAAATAACCATGTTTCGTACATATATGTTTGTTATTAACTTTACCATAATTTATCTGTTTCAAATATTTTGTTAAACTAAAGTTGATTAAGTTTTCTCGCAAGATCGAATACTTTATTGTAAGAAAAAGATCGTGCAATTGATGAGATATGAAGTAAAATGAATAATTTGAATGTAAAGAAAATTTTTCAATTCATGCAATTTCTCGTTTGATTTGCGAGGAGCATGCGTTAAAAATAAAATTAGGTACTATTCAACAAAAAGCCATCATCGTAAATCTCATAGATCACTTGGAATATTTGCTCTGCGGAAAGAAATTCATAAAGTGAAATATTTTCGCCAGAGACTGTGATACTAAGGTTTTGACTCAAATGTAAATAAGATTTCGAAATTTTATATTTTTATCAATTTTAGTTTATTATAAATTTCATGCGTTGTTATGTAAATAATAAATATTTAAATGATTTCAAACGCATAAAAATTGTATCTTATTTATCATTAAATAACAAGTTCAATACTCTAAAAACATACTCGAGGGTATGTTTTTTGAAAATTGTCATTCTAAATGTTTTGCCTTTGGTAAAGCATCGATGATTGTCTTGAAACCCTTATATTCATCCGCTAAAATTTACAATATTCCGTTGACAATGAGCTCCCCGTCGGATGATTCTTTGGTCGATCTTATTACCTCGTTTTTCCATATTTTGATGATAGAATTTTTGCCGAAAACGGCCGAGACGAAGGCGTCGCATCTCCAATGACCATAGGTGGCAACCACCGGGTCGTCGTGGGCCTCCATGACTTGGACGACTCTGCGTCTTGACGTTCCAAATGAGCACGCGTCCGTTTTCCGAGCCGGACACGAGATATCAGTTACTGGTATAGCTCGATGCGCCGTTCACGGTGGACAGAAAAAAGTACTGGCCGTTGGGAGAGTAGCGAACAAACGAAACCGGATCGTCCGTCGGCTGCTGATATTCCCAGAGGGTTCGCGAGGTCCACTAATCGATCTGGAGGACCCGTCCATCGAAGCTGCCGACCAGAACGCGGCTCGACGCGCTTCTGGGCATGTCGACGCAGCTGACGCGATCCGTGAAATCGGTGTAGGTGCGCTCGGCTCGGCCCTCGCCGACGCACTCCAGATTTTTACGCTTCGGTCGCAGGAGCCCGAGGCGATCCTGTCGTTGAGTGCGCGGGCAAACACCCGGTCACGGTGACCCGCGAATGTGGTCGGCCAACGCCTGGATCAGTTGAAAATTCGGCGTCATCTCGCTCGCGCTCTCGAGGACGCGATTCACGCTATGGCGAACGTACGTCGATCGATCTTCATCGGGTGGCACGCGCCATCACCTGTATCCAGTGTACATGTGAATTGCCACAATTTTACACAGAAAATGAAATGTAAATTTTCACTCACAGTGCCGTGGGCTAATTGCTCATTACTACTTTCGACTCATACTAAAGTCATATTATTCAATTCGACAGCTCTCCCTCTGGCGAAAATTTTGAATTTTGCGATCTCGCTTTCTCACGTTGGTATCGCTGCGCACGTGCTCCCGACGGTCTGCACCCTTGCGCTCTAGTTTTCTCGCACAGCTCGAGTAGAGGTATACACATGCGTGCAGTACTGCAGCCTGACAGTATAGGTGCACCCCCTCCCCCGAAACAGATCGATATCGAGTTCGGACGGCTGTTTCGCTCGCGCGCTGCACTCGTCGACGAGTCGAGCGAAGAGAAAAAAATTCTATTTTTCTGTGATATATTGTCACGCTGTAAAAGTGTGCGGCGAGTGAATTGCTTCGTTTGGGCCGTGTACTGGACCGTGATTTTCTCTTGGCAATACGAGCCGATCGAAGGTAGAAACTCGCGAGGCAAATTTCGCGACAAAGTTACGGCTTCGAAAGCTCTCGTCGGCAGCTCACCTTGAACTACTTTTGTATATCTCGTGTGCACGCGCAGCTGCTCTCGTATCGAAAATCGCTCGCAAGCTCGACGCTAATTATTATCTTCATCGCGGTGCAACGGTCGACGTATGTGCGCAAATAAAATTGTGCATATATAAAATAGTGTAAAAAATTGTAGCCTAATATACGTATAATAGCTGGAGAATGGACGACTGGTCGGAGAGCGACACCGACAGCCAGGAGTACAGGATCACGCGCGAGACGAAGCGTCTGCGCCACGTGTTCGAGCCGTACTTCAAGAAGATCTTCAGCTCGAACGGCTTCATCAAGCACATGAACCAGCGCTGCAGCTGGAACAACGACAGCACGTCGTACATACTGCTGTGCGAGGCGATCAAGCGCAACGACAATCGCAACGCCATGGCGCTGCTGCGCCACTACTGCAAGGCCAACATGGGCTGCTCCGACCCGAGCAAGGACATACCGCTGCACCTGGCCACGCTCGCGGGCAACGTCGAGATCGTCGAGATGCTGCTGAACAAGGGCGCCCGGGCCAACGTCAGCTTCCAGGACCAGCGCGACCCGCTCCACCTGATCTGCGACAAGGAGAGCACCTCGATACCGGACGAGATATCGCGCGTCGCCATCGCCAAGCTGCTCATCAAGCACGGGGCCAACGTGAACTCGCTGGAGCGCGGCAACAAGGACACGCCCCTCATACTGGCGGTGCGCAGCCGCTTCCCCGAGCTGACCAAGTTCCTGCTGAACAACGGCGCCGACCGCTACTACAGGAACAAGAATCAGGAGACGGCCCTGCACACGGCCTTCATCGAGAACGCCGGCATCGACATAATCGAGCTGCTCTACAACGACAAGTTCGACCTCTACCAGCCGGACGAGAACGAGAACACGGTCTTCTCGTACGCGGTGCGCAACCTCATGAACTCGGGCTTCGGCTCGTTCTGCAGCCTCAACGAGCCCCTCAAGCCCGTGCAGTTTCTGCTGAGGCACGGGGTCTCGGTCAACTCGCCGCTCGACAAGCGCGGCAACAAGATCCTCCACATGATCTGCCAGAATCACGCCGCGCAGACCCTCAAGATCTTCCTGGAGCAGGGCGCCGAGGTGGACGCCCGCAACATGGACGGCAAGACGGCGCTGCACTTTTGCGCCGAGAACCAGCCCATCGCCTACGTGGAGCTGCTGCTGAGCCACGGCGCGGACGCGCGAGCCCTGACCAACAACGGCCAGTCGGTGCTGCACTTCGCCGCCGCGAACAAGCAGCCGGGCGTGCTGGAGCTGCTGCTGACGCGGCACCGCGGCGAGCTCGACGTCAACGCCAAGAGCAAGGACGGCAACTTCACGCCGCTCTTCAACGCCGTCTGGAGCAATCGCCAGGAGAACGTGGCGCTGCTGCTCGACTGGGACGCTTGCATAAACGAGCGCGTGATCAACAATCAGGTGGTGCTGCACGTGGCCGTCGACCAGAAGCACCTCGAGATCGTCGATCTGCTGCTCGAGCACGGCTCGGACGTCAACGTGCTCGACGACTACGGCAACACGCCCCTCACCATATCGCTCTACCAGGTGGCCGAGTCGAGCAACTCGGACTGGTCCGAGGCCGACGACACGGACGTGATGAGGCTGGCCGAGTCGCTGCAGCGCACCCTCACCAAGCACACGGCCAAGCTGCTGCTCTCGGGCAGGCACGTCAGCGACCAGAGCCTGCGCATCATGAACAACGTCCACTTCAAGGACTTCTTCGAGGAGTGCATGAGGGAGCTGACCCTCGTCAAGGACCACCACATAATAGAGGGCGTCACGTACTTCGATCTGCTGACGCGCGACAGGCGCCGACTGCTCGCCTACATGCAGAACGAGCGCCTCGTCGCCGCCTTCTACGCCGGCGACTACAGGGACAGATTTCCCATTTACTGTGATAACTTGCTGCGCAACGCCGACCTCACCATGGTGCGGCTCAACCTCGTCAAGATCGCCGCCGAGAATCTCGTGCGCCTAGTGCAGCACATCGACGAGTCCTGGAAGGACGTCTACTTGCCCTCCCTCGTCGTCGATCACATTCTCGATCTGTTGAACACGAGAGATCTCGAGCATTTCGCTCAAACCTTCACCTAACCCAACGAGACTCTGTGAAGCTTGTTTTCGTCGTCCCGAGCATAATGTATTATTTTATGCCGACGAGAGCCTCGAGCCGATCGAGCTTTCTCGGCGACAACGTGATTTTTTCTAAATTTTTTCGGCTCTAACGTTTACCGACTCCGCTGCAAATCGTTAAATTCCTTCTGCGTCATTTTTTTCGAGAGCCTTCGCTGCGTAGTACAGTTTTTTTTTCGTTGTAAAACTGTCCTGAGCCATCGTGTATAGATAAAAATATATTATTTTTCAATTTTTTTAAAGAGAATTGTCAGGATCTAAATGTAAATAAGACGCGGTGCATTATATCGAGTGCAAAATACACGAGAAATGGATGCTCAAAATTCTCACCATATCTTTGATTATCATTATATACAATAAAACACCGTCACAATGATGTATAATTTTTTTAAATGAAGCAATGCGCGCAGAATGTAACATAGTGATAAGATATTTAGGATACGACAACAAAATTCGTATGCGTCAAGGTGGATCGACAGTTTTTTTTTAAATGGAAATTGTTAAATGAGATAGTTATTTTGAAATGTGTAAAACAATTTATGAAATGTGCAAATATTATATGGTCGTTGATTTTAAATATTATCGAGAAGACGTCTATTTTAGTATAATTATTTTTATGCAAAATATAAATCTTTGTTAGCAAGAAAATAAATCAAAGTAGTTTGATTAAATTATCCTTGAATCCTTGTAACGAAGAAATTTCGTTGATTTTTTTTCATTTTTATATTCTTTGATTATAAGCTATATGTGACAGCAAAAAACAACAAGAAAAAAGTATGTCGTTGTTTGAACTGATAGTAAGAAACAATGAATGAAAAGTGTCAAATTCGAAAGCAACCGCGACGCCTTAAAATTCACAGTCTATTATTATCCGCACCGAAGCCGCAAAAGTCATGGAAAAAGAAAAAAAAAACCGAGCACCTGATAACGAGCATTAGTCTCATAAATATAACCACTGCATCTCCGATTCGTAGCAGAAGACAAATCTCAATGAAAAGCGTGTACATCACGTTGGTTGCGCAATTCGTATTCGAGCGACGAGATAAACGATTATTTGGGTACGCTTATATAGGAGCCTATTGAACATCGGAGCCGGGCGCGTTTTCTCATTAATGAAATTCAATTTATCAGACGAGAGAGCGTTGAAACTACTGCCGTCCGTTTAAAGCGTCGCGGCCGTAAACTACTTTAACTCGCGTGAACTCGAGTATTCGCAGTGCCAGCGACACGTGACATACGCATAACAAAACAGTTTTGAGTTCACGCAGGGGTGTGCGGTTCAACGGGGATCCCGCAGTCAGCTCCGACCGCCTTGACGTATATTCACAACACACAACACCACGCGAGGCCTTACATTAATATATACTTACATCGAAAAGTCCGTGCGTTTTGCAATACACGCACATACCTTATTAAAGCGAGGCCATAAACCGAGTCTATATCCCGAATAATCTAAAGCGACGCTGGACAAATGAATCGACTGTTTGCTCGCGCCATTGCAGCGGCTAGCTCCTCAGTACTCACCTGTCCAGCAAGAGGATTGCATCTGACTAACAAAATGGTTATCGCTGTAAGTTCTCTGCCTCCTTATCTTTTCCAAAGTATCTATTTACCAATGTGTCTCAATAATCATTCGTAATTGACACCAAGTTTCTTGGGCTCGCGAATCTCGTTTATGCATGTTGAGGTTGCCGGCAATCATTGTATAATATCCATATCCATAATAAAATTTCTTAAGATATGTATTCTTTGAATGCACATGAATGATAAATATCACAAATTTAGGAATCTTTCCCTTTTTATGATTTTACTTTCGCGAAAAAGGTGTAGCTCAAGTAATTTGGCGAGGTTATGTTTTACGGAAAAAACCGAAGTTTATTATTTTTATTTTTTTTTAGCAAGCTCACACCGCAATAAATGCCGAAGGTGAACTTGTCTTGATTTAATCATCAATTTATTTAGCTGAAATTCCAGAAATCCTGAACCGTACAAAAAAATCTCGAACGATTAAAATGTAATTTTGTTCGGAACAATATTATCAATTTTTTTTATTTATCAAAGCTCTTCAAGTCTTTACGCTATGCAACTTTTATCATTTATACTTGCCTTCATTACACACTTTTATATTGATCGACCATCTTCTTTACAATTCAACCTGCTTCGCAGAAATTATTCAAAAGAAAAGGTCTCTTTTTGGATTATGAGAGTGTAGCATTTATATTATTGAACTGTTGTATGTCGCAATAGCTTATAGAAATATTCCCTCTTAACGGGGTATATTATTGTAATAAACATTTGAAAAACATTTTTGTTACGATTTAGGTTGGAGATAAATTACCCGCCGTCGATTTATTCGAAGATACCCCAGCCAATAAAGTTAATTTGGCTCAATTATCGGCCGGAAAGAAAATTCTCATTTTCGCTGTTCCCGGTGCGTTCACTCCAGGATGCTCAAAAGTAAGATTTCATCTTGTCAGATTCAATCAACAACTAGACTAAAAAAACATTCTTATTTAATTTTAATTCATGTCACGATTTTCTAGACGCATTTACCTGGATATGTTGAGCGAGCCAATGAGTTGAAATCCAAAGGTTACAATGAAATCTTCTGCATCGGAGTAAACGACCCTTTTGTCATGGCTGCTTGGGGTAAAGACCATAACGCCGAAGGAAAGGTATGACATCTTGATTCGAGAAATTCTTATCATTTCAAAATTTCTTATTGTATTAAATTAATTAATTTTATCGTATAGGTTCGAATGCTGGCCGATCCATCCGCAGCTTTCACCGACGCTTGTGATCTCTCGGTCGATCTCGCTGTTTTGGGTGGAAAACGCAGCAAACGTTACTCCATGGTTGTCGAGGACGGCACAGTCACCGAATTGAACGTCGAGCCCGACAATACCGGTCTCAGCTGCTCATTGGCTGACAAAATTAAATAAAACATTTGTTAAGATTTTTCTATTTGAAAATGCACGTTTTTTTTTGTTTGTGATAATTACATTTTTTACTTATCGTGCATAATTTATGAATTCCCGCGTATGTACAAATAGCTTTAAAGTCTTTTTTTTTAATCAAAAAGAATAATTGTAGAGGAAACCAAATGTTACAGACAATATGTTAATTATGTAATATATAATAAATTGTATTGTAAAAACAATGAATCATTCTTCTTTCTGAACTTCGCGAAAATATAAGGAAGTAAAAGTGACGTCGATATTTTGAAGATATATGTTATGTAATTAGAGTTGCATGTCAGATAAAAATAATGATGTGACGATCAAAAACGCGATGACGGTAAAATTGCATAATGCACTGTCACGATCAAACAATAATAGCAAACGAGCCGTCAAACTTAGTGCACCGAAGATAGTCGATCATTGCTATTGATTTCTTTATTGTAAAGTTCTTTTAATTATCCAAATTGCAATTGAATTAAATGTATGTGTTCAAGTTCGAGAATTTTTAAAATAAATTAATAAAAAGGTACGTAATGTTGATGGTCCATCACCATTTAAATAGAATTGTCGGAAAAATATCTAAAATCGTCTAAAATATATCCTTAGATTAAGCCAATAAAATATGGACCAATGCGAGAGGTACATCAATAACTGGATAAGCCTTTATGAGGCAAATGATCGACTAGCGAAGAAAAACTTGTGTTTATCAATGGATTTTCGTAAAGAAGCCAACGACTCTTTTTTGTACAACGAAGATAAGAAAAGTGAAAAAGCATACAAGCGAATATTATCCCTGTACTCGAAGAGCATAGCATTTGCACCAAAAAATCTTGACGAATTATTGGCCATGACGTACGCCAACCGATCCGCGCTACTGCTGCATTTGAAAAAGTACACAGAATGCCTTCGAGACATCGACACGGCGCTCGAACTAACGAAATCGGAGTTCTTGAGATTTAAACTGTTGGCGCGAAAAGACCAGTGCTCGGCGCTCGTGAAAAGTTGTGGCGAAAACGACGCACCACCGGTGAACGATCGGCGAGCCGCGACGATATCGGCTAGTGCCGATCGTACGTACGTGTCGGATTGTCTGTCCGTGATGTACAGCGAAAAATACGGCAGATACGTGCAAGCCAGCCGAGACATTCGGCCCGGCGAGATCGTCGTCGTGGAAAGGGGATACGTGACTTTCGCGAAAAGGGACAAGGCCTATCTGATCTGCTCGCACTGTCTGGAGTCGGCGTGGGCCGCCGTGCCGTGTCCCGACTGTTCGATCGTCGTCTACTGCTCGGAGAGCTGCCGCCGAGAGGCCTACGACCGTTATCACAGCGAGGAGTGCCCGATTCTGCCCTACGTGCGCTGCTTCGATTGCGACGAAATCGAACTGGAGACCTGCATGCTGGCCCTGAGATCGTTCATCATTGCCGTGAAAGAAGAGGGCTGGACGAGAGTCGTGCAACAAGTGCAAAGTATCGACGAGCAGAGAGGTATACATAAAACATCCGGAGGCTATATTTTTTTTTTTCGATGAAAATCATACTTTCTTTTCTTTAAATTTTTCAGATAAATACGAAGAAGGTGAATTTCCAAGTGAGCCGTTTCTGAGTCGATCGTTTCGTTCTATGTACAGTCTGTCGTATCTCGACAACGTCGACGATGACTACGGCGATACGCACGACCGGATGTTGGCCGATTTGATCGAGCGCAAGACAAATTTATTACACATAAACGAAGATGAAGTAGACGTTTTTGAAAACAAAGAAGAGAGAGCAAACTTCGTTCGAAATTTGCTCAAGAAATTGAGAAAAATCATCAATATTAACTCCTTTCAAGTATGTATTCTTGTTTCAAGTGAGTAATCGAACGAGTATTTCCATTAGCGTATACTTCATTATAATTGTCACGCATATCTCACACGCAAAATCGGTAAGTTCTCACTCACGTTGCCATCGAATATCGAGTATCGATCTTTAATCGTGCAAATTCTTACAGTTTCAAGACTCGTCCTGCAAGTGCGAGGACTTTCAAGAGTGCACGTCGAGCTGCGACACGGTGCGAGGTGCCATCGTGCTGCCCTACTCGAGTTTGTTGAATCACAGCTGCTATCCGAACGTCGAGAGGACGTTCGCGCGGCCCGGCAAGATCGTCCTGTTCAGCACGAGGCCGATCGGGCGAGGCGAGCAGCTGTACGACTCTTACGGGCCGGTGGTCGGTATCGGCCGACAGGAGCGACAGGATTATCTCCGAGATTACTTCGGCTTCACCTGCGAGTGTCGAGCCTGCCGGGAAAATTGGTCCACTCACACGTCGTCGTGTTCTGTCATACAAGTATAAATTGTCGCGACGATGAGTGGGCGTAAATTCATTTTTCTTACCATTGAGATTGTTACTATCTTTTCCAGATGCGCGACTCGGCCGTCACCAAGAGTTTTTTCACCGAGTTACTGATCAAGCGATTGCACGACGTTTTCGTGCTACCTCTGATCAAGCGGCCAATCGACGTGGCCACCCTCGAAAAGACTATACTCCTCATCGAAATCATTTACAAGTACTTCGATGGCTTCGTTGCTTACGCCGATTCTTTGTCTCATCGGACTTACATCGAGAGAGCCTTTTGCAAATTTTACGGCGTATGAAGCGCCGAGTTGGTATACAACGAAAAATATGCGCCGCAGAAAAATAATACCAGAACTGGTGCGTTTCTTGTATTATGAATAAAAAAATGTCAATATTATATTTGACTTACATTTTTTATTGAATTATCCAGATGAAGGCATGATGTCAAAATTACTGCATTGTCATTCAAATCAATACAGATACAGTAAAGTTAAAGTTTCACTTGTTAAATATTATTAAAACGAGTCAAACATAAAAGCTTTAGGTACTAAAAAACAAGGAAAAAACAAGGAAAGGAACTGGGGTAACTTATTATGAAACTTACATTACGACCTTGTTTATAGGTTCCAATATATTCATATTTTCGAATTAACTGCTGCATTGGGTTTGGAAAAAGAAAAAAAATGAAATACAATCTTACTTAGATACACGAAAAAATAATGTCTTTATTAAAATTCAAAACAAGAAAATTTCATACAAGAACTTTATTACACGTTATTTTCCTACTTTTTTGCTGTACTAAAAATTGAATTTGAAATATAAAACAATGCATCATTTGCAAGATGGTGCTAAGTATTTGCAGTATTAATTCTATTTCATACTAATAGGCGCACCGTACTTGAATATTCATAAAGAATTTAAGTTAAAAATCATAGTTTAAAGATTTGGAATTAATAATTGAAAATATAGATTTTTTAATTGCATTGTTCATATTAACTTTAATTGATTCATTGGAAAACGTTTCAAGATCCAAAGATTTAATTAATTCAAAAGTATAATATCCATTACTAATTCAAATGTATTCAACGATTTTTAAACGTTATACAAAAATTAAAATATTTTATATTTAAACTTAGAAATTTTATTTATAATTACAAAAATTAGATTTGAGAATTATAAAAATAAATTTACTTTCAAAATTATAATCAGTATTGGGTAATAGTTCTTAATAAAACTTTAGAAAAATTACTTCAACATGAACATTTTCCAAATGGCGTTGTAAGACCATAATACCCTTCAAAAATCTTATTAACAACACATAATAACTTACATCTGGCTAAACTAGGATGTGGTAGTGCTTTAACCATTTCATCCATCATGTCAGATATTGTTTGTATCATATCTTTATCAACCACGTATTCTGCATGATGAATTCTATCTATTAATGGATTGATTCTTTTCATAAAAGTCATTTCTTTCACATGTGTTATTGGCTCAAGCAATTTCATTTTATAAATAAATGCTTCTTCTATCCCTTCTATCGGGTACATAAAAGGAAACCAATCTTCCTTACAAGCAATGCATTGGCACACGAAAGTTGTAAGTAGTTGTCTTCTGTTCATTCTTGGAGACTCATAAAAGCAAGTATTGTATGATTCTAAAAGCTATATAAAAATTTAATAAGACAATATACGGCTAATTTCAAGCAGTATTGATAACAACAAACATTAATGAGTACCTGGGTTCCACTAGAAATGGGTTCCAAGGCATAAAAAACATATTTTATACCATCTGAAATACATCTTTTAATATTTGGTGCACAGCTGTGATTGATCATACTACTAACAAGTCCCATGCAAAATCCTCTTGTTTCTGGGTATTTTCCATCATAGATATTACAAAGTTGTGAACTACTTAAGTTACTCATGTCAGTTGGATTCACTATCTAATAAATAAAATTGTAAAAAAAAGTAAAACTAGGTGGAATTTTGAAAAAGATTAAAAGAAATTGTATTAAAAAAATGTTTGACTTACATCATGAGCATTAACAGTAATTATTTTAATTAGTTTTAAGAGCAACGATCCAATGAAAACAAAATCTTCATTTTTTGAAAGATTACGGTATTGAATATTCTTCAACTTTTCACAAAAGAAAGATGTATACTTTACCAGACAAATCAATATTTCAATTGTATAGATAGTTAAAAGATCATTTATATCCGTCGGTAAATCATGAGACAAACTCATCAGTTTATTAAATAAAATCATTTTTTGTTCAGATTCCTCATGTACTATTTTAACTGTAAAAGATGCAATAAAAATCAGATAAATTGAATTATTTCAGAACATTTAAATATCAAAAGTTATATTCACCCTGATTATTTTTGGAAATTTCCATTTTTGATTTAAGTTCACCAATTGTCCCATAATCTTTTATCAATGTTACAAGAAATTTAAGACTCATATGAGAGCATTTATGAGGAAGGTCTGGGTTACATAAAATAAGATATGGTGTAATTGAGCATTCCATATCATGATACTCTCTCCAGGCCATGTTTTTACATGTTAAAGAACAAAATATATAATCATGACATGTTTCGCATGGGATTCCACTCCATGCAACATCTAAGCAATGAGAACAGAATACATATTTATTGAAAAAATGTGGCCCAATAAAACAAGGTTTTTCTATTAATACAATATCGCCTGTTTTAAAATCAGTTTTGGCATATAGACCTCTACCCATATTTTCCGTTTGTTTTATTTCAACAAAATCAAATGGATCAACTTTTTCTCTATCCATGATAATTTTATTATACCGTTGTTTTTCCTGCAGGAACTCTTGATTTTTAGGTTTGAATTTCTTCATCGATGCTACTTCAGATTTAGTTTTCCTAATAATATTCGATATAAGATTTGCTGACTCTATAGGTAACTGCGATGCCTCGAAAATCTGATCGATCTCTCTCAATACATCATCTTTTACTGAGGAGCCAAGTGCAGCGAGACATTTGGCTTTTTGGCAATATAGTTTCAATTTCATTTGAGTTGACTCTGCCAATTGTAAAGCTTTATCTAAACTATCTATAGCCTCATTATATTTATTGACATGCATTAAGAAATAAGCTCGATTACTGTAAGCAATCATCAATTCTTCTGATTCTCTGGGAGCATAAGCCATGCTCTTGTTATAAAAATGCAGAATCATTTTATGATCGTCGTCTGTGTGATCTTCCTTGATGTATATTTTATTGCCTTCATTTCGGGCTTTAATAGATTCTTCTGCACTTTTTATTTGATATTTTAAATCCGAGGCAAAATTATTTATACCCGGTCGAGACAAAAAGTCAATTATGGCTTTGCGTTCGGCGTCCATAATTGTTTATCTAAATTTATAGATGATCGATAAAACTCATTAACAATTTATGGATTAATCAACAATAATTTTACCTTGTCATGAACAACGATGTATAGAACAGCAGCCTTAAGTATTTGGAGGATGAATTATAACAGTTGCCAAGTTTGAAATGCAGTGTCCAACACTTATTACGGCTATTCAAGCAATGATCGTTACGTTGGGAATACCCCTGAGAAGATTTCGATGAGAGTGCGCGCTGAAAGGCCGCTCACAGTACTTTTTTATCCGATATTCTTTTGAGTTTTTTTTGTTCGCAGCCCCCAACTACTAGTGCCACCGACTTGATGTGTGGTTGATAGGTGTAAGTACAAAACTTTTGCAACCTCTGGCAATGACGTAGAAGACACATTGGATAAATGACAAACGAAGTAATTGAGCCGTTTAGGTAACGTAACGATTCTTTGATTCAATGTGAAAAAACGAACTGCAGTGCACAGAGAATACTTAGTGGTTTGAGCAGTTGATAGTCACAATGAGTTATTCAATTCAATTGAATCATTTTTTTATATGTTTAGATCTTTCAACTGAGAAATGTTATTATCGGTTTATTTAGAATTTAGGTAATCCGTTATGCTGTCTGAATCGATATCGTGACTGGTATTTCGACCTATAAAATCAGAAAATTAATAAGATTCCAACGCAAGGAGCTGCTGTACGTGGTAGCATAATACAATTCAATGAGGGAAAATAATAGGTAAATGAACTGATATATAGTAGGTATATGTCGGTGTATTTATGAAAATATTCTTTATTTTGTCTACAATGGAATATTGCTTTTAAATTTTTAAATACATTCTCGAAAGATCTTTACAAAAGAATGAAATTTTAATTAAAATTATTAGCTCTTTTTTGCATCTCTTACTGTTAAATACAGAAAATTCCAAACATACTGCAATCATTTATTGTGTTGAGAGACGTAATGCACTCAAGTTTTCTGATGTAACGATTATTTAGCTCATCCCTAGCTGGGGTCATTGGCCGCGACGCAAATCCGTATTAAATCAACATACTTCAGATGCTCGATAATTATTTCACAGCACAGAATCGGCAGTCGGTATCGAGTCATTGTCAAGAAGAATTCTAGGGCCCATCGCCGGAAAAATTTTCCCATTAATATATTGCAGAGGTGCATAGTACACGCCTGGCGAAGATCAGCTGAGAACAAATGGAATCCAGACGAGAACTTTGCGTAGTCCTTGATCGCAAATAGTTTCTGTGCCTTGTAAGATGGCAGTTTAATAAAATCGTAGAGTGACTGGCTCGGAGTCACCATCTGCTCCTTTGCAATTCTAGCGAACTCTTCGTCATCATGCCAATATTTTTCGCAATCCGGTAGTTTTTCGTACCATCCATGAGCTGCGAACAATTTAATAATCGTCAAGACGTCGCTGTGTTTGAGTTTGTATCCTTTTGTTTCTAGGGACTCGATGACACTCAGAGCAGAGAATACAAATTCAAAAGTTCGAATTTGGATTGTATATTCGTGTATCATATTCTTGATGTAACTCTCAGGGGGAAAAACAAAACTGGACAGGTCGGCACCATGATCCAAGAGTACATCGACAATCTTCGGTTGAAAATTCGCTACGGCACATTGAAGGGGTGTCCCACCCAAATTGTTCAGGGCGTCAATCTGCAGTGGTCGATGTTTGTCATCGGTATTCTCGAATAATATCTTTACCCAGTCATCGTTGCTGTAACCCTTACAAATTATGTGCAGAGGTGTCTCTCCATCCTTATTAGCCAAATTCGGATTAACACCTTTTTTCAGCAGGAACTCGACTAACTTCCAGCGTATGCCGACCAGAGCCAAGTGCAGCGGTGTATTACCTAAATTGTCCTGGACATCAATTTCCAATGTCTGCTGCATATCATCATTGATTTTAAAGAATAGCTCCGCTAAGCTGATATTTTCGTGTAACCTAAAAAATTCGATTAAAGGTTTTTTGCAAATCAAGTGTAGGGGAGTCAATCCCTCCATGTTGGCCAAATTCGGATTACCACCACTTTGCAGCAGCAATTGGACCACCTTCCCTCGTTCATACTTCAAAGCTAAATGTAGCGGTGGATCAATGGTATTCGTGTCCGATTCTTGAACGTTAAAATTGGGATTTATCCCAAGCTCGAGGAATTTATTGACGACCTCATTGCAGCCAGACATACAGGCTACATGAAAATGCGTTAGCCCGGATTCGTCGGAGTAATTAACGTCGAATCTGTCGTATATTTGAAAAAGCTTGCAAACAACCTCATGTATACGTATAGCATCATAATCGGCATGGTGCAGTGGTGTGGTACGACGCAAAATTGGATTGCCATCTTTATCAATTTCGGGCTCGTCTTTATAGCCGGTCTTGATCACAAAGTCAATAAATTCATCTGGCTCGTCACAAAATCTGACGTGGACTTTTGAACTATAATCTATTAACCAATCCATCTCTTTCACTCGAAAAAATTCCTTGAGATCTGGAAGTTGTCCCTCCCATTTAACAATCAAGCGAAGGAATTTACAGAAAAATTTGTGTCTATCTGTTTCAATCTCCCAATTTACTTTTTCTCGTAAGCGTTTTAACTTTTCCAAGTCGTTACCTTTGCCACCTTCGTCTTCTTCGTCTTCTTCGTCATCTTCATCATCTTCGTCGTTTTCACCATAGAACTCTTCATCATCTTCTTCCCATCCGCCGTAGGAACTTGTATCAGAATTGTCATCGGCAGCTAACATTGTTTTGCGTGCTCACACACAACACACAGTCCCTTACGGTATGAAATACTTTTTACTTTTGCCACGAGAATCACTGACTATTCTGTAACTGAGGCGATCTTTCTTTGTTTACGCCACGGCGTCGTAACGCGTACTGATGCTGATCTTAAAACTGTAACGCGACGCTAACTACGCGCCGCCCGCCCGCTGCATTCTTGAGACAAATTGAGTCACGCGCCTATGGTTTTGTAAACATATTATATCTCATCAGCATGGAATAAAGTGATGGATAAAGATAAAGATAAGAATAATGGATAAAGATAAGATAAGAAAGATAAAGATATGGCGTTTAAAAATGAAAATAAATAAATTAAAAGAACTGAAGGAACTAATATGTAGAGAGAGAACTATAAGTCTCGGATGCTAATTAGTACTGTGACGAGCGTTTCTTTGTTTTTTTATTACTAACCTGATGAATTATAATTCGTCCAAATTTTCCGAGAAAGTTCTATGCCCCTGTGTTTGCAGCGAGTTTTTTGTCATTTTTACTATATTTTTCATAATTTTTACAATTTGTATGCAAAAAATTTTTATGCAGCATTATTACTTTTCTCATATTTCAAGTATGTGTTCAATTTTCATGTAACTTAGTAAATTTTACTGAAAAGTGCTCATTTTTATTTTGAAAGTTTCTCTGTGTTATTTAGATCAAATTTCGATTTATTTTTTTAAATAGGTAAATGATTAATTTTAGGTATCTACGTGAAAACCAATATCATTCATAAAAATATAACTTTTTAGCGCGTGAATCATGAGTAATTAAATTGTTTGAATGTCACACAGATAAACTGTAAAACAACAAGGTAAGCCAAGCTGATTTCAGAACTTTGTTCGGCTACATAATATCTAGTTCAAATTTATAAGAGCCCCTGGTGTATGAATGCCAGCCAAGCTATACTTCAACTCAAGGAGTGGGGATGAACTGAGTTTGTTGGAATCATTCACACTCTCAGCTGTCACCAAAGTCCCTTTGGCGCAGAGGATAGCGCGTTGGACTTCTAATCCAAAGGTCGTGGGTTCGATCCCCACAAGGGATGGTGACATTTTTTTTATGATTGAATTTCTTGAAGTTGATGTATTTTTCAATCAAGGCCCTGTGAATCTAACATTTGATTTCATTAATATTTTTAAATAACATCTATTGAAAATAAATTCATTGTTTATTCCTTCCTCGTGCTTTTCTCTACTCGACGATTGAAATTTTAAAAAACGGCTTTACTTAGATTACATGCACGAATCTGTACACTTCATTCGCAAATTCGACAAATAAAAAGACGAACGAAAATAATAATTTCTAGATACATGAGAATTTAGTTTTTTAAATAGGTAGCAACATTATCGACGTCCATCTCGTATATTTACCTATTCATGTGCGCCAACAACATACACAAGTAACAACAATGATATATAGTTAAGCCCGCTTGGGCTGCAGCAGCCGTAACTCGAAACTCATGCTGCTGCTGCCGCAGGTGCAGTGCAATGCAATCTCGAACGTGTACTGCGCAGTGTGGCCTTTTCCGCGCTCGTATAATCAGCTGTGTTGTTTTCGCTGCTGCTCCGACTCGACTGAACTGTCAAAATGTGTTATAGCCCGTTCAGCGTTGTTGTACATAGAAGATGACAAGATGCTCGCTGCACGATCATGCCGTGAATAACTCCGTGGCGTGAAAGCAAAAAAGAAAAACAATTGCACGACGAGTGCTGGTGTGGATTAACTTCGAATGTTTATGTGCAAGTTCGCAGTGTGATTGTTGACGCGTGACGTGAATAAAAGTAAAGTTTCACAATGGAGAAGCAGCGTCCTCGGCAGGTAGGGTTATACATTTATTATTACTTTATTTCTCGCGCAATTTTTGCACCTCCTACGAACGGACAGGTCTCTTTGTATTTGTTTTCATTGAAATGATTCATTTTTTTATCATATCATATGATTGCAAATGTGAAAAATTCTCTCGTTTGACACAATGTCATCGATCGTTTTGCAGTTGTGTGGCAATGAAAGCCCAGCTATTATTTCTAAGAAAGTCATACCCCATATCAAAGTGCAGCGCCTGTATTTAGTGTACAGATATTCAATTTCATTTAGTTTTCTTTGCGTCAGCGTTTCTTATATTCATTGTCTTTCGTTTGCACGCCAAGCCTATTGAATATTCAATACCACTAGTATATTTAGAAACGCGGTAAATAATTCGCGTTGGTAAAATTTTTTCTGCAAATCTTATTAAGTATGCCAAATTAATTTTTTTTTTAGTTAAAACAAATCGTTATATATTTACAGAAAAAAAAAGAACACAGTTTGTCATTAGCCATTGACTGTAATATACCAGATGCACCAACACTGGAAGAGTTTGAATGTCTGTTGGGTGAGTCACCAAGTAATTATCCAAAGGGTGAAGGAATAGAAAATATGGAAAGTGAATTGCATTCGGCAGCTATCGACACTAGCATATATGAGAAAGAAGATACTCGAATTCTGATTGAAGATGCAGAAGAAGAAGTGAACTTGAATACATTGGTAAGATAAATTTTTTTCTTTGCAATTATTTTTATTTTATAAATCGTTTGGTTTACAGATGGACAAAGCAGAAATTATATCAGTTGATGAAGTTGACACAGTTACACCAATTCAAACTACACAAGATGTTTTACCAGTTGTCCCTTCAGCACCAGAGATTGAAGATTTGGAAAGATCAGTTGAAGAAACAATTGCTAGTGTTTCTGCAATGGATTTGGAATCAGCGCCTACTGCTCCAATCATGGATAATATATCACACAATTTAACAGGTATGAATAATTTTTTCAAATTTTTTATTTAAAGAAATTAATTTTTCTTTACATTTTTTTTCAGTTTCTTATTTAGTTCCTCAAAACTATCAAAAACCAGTAGATATGAGCAAGTCAGATTATTCTCCTAGGAAAACAATGTCCACTAGTACTATTCAAAAAACTGTAAAACCATTTACAGAAGGACAATTGACAGCGCTCTACAGTAATCAAGAATTAAGCGTTGTTGAATCATTTGTTAATGAATTTGTTGAATTTCAACTTTGTAGTCATGCTGTCAGACAACAACATAAATTGCATGAGCTTCTTATGAGTTATTTACGTGTAAGAAACAATTTAATTGTCAATGCTCATGAAATGGAGAACTTGAAAATTGCCTGTAAAGAAACACAAAAGCAACTTTGGTGCCTTGATAAAGCTACAGTTACTGAGAGTGGTAAGTTTTACGAGTCACATAAATATAAAATTAAACCAATAATAATAGCTACAAAATTACTTTTCATATTTCTCAGGTGAGTGTCAAGATGGTAATCCTGTAAGTGCAACACACGAGTATTCGGTGGCCCATTTTAATCAACAAACCCTAGTGGCTTTGACTCGTAATCTTTCTGCAATTAAAGAATCTCTACATAATGTTCAGGCTCTTCATGGCCATGAAGCTGAAATTTTAAGACTTCAAATTGATCATTACATACAAGTAAAAATTATTTTATTATTAAAAATCATACTAAATTGTAAACACAGAAAACCTTTTATAAAAATATTACTTTTTTTATAGCGAGTTTGTATATCATGCAAAGAATTTGCGAATCTCACGGCTAATGCTCCAGTATGTCTCACAGACTATCAGCATAGCTCGCATACAATGCCGCAACTAGTCGAATTAAGAATGTGCATCACTATTTTATTCAATTTCCAACGAAAAATTTTGAAGGATAATAAATTTGTGATAGATACAAGAGACTGGCTATCAAAACTTATAGCAGTACTATTAAGAGTCGCAACTTGGCAGGACCATTTGTTTATTCTCAGTCATATTCTGCGGTGTCCCGGTGGCGTAGCAAGCTGGGCTCGAAGTTTCGTCCAAGTACCAGTAGCTCAACGCAAGTGCAGCATCAGTGCATCGCCTCTAAGCGATCCATACCTCGACCACATTGTGGCGACCCTAGCTGTAATCTTAATGCCCGTGAAAGAACGTGAACAATTTCTCGAACAGGTTCAATTATCTCTGCAAGATACTGGCACAGGTGAGTCTGACACCATTTGGGTGATGCTCGACGAGGAGGGCGAAGAAGATGAAGATATAGCCAATACCGGAGCGAATTTGTCCGAAATGGATCTAATTTCCATTCTGCATCAAATACCTCTTAGCAAATTGTTCGAGCTTGCGTTGCATATCGATCCCAGTGCTTCAAGCGAACAGAATAGGAACACCATAACCGAGCACCACATGTTGCGTCTATTCTCCTTTTCCACGGTGATTATTAGACTTCTTAAAAGAGGTTTAAAGACCTACGATTCACCAAGATACAGACAGCTGGCCAAGCGATTGAGTGCCTTGATCAGAGACGTCGTGCAGTACGTGAGCGACTTGTGGGAATCATTCGAAAAACAAAAAGTCACCGATCCGACGATGCTTAGTAGACTGTACATTGAATACGACTGCTTCTTTCTACGTGCAGTGCTTTGCATATTTTCATCGCGTCGGCTTGGTGCATGGCAATATTTAGCCGCGATTCCCTATCGCATAGTATCGCTCACTACACTTTGGCAGATATTTTATATTTTGCACACGGATTCGGTTCCGAATGATTTGCTCGATCCTGATGCCGTAGCCGGATGGGAAATGGATTTAAACTCTGCCAGTACGAGAAAGATTTTTGAAGAAAAACTTAGCCATCTACCGGGAGACGAATCTTATTTTTTGCTTACCACCTTCGCCAATATGGCTATGGCTAGGACGTACCAGGACTACGAATTCGTTCGGGCCGCCACCATCGATCTCTTTCAAATTGGCTTTCTCAGCGCGATGACGCAGGACTCCTGCTCGAAGGACGCTAGATCTTTACTCTCGAATTTAACCATCAAGTATCCGTCCTTACTTTCTGATATACTAGTCAAACTCAAAGACAATTTCGAGTCTGTTGGAAAGGTAATTTAGTATTCTGTCATTGCTTTTGAAAAAATTATTTACAACAATGCCCTTTTATGTGATTTCAGTTGAGCCTTTATCTGTTTACGGAACTTAGCATTAATCAGTGGGTGCCAAAAGATGACGATTTACGAATACTGTCTAATTGGCTTCATCATTTTCCTTTGAACTCAACCGAAAGTCATTTGGCTCGATTGATCATTTCGCATCTCAACTGGGGCTTCGATGCTTACGATAATTTGTATTTGCCATTAGAGTTTCATCGTCAAATGGCCCTACTCATCGTCGAGCTTACAATAAAATATGTTCCTGAAAACACTCCAGCTCAAACTGCCTCGATTTTAAGTGAAAGCGTCAAACAGGTGAGCGTAAAAAAAAAACGAATTTTATTTGCAAAATACAAACCAATACAGTAAAATTCCTTCCGCAGGTATCATCGATGGTTCGCCCACAGAGTAACGAGCAAGCCTTCTCGCACTGGGCCTGGGACACGCTCGCTCGCTTGCGATTGCACCAACTCGAACAGTCCGATTCCGTCTGCCAGTACTCGATTTCGTACCCAAGTCAGGCCTTTTCGAGTGTACCGGATCTCGAGGCCGATGCAAAACTCGAGATACTTGTCAACGGTATCAGGGACAAGCAGCCGGTTGCTTGTTACGTAGCCATCAGAATGACTTTGATGGGCCACTCGGTGCCGTTGATTTGCAACAAAGGCTTTGAATTACTTCAAACGTTGCAGACCCACTACAAGTACAAACAACTTATAATAACTTTAAATAGTTTGGTACCATTATTTCTCGACTGTCCGGAGTCTTTGATAAAACATGAAAAATTCATATCGGTGATCGTGAGCTTGATCCAAGCGGATAAAACTTATATGAAAATGGCCAAGAATTTCATTTCGCCAGACTTTCCTGGACCAATATTAAAAAGTTTCGCCAGCATGATTGAATTTCAATTGCAATGTCACAAAAGGTTTGTTAATCAATTAATGTTGAGCGTTTGGAAGTATTATGATAATTTTAATGCCCCATATTTCTCCATTAGATTTTGCCTGTCAGATCCTGATGTTTTGGTAAAATTATGGCTCAACACCTTCGTACTATTACCAGATTGGAATCGCGATCAGGGTATAATGTACATTATGGACATACTCGTGAGAGCTTCTTTCTTTCATTTAGGAGCTAGAGCAGCGACCGAGAACATTTTTCAAGATTTATTTTCGGTAAATATTTAAATATATTAACTAACCACAAGTAAATATGTAGACTTAATCGTTTTTTAATCGACAAAATTTTCATTGATTAGCTAGCAATAAGTGGAAGTAACGAGGTAACTTACTGATCGAATAGTAACACTTCCCAAAGTACTAGTTAACGCAATGTTCTATTTTTCCAGAATATCTCAACAACGCGTTCAGGAGGCTCTGGTTTTGGTTCTCTCTTTTCTTGGGCAACAGGAGGTGCGCAGTCACCAAGTCTACTAAGCAATTGTTCATCGCAATCCGTTTGGTTGGCCTATCAAATTTTACGCATTGAACAATTTGAGCGTGAAATAAAAACAGGATTGTGGAGAGAATTACTTCGTGAACTTGGATTACAAACAAAAAGTTCGCTCGACTCAGTGTTGAAAGTAAACATTTTTATTTATATTTGTTTTTTAATTCTAGATGTAAAGAAGTCGTTTTTCTGATACATTATTGTTTATAGAAAACCTGCGCTGCCTTGAAAATTCCGTCGTTCAATTCAAATAGCTTGGCAATTTATCGATGGTCACAGCAGGCTTTGGATACACCGATGGACCATCCTTTATTGCCTTTACTTTGGCAAAATCTTTTTACCCTTTACTTGGCTCGAGTACCTAGTTCTACAGGGTACGTGTATTATGTGTAATATTATCTTTTGTATTGACTGCATGGAAAATTTACGGGATTATTATTTCATAGAGCTGTAGATAAAGGTGGAGTCGGCAATAAGTTTTTCGAAGGCATGATGAATGTGAGCTATATGAAAAAAATTAAAAGTCGTCTTCTTGAAACCACGGAGTATTTTCAAGCCAAAGGTGAAAGTGATTTAGATGACGATAAACCGATAACCGATGAAAGGCGCATTTTTTACCTGGATACTGCCAAGTAAGATTATAATTATATACTTACTTTTGAACTGACTAAGTAAAATAGCTAATATTTACTTTAAATATAGGTTTTATAAGACTCTGAGCTTATGGTTAGATGAACCTCGACTGCAAGAAGCGGGTCTTTATTTACCGGCACTACCTCCTCAATATATGTCACAAAAATTAGTACTGATTTTACAAAACAATCAGGTAAATAATAAACAATAAAAGTTATTTATAATCCCGAATTTTTAATCTTTATTAATGAATTTCTACATACTTGAAATCAGGACCAATGGCTTGAGTACGTCGACTACGAATCGGTTAAGCAGAGTCAGTTTCAATTGGTTCAAGACTGGTGTAATTACAGCCATCAAACTTTACCCAATACTCCAAACACGCAACAGGCACCATCTCAAACACCCACGACCCCATTGGAATCCGCTGACCCCATTGAGCGAATTTCGCACCGTTTGAACAACTACGAGCTACCAGTCGCAGCACCGCCGTTGTCGAAAAGCATCGAGGTCGTGCCGCACGTGCCCAGAAAGACTATTTACGAACCCGACGCCTTAGTCGGTCTCGTGAAGCCACATTTGAAACTGATAATGGAGTACGCGCAGACTTTCAATCTTTTGATTTCCGAGCACACGGCGATCGACTGCAGCTTCCTCGAGCTCGTGCCGACACTGTACAAGGACACGGAGAGCCAAGTCACTTTGCACGCTCTCTGCGACCCTGCACCCAGTGGCCAGAGGCGATCGCGATCAGGCACGCCGCCGATCGTTCATTGTGCAGGCGCCGCCGTCATTCGAATAAAAGTAAGAATAGTCGAGACGTGATTTCAACGGCAGAGCTTTACAATTTAACTTTACATTGCAGGTTTTAGAAGCTAGAGTCAGCGATGGCGTTGACCAGATGATCAGTCAAAATCGAGCGGAGTACGAAAATCTTCTGGTAAAAGCGAGTCAACCTCCACCGCATAAAGTCACTCAAGGATGTGTCTTCATCGATCACCTTATAGCGTTAGTTTATCTTTTTAAACATATTATCTATTTTTAAGTCAAATAATGAAAAATAAATAAATAAATAATTTATTGATTACAGATTACTAGAACACGAATTGCAAGCAAATAAGACAACGGAGAACACATCGATTTTGCGCAACATACAGCAGTCCGGTGTTAAGCTCTTTTATCATCTCGTTCAATTTTATACCGAAGAAGCATCTTTGTGTCCAGCAACAAAACAATTAATTACAACTTGTGTCGAAAAATTAGGACAGGTGAGTAGTTGTCAGTTGAATTTTTTCATTAGATATCGATTTATAAACTAAGAGTTTTAAAAATGTATAGCTTTTTGTGAGCGGAGAAGAAAGCCAAGGTCCAAGACTGCTGCTTACGATAATCGATCGGCCTTATCTCGGTGGTTTACTTGGCCCTCATTTTACACCTGTAGCGGGCGGTGCATCAACGTTTTTGCAGATGTACCAAACACTTGTTGAGCTTTCTAGTGGATCCAACATTGATTTATGTTTCGTACTACTCACCAAGGTTTGATACGAATTATCATTTTTTATTATTTCAACTATTTTCAACGACGTTAGTAACTCTTAAAATTATGGAACCTTTAGTTCGACGTTGGAAGTTGGTTGAATTATCGTCGACCACGCTTGAGCGAACGATCGACGTTCATCGATTTAATCATGAGGGCTCTGTGCAATGCTGGCCTAAATCCCGAAGACGATCGCCTTGTTTTGCACGAATTGTTTCGCAATCATTTACGGCTAGTTCTTCTGCACGATTTTCCAGAACATTACGGTGAGGTTCTAACAACGGTACTACGAGGTAGTGAGAGTCAAAGCCTTTCCATTGACGTTTGGAGGGATTTATTGGGAGCGCTTAGTGGTCGAGCGAAAAATTCACCGATGCCCTTGCAAGGCCCAAAAGTCAGAGAGGAAATTCGTCGATACGCTACGGAGCAGAGATTACTTTCAAGACAGGAGGTACGTGATTGAGCACTTTTTTGTTTTAACTTCTCTGTAATTTGATGATTACTTTCATAGATACACGATACGGCCATGTTGCTGGGAAAACATTTTATGACCGAACGACTGCAGTACGGTTTGTACGGTCTGTATCCCAAGTACAGAATTTATAACGAGCCTATTACAACCTTTCTCGGTATGATTGGTCACGCGCTCGTTGTGCTCACCCTTCAGTCTGATCGCGGTACTTTAGCTGATCAACGTAAGTATTGACTTGATTCATTCAAGCCCAAATAATCTAATACGTTATTGTTATTTTTTTCAACAGTATGTGAAAAAATTTGGCCAGTACTGAGCGACATGTTTGCTCCTTGGATAACACCGTATTGGACAAGAAACTTGCGAGAACCTACTGCAGCATGGATACAGCAACTGACGGATGATCGATCGGTTCTGCTTCCCTGGATCATAACCGATGGTCCATTCGCCAATCGCACCGTTAGTAGTCACAAATAGTCTTTAATTAACCTTTACATGTACTCATAATTACTTTGCTTTTTATCTATGATGGCGCAGATGTCAATGTTCGTCGAATGCATACGTTTCATCACGGACACCATGCCAGCATCGAATCGCGTACTCTGCTACGTCTGGCAGTTTTACGTACAAAATTACGCCCATCCATCGATCAAGGATCACATACTCAATGTCGTGCACGGCAATATGCTCAGCCTTCCTTGGGACAAGTTTAATCCAACAGTGGTCGATGTCGAATTAATGCTAAAAGTTATCGATCAATATCTGCCAGACTCGCATCTCTTTCTGGGCAGTATATTCTTCGGTGTCAACTGGCAACAATGGATGACGGAACTGTTGGGGAGTCAACAATCTCCCGCCTTGCTGACTAGAGTTCACGTCTGCCTGTTAAATCTCTTTGTAAAATTGTCCAACGAACCAAACGTACGACAAAACGATCGAGCCCTGAAAGCTGTACAAGATGCCGAACGATACTCGTGGCATCTGGTCGATGCAGCAGCTTACGACCAAGTTATCAATTGGCATGTGATGAGTTGCGACCCAAGAGTAGTACTTACTACAGCCAATTCTGATGTTCATCCCATCGATATAGCTGTCCATAAGTATGTAGTATTGAAGTTACACTTCCTTTTTTTAATTTGTTTTTAATCGTTATTTCGTAAAAATAAAATGAAAATATTTTCGATCAGTTTACTGAAAGTTGTGGCTGCTTATGATACGACGGTTGTATATTTTCATCCGACAACTCTGAAAAAGCGGCAAATGTACGTGAGATCGTCAGTGAAACTTCTAGTCAATTGCACAACGAGACACAAGAATCTCGTAACAAGCAATATCCAGGCATTTACATTGGCTCTGTCACGTATGTTGGACGAAATGGAGGCGGTCGTGGGCAGTGAGTTGATTTGTTTGCGTTTCCCATTACTGACGATTTTTGAAAGATTCCAATAATCCACCTTGTTTTCATTTAATAGCTGTATCAGAATCTCAGCAAATAGCTGAAGCAGGTTTGCTGGTAACCGAATTATTACATTCGGTAAATCAGTCCGGGGTATTGGCTGAACAATTGCGTTCGAGTTGGGCCGAGTGGCTGTTGCGACGCTCGGGATCTAGTCCTGTACTGTTAGGAATTCTGCGTGTAGTCGGTCTTGCCGTTGCTGCTCCTGCAACACTTGGAGAAATTATGGAAGCTGCACTTGAAGCTTATTTCAAACAAAACGGTAATGCTTAGTTCTTAATTTAATTTTTTTCGGAATATTTTCATAAAATATTAATATTATTGTTGTGAACAGTTGTGGAAGAGACGAGACCAACCTGGGCTGCGGTATTAAGAGTTTTACAGCCAATCGTACCACGCCAGCCGCCCGTCGAGTCAGTGTTAGTGAGCGAAGGTCGCGTTCTAGCTCTTCATGCGATATTCTTGAAACGATTGCCCTCCTGTACCGATATCAAGGAAGAAGGCATGCTGCTGACGAATCTTATCGAGTGGATCAGCGCTATTAAACCAACGTAAGTGCTGCTGTTCAAATTGAAAACAAAAGTATTGGATACTCAATTTTATAATGAATTTCCATCTCAGCGAGGCGAACGAAGAAAAAATGCCGTTATTGTGGGCCAAAGCACTGGAATTGATTTATAGACAGTGCCAATACAACGAGAGCACGGTCGTGGCAGCTCGAGCACTGCGAGCTTTGGCTCGTACACTGATGGCCGTCGCAGACGATGCCGGACAGGGTTGGAATATACTTGGAGCAATCGGCTTACGTAAAGGCTCTCAGCTATCTCACAAGTAAGTTATCTCTGTATTTGCTACGATTTACCATGAAGTTTTAACTAGCCAAGCGTTATATTTTTCAGATGCAAATTTCTCAGCCGAGCACTTGCTGTGTACTGCTTGGCACAACTACCAGAATCCAAACCGCTGACGAATCCGACGAGCCTCGACCAGGGCCAATCGACTTCGAGCACGCAGCTCGTGCGTTTCACGCCACATTCCCCCGGGGTAGCGCCGCCGCGCTCGGACATCGAGTCGCAGGCCTCGGCCGAGGTACGTCCGAGTCCAGAGGCTGTGAAAGCCATGCAGAGTCTAGAGAGTCTGCTCGGCAGCAAACAGTACACCGAGCTAAAGAACGAGATCGAGCAAGCCATAAGAATCATACGTGACTCGGCCAACTCGCTGCACAACAGCAACGAGGTGTGCGGCGCGCTGACGGCTGAACTCTACTCTCAACGGTACCTGCACCCTATCACCGAGTGAGATTGGCTGACGAGGCGCCGCTTTATTCATTATAACCACGATTGCATGGAGTTCGAGTTTGATCACTTTGCTGCTGAGTGTTGATGAAGAGTTGATAAACGAAAACAAAAGGCGCCCGACGACGTATTCCTGTATCTATTTTTCTCTACGCGAAACTATGATGGAAAGGGTAAAAAGGTATAAGAAAGTTTAGACTTTGAAAGTCGATAACGATTTTAGGCTCGCGTGATATAGATCGTTTGTGTTGGACCAGAAAGTAAAAAATGTACAGAATATTTTGCGATTGATGTTGCATCATAATGTTCATGAAATAAGAAAAAATGAAGCTTGTTGCACAAGTTTACGAACTAGCTTACAAATTCGTTAAGAAATCACGTATTTTATTGCGATATAAATATATTGTTATGAGCATATTATGCGATCAAATATATTTATAAAAATATATGAGTTGACTTTTTTCATGAGTATAATGTTATTTGTTAAAATTATTATTAGATACAATTATTATTGATAAAATAATTAATCATATACACCTATCAATGGTGATGAGTAAGAGTTCATTGTATTTCAATTGATTATTTGTTACATACTCACTACTGAACCAAAGTAATTATTTATGTATGCATCTAGTTTATAAATTTTAAGTAAAATATAAATTCGTTTGATAAATTATTCAAACACGAATTTATCACTGTCGACATTTTTTTGTACTTCTTTTTTTTTAATTTGTAAAAAAGTCATTAGAATATTTTATCAAAGAATAAATAAATCAATAACGCTATTCCGTATTTTTATCACAAATGTTTATTAATTTTATTATAAAAATTCGCTTGATTAACATTTGAGTCAAACTCAATTAATATCAATAGTTAATTATAATTTCGATTTTTACAATTAATTTTTATGTACAATTCAATTATATTTATCATTGTCATATAATTTTATCAATTATTAATAATATCAATGAACAATACCTTCATCTTTTCCAAGATTTTTAGATTTAGTCAACAATTTAGATACTTCACTACAGTCCATCTCTATAACATCGCATCTGAATTCATCGGCAAAAGCTCTTTTCAACACAGGTATAGCATCTGCTACTGTAACATTTGCAAAAAGTTCTTTGCTCAAGCTAGTCACTCCTTTCTCTTCAATTCCACAGGGTATTATATGTTCGAACCATCGAAGATCAGTATTACAGTTTAAAGCCAAACCGTGGCTAGTTATGTATCTGCTTGCATGAATACCAATCGCACAAATTTTTCGATCTTCAATCCAAACACCTGTATCGGGCGAAGTCTCTCCTTTTAATCCAAATTCAGCGCAGACCCGTATTATTGTTTTTTCAATTTGAGACACGTAACAGCGAATATTCGTTTGGAATTCTTTGAGATCGATAATTGGATAGGCTACCAATTGACCTGGTCCATGAAATGTGATAAGACCTCCACGATTCGTACGATAAAACTCGGCATTGAGTGCTTTTAGACGAGCTTCGTCTTCTTCTCCATATCCTTTATTTCGAATCCCAACGGTATAAACAGGATCATGTTCAAGTAATACTAAAGTGTTTGGGGTATCCTCTTTTTGCAGTGTACGATGTCTTTCTACCAAATGTTTTTGCAACTGCAGACCAGCTCTATAACTCATGTGACCTGCCCATAAAACTTTTACAATTCTTCCCGCCATTTACAATGATTGTAAGACTAAAAAAATTTAGTATCAAACTCAGGCACTATGAATACCTGTACACATAATATGATATAAAAATTATAAGTAAGTATAAAAATATAAATTATTTAAATTATTCTTTTTCAGACTCTTCAATTGCAGCTCTTTCAATTTCAGCTGCTTCTTTTGCAGCAGCTTCCTCTAGTAGTAATTCTTCTTTTTTTATTGTCTGGTATAGCAGTAATGAGACCTAATCAAAGAGTAAATTTATATAAATTAAGATACATAAATCCTGTTCTTGATTCTTTTCTTTACTTACATATGCATCAGTAGCAGCATATATTTTTTGAACTTCACTCAAAGGATGAATGTGCCACTTGCTATTTCTTACTCTTGGATCTTTACTAATACTTTTTTCTAACTGCAATATTAAAAATGTATGATTTAATGTATTTGAATAGTGGTAGTATAATAATCAAAGTACTATTTTTTTACCAAAAATTCAGTTAGACGTTTTAGACTCCAGCGACCTGATCTGTCTAGAATTCTATTTGCATAAGGTCCACAATCCAGACAATTATCATCAACTACCTTTTGCCCAGGAAATTCTTTGAAATCTCTTGTCAATTTCCGTACATCACTTTAATACATAGATTTTTTATTAATAAAATCATTGTCATTCTGATCATGCATAATTTAATCAAAACTAACTTTTTTATATTAACACCAACAATTTTAACTTTAGGATGACTGAGCAATAAAACAAAACTAGCTGGTAGTTTTTTTAAGTTGTAGATGTGCAATAGATAACATTCCTTCTCTGACAGACAAATTTGAGCCAATGCTGTTTTACCAGAGCCAGTTTGAAAGTTAAACGGCCACTCCAAGTCAAAACCTATTGGAATGCAGAGGTCACTGCTTTTTTCAACTTCAGCTCTGTTATCAAAACAGATAAAATTAACAACAAGTTCACAAACATTGCCATATTACTAAATGAACTTACAGCAGGTCGTCGCAAATTTTGGCACAATCATAAAAATCATTTGTATATTTTATAGACCCTTGAAAAAGAATTGGTGGGAATTCCTCAATGTAAGTTTTCTTCGGTCTTTTAACTTTTTCTTGCTGTAAAATATTATTTCAATTAAAATTTATATAAAAAAACTTGGTCCAAAAACCATAATAATGAATTTACCTTTTCATCAGCTGGAAGATTTCTAGCTGACCTTCTAAGACCTTGAACAGAATTAGTATTTTCTTCTTGTTTAGATGTTTTCTGTAACAATCAATGAAGAGTTGAAATAACTTGTGCAACATTTGTAAATGTGACTAGTAAAAAACTACAACGAAATCCTCACTTTTTTATCCGCTTCAACTGGTTGTGTTTTCACTTTTTTATTCTCCTCGTCGGCAATGGCAATATTAGCAACTTTTTCACTGAGAGGTTCCAGAACTACGGTCAAAGAACGATCAAGCACTTTAGCTTTGATGTAGTCGGATTCGGTCTTTTCTGCGGGCGCATCGGCAGCACTATTCTCGTTCTCGGTCGACAAATACTGACAAGAGAATCAACATATTTACAAACGAGCAACGATCAATTATTATTATGATGATGATGAAAAGAGAAAAGAGAAAGATAAGTACGGTTTTTAAAATAAAGCGTAAGATGTAATAACTAATCTCGGTGTTATGTACAAGTCGAGCAATGAGGCTTGTCTGCTATTAATATCTTATCGCAGCTGCCGCGCTGCGTTTCGCGAACTGCCAGCTTACAAAGTGCACGTAGTACACAAGTCAAATAAAAACACATTTGAAATAGCAGACGAAAAATGTGACAATGTTTTTTTTCCGCCCGATGACATTCGAAGTGAGCTTGCACATATTCAACTTTTATTTGAAGTAACTCACGTACATACAGCATAAGCAAGCTCGAAGTTATACTTTAGACGCGTGCATCCTAGGGGATTGTTTGTAAGCCCACTGACTAATCGACACTAACCTCCTTTTTGAGCCAAGACTTGATCGATCGCGATTTCACGATCGCTGATTGCGGCTGACGTTTGGCAACTTTTGACATGATGAAAAACAGTAATCGAGCTTGAATACTTTAATGCTAATCTTATCGCACGAGCTGCGCAAGTTTGATTAAAATTTCACTATTATTTATGCGTTTTGTACGGCGATGCTTGCACAGCTGCGGCGAAAGCAGCACAGACGCTGTCAATTGCTCGCGATTCCCGCCAAATAAGCTTTTGAATTTCAAGAGAGGGCGTTTTAAAGATTCTCAACGGCCTGCTCTGGAACTGCATGTCAGCAAGTTATCGGTACAATTTTAGAGCTGCGAAATTTTAGTTAAGTACCTTTTTGGGAAAACCAATCGCCTTTTCTTGAACGATTAGGTTGATATTCGAAAACGTTAAACAACATGAAAAAATGAGTTTAAAAGGGCTTATTTTTCGAGTTCTGTTATAAATGATCGATACTATTAATTATTTACAAATGGAACTCAATCGTAAAAACTTTTTGATTATTTAATAATGCACATTATTTGGCATCGTGCTACAGCTCATACGTAAAAATAAATTATTTTTTGACTCACACATTTTTTTCTAACATGTTGTTCATAAGGTTCGTAGAGAAAGGTGTTGACGTCAATCTTGATTGCTCTCATGAATGAACACCCAAATAATACCACTGTTGTTGATTCGGCAATTATTCGCATTTTCGAGTACATAGTATTTTGACGAATGAAAAGGATTATGATGATTTAATGTTAAAATTTTACGTTGCACCAAAACAATTCAAATTCTGTTAATATATATGATTTTCTATGAAGAAAAAAATGGAGTTCAAAAGTATCAGAGATTAAGCTGAAAATTCATTAATTATTTTACAAAAAATCAAAATGTAGTTAATATAGCCGGAAGACGTTAGCAATTGTTTAAGATCTTGAGGTTTTATGAAAAAAATGACGTTAAATCGTTTTTATTATTGATGTGCAACAAGAGTGTTTGATTAAAGTTAAAATTTAAATTTTAAAACACATGTTACCGTGTCCTATCGTGCATATCCTCCGTGCGAGTTTTTAATGATTTTCAGATCATTATTCTGGAAGACATAACGATCTCCGTGTCAGATATTTGGGAAAGTGCGTCGGTATCTGCTTCTAGAAAAACTTTCTTTGTGTTAACAATTATCTTACTTTACAACTTTAAAATGGGCCAGGCGTGTGTTGTTCTCCGTGCGATATTTCACCCAGTGGTTTTCGAATTTCAAATTAATTTTTTTATCCATTAAAATTGAAAAAAAGAAACAAAAAAACATCGGTCTAGACGTACTGTTTATAAACATAATTATAAAAATTGTTTGTAATGTAGCAATTAATATTAATTATTAATTTATCGTGATTTAAAAAAGCGTATTTTTCAAGAATCATGGAGAGATATTGAAATTGCAATTTATAAGTCTGCGGAGAAATTGCTATAAAGTACGGGAACTTTTGACGCGCGCAATATCAAATATCTCATTACAACGATGAGAGGTAAACACGATTCCATCGAGTCGATGAAAGGTATTACTTGAAAATTTAAGAAGACACGCACAGCAGCATCAGATAGGGCGCCGCGTAGATCAGGTTCGAACGCGTGCGCAGGAAATTCTTCGATTAAAAATCGCGATTCGTTTTAAATGAAACAAAGGAAGTACAGTGTAATTCAGCAGTGTTGAAATAACGTATTATTATATATACGTAGATCACGCACTGAATAAATTAAAGTTATAAGAGCGATTGACAAGGTAAGCTTGAGCGATAAAACAAATAAGCAAGCGCGGCTCGATCATGCTTCTGTCAAGTCTTTTTATTTTTTATCGCGACGAACGAGCAAGAGATTTTTGTCGTCAAGCTTTATAAACGCTCCACATTATCATTGCAAATCGTATGGATGGATATTTTTTTCCCCCGATTAGTGCGCGGTCCGGTCATACTTTCCTCTCGAGTCCTCTCGATGGTGCTCTGTAGTGCGGCAGCTCGAAATAGTTTCATCGTTACGATCGACGTAGTACAATAAATTGGAGGTGTATACATTGCGGCACGTACAGCGACGAGGTCGAGAATCGAGCCTCGCGTCTCTTTATTCGCAAAACGGCTAATAATACAAGAAATAATTCGGTCGAGTAGTTATTAAAACTCCGAGCTTTAATGGAACCGTAACGAAAGGATCGCAAACATCGGCCGGCTGATCGATCAATTCCGAAAGTAAAACCTGTGCCCCCCGTGCCTGCGTGCTCTTAAATATATACATGCGCGACGACAACGACGGTGTCTACGGCGGCGGACGAAGAAGAAGAGCGTATAAAAAGATACGAGAGTAGGTTAGCGGGACTTGATCTCTCTCCCTCTCTAGTAAATGTGTACGTGTATTCGCTCATACACTGTACCTTGTACCGACAAACAATCAATCGGGTTTCGCGCGCCGCGGCTCAGGATGACTGCACGCTCGCTCGCCGATCCGGCCAGCCGATCGATCGATCGCACAATCGCGACGGTGCACAATTAGAAGAGCGCATTTTCCATTTCTATCGGAGTGTCGAGCGTCGAAAGTATTTATTTCTCATCGACTTGGTCTCTCGCGTGCATATTTCTCGCTGCACGCGCAATCTTATGTCAATCGATTTTTCCAAACGAAAGCCGCGCGCATCATTCGTCAACACTTTGTCGCGTTTTATTCTATGGATATAAAAGGCAGTCGGACTGCTAAAGAAATTAAGAGAGCGAGAGAGAAAAATTAAGCGTAACGAAAGTCGAGAAGCGAATTTCCCCTGGTCGAAAAACACGGTACATATTTGTAAGCGCAGCTGTGCAAGAGCAGCAGGTTCAGAGAGAGAGAGAGAGAGAGAGGGACGAGCATACAGATAAATCGCGAAGAAATTACAGTAATACGACGTGACTGCAGCACGTGTAATCAGAGATATGCGCGGCTCGAAAGGTCGAATAACCACGACGATTAATTAACTCTCGCTCTCTGACCTGTCGGTGCGTGCGCGCGCGTATACAAGAGTTCCTTTTACGCTTGTGTATATATATTATATATACATTTATAAAAGCACACATCTATACACACGCAGCGCACTGGGAAATATACACGTGTAAATCGGAGAGCTGCCGTCGCCGTCGCCGCCGCTGCTGCAATAGAGGTGAAAATCCGCGCGGCCTGAATTCCGGCCTGCACACCGAACTTTACGACTTTTCGCGAGCAGGCAGCAGCAGTAGTAGTAGTTGTTGCAGTAGTGCGCAAGCTGAGGCGCGTTTTAATTTACCACGCCTCGCGGCGTTCTTGAAAATTTTTAACGCACGAATCGCGCGCTTTTTTTACGAGCTCCACTTTTATGACAAAACTTGGCCCAGGCGCGATCGACGCTCTCCGCGCGGCAGCGAATCGTAAAGAACCAAAAAAACACGCCGCAACTTTCATTGTCGAGGCATTTCTATATACCTATCTCCCTCGATCGCTGCTCGATCGGGCCTGTTGCTTTTTTTTTCTACCCCGCGCGTTGCGGCGCACTCGAGTCGAATGAAAATCGATCGAGTGCATTATATGCCTATAGATAATATATTCGAGACGCCTCGTGCGAGTAATTTCGAGCTGCCTCGAGTGATTAAAAGGAAAAAAAGCTCATGTATATATACGGCCGGAACAACAACAACAACAACAAAGACCACTACGAGGAGAACTGCGCTGCTAACAACGAGTAAAGCGCGCTCGCGCACGCGTGTAAACTTTATTATCATTCGATTGTTGCAGCGATTTTTTCGCGTCATTTAAAGTCGCCACTCTTACGGCCGATGTTGTTGCTGCGTGTAGCTTTCGTCGAGCGATTCACACGCGTATATATGTGTGTGTGTGTGTGTGTGTGTGTGTGTGTGTGTGTGTGTGTGTGTGTGTTTATATGTATACATGCGCTACGGCGTGTGCATTATATATACGGTAGCGCGCATTTTATTTGGCGAAACTTTCGAGCTAAGGCCGCCGCCGTCGACGTGCTCCGAGCGAGACAAAAGTAAAAGTCGCCCGAAGATTTATCATGCATATATATACTCGTACGTGTTCTGGACTTATAATGTCTCTCGGAGCGCAATACACTGTATTGCTACACCCGTGTGTAAACTGCACCCGATTTACCGAAACCAAAAAATAACAAAAAAAAACAAGCAAACTCGTCGAATATCATATTTCGGTGAAACGTTTCTCTCTCTCTATCTCTCTCTGAGTTTGCGATGCGAGTTTAGTTGTGTCGCTCGAAATATATGGGCGAAGAGCACACGACGACGCGATTTGATCAATCATCGGAGTTCTAGGCGCTCACCCGTTGTTTTTTTAAAATCATTGGAAGGTACCCTATGACAATTGAATATTCGTTCGACTTTCTCTACTTTTATCCTTGGTTCGCCGGTCCTACTTCTCTTTAATGATACGCGCAATATCCGCACAAACTATAAAATGCACGATGACGATCGACAATGGCGAAGATTCACCGTTACGACGTGTGTCCGCGTCACTCCGCACCGATCGCGGCATATCGACTAAACTTAAAATCCTCGCGCTTGCTAATCTCCGAGAGCTGGCCCATTAGCGCGAACGCGCCTGCCTATGTAATCAAATGCCAAGCCAAGTTAAACCGCGGCACTTTCGTTTTTGCGAGGAGCAACAAAAAATGGGTAATAATTGGCGTGTGCAATGCTGCTGCGCCCGCAACGAGAGAATTTCCCAAGGTCAATGGCAACGAAATTATAAATTTTGCAGCTGTCAGTTGTAAATTGCTAATGATCGGGCGCGCGCGCTGGAGAGCTCGTGTGCAGTAAAATCGAGCGGTGTTATTCACCTCTCTCGAGCGCGCGCGCGGGCGACTTATCTCGCCGTTCGATCGGCATAAAATATATAGTCCAACGACCCGGTGCAGTGGCTTTTGCGCTCGCGCGAGATACGCGACAGCAACACGTGTGCGTGTAATCGAGCGAGAGAGAGAGAGAGAGAGAAAGAAAGAAACGAGACCTGCTACTGCACATTAGGAGCTGCAAATCTAATCAATCGCAATCTATAAAGATCGGCTGCCAGCGTAAACAGAGAAAGAGAGAAAAAATCGGTTTCGAACTGTTGCGCTGCCGCCGCCGCCGCCGCTGCCGATCGGAAAATTAGAAAGTGAATGACTGCTGCGCGGGCGTGCGTGTATATACACATCTATACTGCTTCTACTCGCGGGCGCGCGCGCGTGTGTGTTAGTGAGTCAGTGAGTGAGTATACGTATATATATAAAGGATACGTTTATACGCTGTATGCCATGGACGCGAGAGAGAGAAAGAGAGAGAAAGAAAGATCACTTTCTTCGCTCGGATGCGGTTTTAAAGTACTATTACTAGCGCGGGACACGCTCGGCCTGTCGGCACATCGAGAGCAGCAGCCGTGGCGCGCGGTCGACTCGGAGCCCAAGGCGCGCACTACGTTTTTACCCGCGGAAAAATTTCCCCCAAAGGGACTCTGCTCGCTCTCGATCGGGCCAACTCCGACGCGACGACCCTCGACCAACATGTAATCGATCGTTAACTCGTGGTTTTTGCGACGACGACGACGACAGAAGAAAAATGACCGACGACAGTGAGTCTCGTGATACAAGTGGATGAGTGTGTTTACCCGATTTTGTGTCGGCGCTTCCGTTGTTGGATCGTTACAGCACAAGAGCAATGGTGATAGAATAAAGTAGTTCGGATCAATCGTTCGATTGACGCAACAAAAAAAGGAGAGAGAGAGGGAGAGACGAGCGATCGACGCAAAAACAAATCAAACGTTGTTTCGACCGAGCACGAATACAAAATGAAATTGCAATTCAAACTTTTTTTCATTGTATTTTTCCCTCTTGTCCAACGAAGCCTATCCATGATGAAAGCCTTCAAAGACGACCATTCTAGTAAGTATAATTATAATCATTGACACTGTTACACAAACGTTGCATCTTTCATACACAAATTACACGTTTTCTCACGCAATTAGCTTTAATCGACACTTTCGATTTTGCCTCGATCGATCGTCCGATCGACCGATCGCGCGTCTTGTAATACACTGCGAATCCGTTGTTTGATAGCATTGAACCAACAATTCAAGGCATATACGAATTACGAATTCCTTAACCATACGTAAACATGAGAATCACAAAAAAAAAAAACGAAAACGAAAACGCCGTTCAACGGCAGAATGTGGATGTCCAGCAGTTTGGCAGCGTCAGCCTCGACAGTACGACGGCGGCGGGCGACAGACCGGTCGCATATTCAACGGCAAACCGACGAGGAGAGGCGCCTGGCCGTGGCAGGTATCGCTGCAGCTGCTTCACCCGAAACTTGGCTTCGTCGGACACTGGTGCGGTGGTGTATTGGTGCACGAAAATTGGGTTCTCACGGCGGCCCACTGCATTCACAAGTTAGTAGTGTGCCATTCGATAAAGCTCGAGTCGCGACAAAAGTCATTACCACCTCCGCTAGTTGACTGATCGATCTTAAAAATCCGACGTAACTGTTTTGCAGCGAGCTTTTTAATCTTCCAATTGGAGCTCTATGGACTGCGGTATTGGGCGAGTGGGAATTAGACAGCGGAGGTCGAGGAACAGCAAGATTACCTATCGAGCGTATTGTAATACATGAACATTTTGAAAATTATGTCAACGACATCGGTAAGTCATTAACTGCAAATATTTATTTTTTTTTTATTAATAAACGTTACGATTTTATTATCGATGGTTTAAAAAAACAAAATGATCTATAAATAACATTAAAATCTTTGTTCATGAAAAAATTATTTTAAAATAATTTAAAATACAGTTTACAGTTAAAACAAATATTTTTTTAAAAGTCTAGCAAGCTTAGATAATAAAATTTGATCAAACAAACATTGTGACAATGTTACATTTTTAAAAATAACCATGCGCTATGGCTCATGATGGTAAAATTTTAAGTAAAAATTGAAAGAAAATAAGATGATAAGGTAATAGCTATTTCATAGCCAACTGCCTTTGCTAGTAACGGCGAGCAGTCTGAACCAATCATGTGATATTTTCTAAGGGTATCGTTACCAAATTGATAATCATCGGGAAAACCTCGAGCTCGTGCTAACTCGCGTACACTTATCAAACGTGGGTGATCTGGATGAATAAACGGACCCTAGAATCAGAATACATTTTTATTTCGAATGATAATAATGATAATGAGCTTGTAGTCAATAGCAATATTTATAAAACTACCTGTAGTGGTTCTGGGTTTGTTATTCCACCCGGAAAAAATCCCCGCCAATCCAAACGACCGTATAATCCTTTCCAGTGGTCATCGCGACTTTTAGCAGAATGTGCTAAACACCAAGGTATGAGCGTTAACTCTTTGGCAGGCTCACATTTCTTTTTTAAATCATTTTGCAAACAGCCATCGCACTCAAGTACAGGACTGTTACTTTCATAGTTATAATTTCTGAAAGTTGCAAAAATAATCAATGAATAATTTTGAAAAAACAAAATATAATTTCAAAAAATCAATACAAAGATTCTAACAATTTACTAGTCCTTGTACCATCTTTCAATTTTACTTCGATATTCGGTAAATTACGCCAATCTGCGCCACTTGATTTAGGTACATGCGATATGCGTGCATCTACGATTGGTTCTAGTTCGTTGCACTCGTGATCATAAATAATAGGATCCTTCATATTTTGTCTCATCTGCAAAAATATTTATAAATATTTATAATATGTAAATGTTTCACCCAGTGTGTTATTAATATATAATACGTTATCTCACCATCTTTTGATACGATGATTTTGACTCACACATGTATTCGGAATTTTTTCTATTTTGAACTTTAATACTCGATAAATCAGATATAGCATCCTCAACTGTAACGGCGCGAAGCGGCGCTGAATCTGAATGGCAAGTATTTGTGTACTAAAGAATTTAAAAAAAGGACGCATGAGTTTTCTCTGTATGTATACATGTACATATGTGTATAAATTTTATGCTAAGTAACCACCCACGCGCTCGCTAAACTTTCACTCTCGCGCACCTTGGCTTTGAGAGTAAAAGTGACTTTGAATTTCTGATCGCACAAACAGTTCAACTTTCGCTTTGTATTGCGATGTGTTGACAATTTTTGAATTATTGTGATATAGTCCAGTAAATTCTTACCTGGATACCATCGATTATGATCTTTGGCACGAGACTTGTCTTCAAAAATACAGTCGAAGGTTTTGGGAGTTTTGGCAATGATTTCAATGAACGAGTACCAAGAATGATAGTCCTAAATTATGAAACAATCATGTATTAACTTTTGAAAATTTTTTGGTTCAATTCACCAATTTATTTCGAGTTACCTTTTACTATCCTGTGGAATACCGTAACAACCTGCTTGCAAAAGGCCAAATGACAATTGATATCCTAATTTTTTAAAAGTGGCTAGTAGCAATTTAAACAGTATTTCTCTCTTCATGAGCCTTTCGTCTGTTTCTATTATGAAGTATAATGGTTCATAATGTTCACAGATTGATACAAAAGTTGTCAAAGATGAGTTTTGAAAATAATTTATTTGGTCGACTGATTCAATATTTTTCCAAGGCAAAGATCCACATAATAATTCAACTTCTTCTTTTTGAGGTATTGATTCTTCACCTAATTTTGTATCTCCCTGTAAAAAAGTCGTTTTATGATAATGCTAATTTATAAATATCGATGATAAACAATAGTCAACATACCGCAATAATTCTTTTTAAAAAGTTATCGCTTTCTTCGCAAAAACTAACAGTAGATGGATTGTTTAATTTTAAAACTTTTATAGCTTCTGGATCCGCCTCAACTGCCCAACAAAGTTCTGATACATTAGCTTGACATAATCCTAGAGCCATGCCTAGAAATCATATGATGATGAAACAAATGATGAATATATTAATATATTGAATCTTATAAAAAATGTATACCTCCACAACCCGCATAAATGTTCAAAGTGCGCAGTTTGTTACATGTAGGATAATTTTTTGAATTATTAATGTTCGATAAGATTGATTCACAATCGTTACTAATAATATCTGTAATTTTTTCATTTAAATATTGCTGATTGAAAATGAAACGGTCACGACCCATAGATGACCAGGTGTGTGAACAAGCAAGTTTTGTTGTATGTTCAACATAACATTTACCAATGACATGCTCAAATGGCACAACTTGATCTGAAAATTACATTAAATTATTTTAAAAAAGATTGTTGAACCAATTAACAATTCTTTCATACCTTCATTGCTCCAAAATAAAGTATTATTGGAAACTTTTGAAGTTATCTTTTCTCCTTTAATAACATTTTGAGGACGATAAAATTTACGAATTTTTACCCATAATTTGCCTTTGACATTCAATATTTCTCGGATTATACCAATATCAAAGGTACATTGAAATTCATCAATATAATTTTTTTCACTAGAAATTCTAGAAGATTCTGGATATTTTGATAAATCATAATTGATTAATATAATTTTTGGACCTGCAATATAATCAACGAAGTATTTAAAAAGTGAATTTAATATTGTGTATAATTTTGGCTATGACGTACCGATATTAAGCATTGGATATTTAAAATACAAAGTTCGCGGTTTCAAATAAACGCAACTTCCAATTTCGTAAATTTCATTCTTGTGATGAATTGAATTATAGCTAATTTTAGAGCTTTCTTTAGAAATAACATTCATCGGACGTGGATCCTCATTACTTTCACAGTTTTTGCAAAACTGATTCACTAATTTGCCTTCTTCGTTAAATTTCGTAGAAGATAGATTGGAAAACCAACCTGTTTCCGGATCATAAGCTTGATAAGTATAATATTGAACAGATCTTGCAAGTTTATCGGTATTACAAGATGAATCCCTAACAGAAACATTCGCTTTATTCTTTATAACAGAAATTGGTAATGTGATACATTTATTAATGTAAACTATCTCATTTTCATCTCCAATTTCATTGAGTATGGTATCTTTGGTATGCCAAAAGAAGTAAGCGTGAAATTTTTCTGACCCTGTTTTGTCAGCCCACATAGATATTATGTACATTACTTGATCTGCCATCTCACAATTTGAAGGTGAAACTAATACAAAATCTCCAGTCGATATTTCAAGATTATTAATAGCTACTGCGGAATAAAATGTTCTATCAGATTCTGAAGCGATTGCATCTCCTATAAATTTTATATTAGAATTATAGGGTCTAAAATCGCCTATTTTTTTGTGGTATACTTCAGTATTGTTTGCATGGAATACTTTGAGAAAATTTTTATCTTCTAAATCTTGATCATTTGCATGCTGAAATAAAATCATATAAGTATTCAATTATGATTCAATAATTTATAAAGCTGTAAAATTAATTTTAATAATTCACCTTAATTTCACTGTAAAAGCATCTTCTGTAAAAGCAATTGTCTTTATTCTGAGACACACAAGCTTTACAACTACTACATACTTCTCGAGCACATCTTGAACAGTTATCACATCTATTTATTTGTTTAGTCTTTAAATTAATGAATTCTTGTTCATTAAATTCTGGTAACAATCGTTTAATAAAATTAAAATTTTTTGTAGCTGATTTTCCATGGAAACTTTTTTTCAAATTGTATTGTTTCTCATTATTGATTTGATTGCATTTCTAAATGAAAAATTTTCAAAAGAATTAAAACAATAATAATTATAATTCAACTTCGAATTCTTACCTGATTTGCTGATGTTATGGCAATTCCAGAAAGATCAATTAGTCTTCTTAAACATGGTGCAATGATGAGTAGAGATTCGTCTGGCTCAGCAAGGTCATCAAAAGATATCACTTGTTCACAGATAAAAGTAGAATATTGGAACAATGTTTCTTCACTAAGCTTCAGATCATTACCACCATAATTAAGTGTTGAGGTCTTACATAAAAATATGTTTATTAAAATTTGAATAAAATAGTTACTTTTTAGTAATAAGTGTACTCACTCGAATTTTATCTAATAAATCTTCATAATTAGAATTTGGTTCATAAATAAGATACTCTATAATAATCTTTGATATAAAAATTTTTAACATCACTGAGTACAAAAAAGGTGCATATTCTTTGCTAGGTTGCATTAAATAATATTCCCCTAAATCAGTGCTAAGACATATGCGAGGTTCTTCACCCTTATCAAATCCTGTGGACCACCATTCAAGAATAGGTCCAAGATTTCTAGCAGGAACACTATCTTGGATAGATTGATCTTCATCTTTTATTGATTTTAAATAACCAGAGAATTTAATTATCACATCATTTTCTATTAATCCTGCATCTAATGAACATAAGTGTTCTTTTTCACAAAATATGCTAAAATAAAATAAATTCATTAAAAAATATTCATAAGAGTATTTATTTTTATATACAAATGACATACCTAAAATGTGTTATTCGATTACAAGCTCTGATGTCTTCTGTTGCCACATTATCTTCGTTCCCATTGAAAATACATAATTTTGAGTCTGTTATGGCTACTTCTTCATTGAAACCATTCAATGGTTCACCGGAATAAAATTTCAAGTTTTCATCTAACTTTTGATGGCAACTTGTACAAGTTAATTCATTATTCTCATTTATTTCCAATTGTGAGAATGGTGATGCAATCCTTTCTATTAAGGAATTTTGTAAATCGATTTTAAAATTTTCAAGTTCGTCAGTAGATTTCTCATTAGGCATTTCATGTATTTGAGACGATCCATTGTTAATAAGATTATCATTTTTGTTTTGTTTATCAGTAGATTCCTCCATATAAGGCATGTCATATATTTGAAAAGATTCATCATTAATTGAATTTATTTTTTCATGTTTTTCAGTAACATTACAAACAGCTTCACTATTGAGTTTTGGCTTTTTACGATTGAAAAAATGTTCATAGTTTTTGGTGACAGCTTTTCTTTTGCTTCTTCTTGGTTCTTCAGCTTCCACCACATTTTCAGGAAATTTTTTGACGGTTTTCCTTTTTATTGATGCTATTGAGGTCTCCAATTCATGATCATCAAGTCCCACCTTTTGAGAATTATTTTTATTTTTCTTTGAACGAATTCTCATACTTCTTTTTATAGCCCCTTGTTTATTTAAATTAGACTTTAGTAAGGGGCTTTTTTTGTCAAAGTTATCATCTTGAAAAGGTGTATCTGTTAAATTTTTACATTCTTGCTCAGACCTATGATTATTTATATTATTTTTATTGTTCCTGGCAACATTTTTCATTGAATCAGAGGTATGGGGCAAATTTTCTTTTACAGAATGATCACTTGGGAACAGTTTATCTGTCATATTTTCATAGTTTCGCTCTAATTTATCATTATTTTTCAGTTCTTTTCTCCCAATATTATTTTCTTCTGTATCAGACAGATGATATAAGTTTTCACTTAATGAAATATTACTATAATGAGGTTCATCTGTCATATTTTCACATCGTTGCTTGGAATTATGATCATTTCTGAGCTCTTTATTCCTAAGATCATTTTTTTCTGAATCAGACATATTGTGTAAGTTTTCTGTAAATAAATCATCGCTGTAAACAGATTCATTTGTAATATTTTCACAGTTTTGCTCAGAACTACAATTATTTTCCTTATCTATTTCAAAATTGGGTATACTTTCAAGTTTGGCATCAACTGCATTTTTTTTGTCTGAATTGGGCACAATTTGACATTTCTCTTGTAAAGAATTATTACCTATAAAACAAAGTTTACTTTCTGTATTTTTTTGTATACAATCGTCTACAGAATAATTTTCTGTATCTTTAGAGTCACAAGCGATTTCCGACTCCTTTTCATTGGTATCACTATCTTCTGATTGACAAGTATTATCTGTATCTGTTTGAGTAATATGACTTTCTTTAGAGTCACAATCAATTTCATTTTCCTTTTCAGTATAATTATCCCCTTTAGATTCAAGCTTAGTATTCAACTTTTTAGATTTCTTCTTAGTTTGAGATTTCTTTGCCTTCACATTTGGCTCTTTTTTAAGAGTATTTTTAATTATTTTATTCTCCTTGGGAGTTGGTAAAAATCTCACTTTTTTCTTTTGGGGCTTAATCTTAATTTTCAGTTTATTTTTAATGATTTCAGGCCTGGTTTGCAAATTTTCTTTTATGTTATTATTGGTCTTTGATCTCAGCATAATTTTAGAATTATTTTCTTTAGATCTTGTAGTCATTCCTGAATCATTATTTACTACTTTTGTTTTGCTTTTTATACTTTCTGGAGTAGTTTTTTTCACCAACTGGGAATTATTAACAATTTCTTTTAAACTTCTTCTAACGTTGGAGACCTTGATAGCTTTTACATCGCTTTTTTTCATAGCTCGCTTGGCTTTTCCCCCAACTTTTCCACAGCTCACCTTTTTCAATGTATCATCGGCAGAGAGAGATCCACTGCGTCTCTTTTTTGCACTAGTATCCTTCGATTTTTTTCGAGTTTTAGCCATCTTGTATTTTCGTTCACTTTCCGATTCACTACACTTCGACTATCAGATGCACCAACTTCCAATAGACTCTAGTTCGAGAGTATATAACCTAATTACTCACTCAACGTCTTATCGATTTCGTACACAAATCCACAAAGAATGTTTGCTCACTAATTAACAAGATGTGACGTTGGAAAATGAAGAACAACTTTACGCTATAAACTTGATCCATGCACCATTGTTTTCATGTTTCAAAAATATAAGTGTTTCACTTTCAACCCATTGAGATAGAATGCAAAAACAGAGCGCGAATTCGAGAACACAAGTGGCCAAAATGAAAATCGCCCACAATAGTCCTCCTATAACAGCAGATAGTGCAGTCGACAGAGTAATAAATTTTAAGCCAGCGAGGGCTCGAGACCGCGAGTACAGAGATAGGAAAGGAGGGGGTTTGCGAGTTAGCACTTAAACAAGTTGCAACGCGCGTTTGAACAACGATTACCCGGAAAAACGATGTTGTCTCAGTTTCGAGCGTCGCCCACTCGGTAGTCGATTGTCTGCGTACCTAACTATTACGAGTCTGATAATATTTTACTGTTTCTAAAATGTTGTTCTTTTTTTTTCTCGCAGCACTGATGAAATTGGCGCGCAGAGCACCCCTGTCCAAAGTCGTCCGCACCATATGCCTGCCGGAGGCCGAGGAGGAGCCGATGACGGGCCAGCGATGCGTCACCTCGGGCTGGGGTCGCTCGGGTCCGTCGCCCGCCCTGTCGAGCGCACTGCTCGAGGCGCAGGTGCCCCTGCTGGACTTGGCCGACTGCCGCAGAGCTTACGGCAAATCAGTGCCGATTGGCGACGGACACTTGTGCGCGGGTAACACCGACGGCTCGTCGGGAAGCTGCGTAGTGAGTTATATTATACATTACATACTCACATAGTTATATTAGCTGATAAGTTTGAATGCCATTTTGGGATTTGGTGCACTCGCTGGCGCAGGCGCTTGATAATTTGCCCACCGGAAATAACCAATCGAAGATTTTTGCATATTGGTAAATTTAGCTCTATTTTCTAGGGTGACTCAGGAGGACCGCTTCAATGCCGTAAGCCCGATGGATCGTGGCAACTCGTCGGCGTGACTTCCTTCGGCTCTGGCTGCGCTAGACCAGGTTTTCCCGATGTTTACACGAAAATATCCCACTACACCGACTGGATACGAGACACCATTGCCAACGATTTGGATAGTTAGCCAACGTCTCGATTCGAGATATCGCAATCATGTGTACGCGTATAAAATTGTACAAATATCGTACCAACTTTTATCGCATCTAGTGATGGTGCAAATTTTCTTGTAAATAATACTCATTGTACTGATTGTACATATTGAAGTTGTAACGTTATAATATTATTTTTTACTACAATTTATATTAAATAGAGAAAAAAAAACTTGCCAAATATTTTACTAAATGAAATTGTAAGTATAATCTTTAAAAAATAATGTACATTTTATTGCAAATTCATTTTCAATTAAAAATTGATACGTGTCAAGTATAGCTTTATTACTTTTATCTTATGTTCCATCAGAACATATTGCTTTAAAATGAATTATATTTTAGACTGGAATAAATTTTAAACGAAATTTCGTATAATTATGTATGAATGATTTAGTATCATAAAAAATGTTTAAAATTTAAATAAACTACACTGTTGATGTTGCAATTAATGTAATAATTGCTCATTACTTTTGAAAATGGATTTTCATCATTTTTGATATGTTGTATTGTTGTAATTCGCTTTATTAAAATAGTATACCTTATAACGTATTATGGGGATTTCCAAATTAACGATCAGATGGTGAGATAAAAGATTCGAAATATATTGCGACTTGATAATTAATACTTCATAACGGTGAAAGTACTTGGCATCGAATTTGAAGTTTCAACAATTATCAACTGATAACTTTTTTTAAAAATTAAAAATTACTTCATACCTATTTCAATGATAATTATCAAATTTCAAAGTTCCTTTATTTTTTTTAGCAACTTTTTAACTCATAATGAGGATAATAAGACTTTTATACCACCTAGTCACGTTAAATACAAAATTAAATCATATGATTCAATTTAATACAGCTAAATTTAGATTTAGATTTTTTTCTCATGGAACTTTGATTAATATTTCGAAAAAATCAAGTAGTTTGTTATTTAAAAAAAATTATTCATGATTTCGATGGAAAATTGCCTCAGTGTTTTGATGGTGAGCTCAGACTTCCCGAAACATTTCATTTCCCGCAGGAAAATCCTCGGGAAAAAAGGCGATTATCTCGAAAACTTCTTTTGTAAGATTTTTTAAAATAGTCTAAATCGAAAGATCAGAAAATTTCCCATTGATATAAATTTTATCCAGAGAGGGGTATTTTAATTTTATGGCTATGCATGTGCTGTGCCTACCGGAGATACAAAAACCCCGTTTTTTTGTTTATCTCACTATATCTCGCTAAAATCAGAAAACCCCCTATATATCATTTATATCTATGGGAAATTATGTGATGTTTCGTTCAGGCCATTTGAAAAAATTTTACTTTTTTAAAGTGAAGTTTTTGAAACAATCGACTTTCCTACCACCGGTTTTCTTGGGAAAAAATGAAAAGTTCAGGGAAATCCGATCTCACCATCAAAAAGCTGAGGCAATTTTCCAACGGAATCGTGCGTTTCAAGTGCATTTAGGTACTTTTATGGCAAATTATAGATTCAAAAATTTGACTAAATAATGTCGGCGGCGCTGGGTGAGTTGACGTGAAATGCCACGTATACATTCTGCTTAATTTTATCGAAATATCAATCAAAATTCTATGAGAAAAAAATCGGAAACTAAATTTAGCTATAATACTTATATCGAATCATATGATTTCAGTGAATTTGATAAGTCGACTGGAACAGAGATGATTAACGAGACGTAATGTGGTGCAGATTATTATTCATTACTTGAAATTCGAGAACCGTATAAAATGAAAAAAAAAACATTAATTGTATTCTCCTTATTATTAATAGAAATAAAAATTTAATGAATTGAGATCTTTTAGAAGGAAAAAAAGTTCAAAAATTATTTTTGAGAACTTAAAACAATGATGATTTTGAATTCTTGAATTTTTCTAATAAAGAGGAGTAAGGTATTTTACAACAAAAGTCTTTAGATGTTTTCAAATAGATTGATAAGATATGTCAAAAGAAAATATTAGCTCCTCGTCGTTTATGACATATATAAAATAAACAAGGAGTCGATGGAAATCGGCAAAAAGCAGAAATAAAAAAGCCGATCGTTCGAGAGTTTTCTCATAAAGCAATGGGATAAATTTTGACAAATGTGACCGACGCCATAAAATAAGTAGGCTACAACAACGGCGCGCGTTGTTATGTGTGTGTTACCTATATTATCCATCGTCCTGTTATGGTAGCGCGAATGTCAGCGCGGTGTAAATAAACGGCGGCTTGGCCTCAACTTCGGCCTTTCGAGCGTTATTTTGCTTGTTTCTTCTTTTTTTTTATTATTATTATTACTATATGTAGCGCGTATAAGTATATTTCACAACGCGGGCAGCGCGGCGCGAAACGGCGAAGCGGTGATCTCACCGTTCGATTGAAGAAAATCGTCCGATCTGCCCTCTAATTCTCACAACTGTCTCGAACTCTCATTATATTATCTAAAAAATAATTGAGAGTGCAGAGTTAATTATTCTTCGTTCTCTGCTCTTAAAATAACCGAAATTTTGTTTGTCAGTTGCGAGCGCTAATCCTCGATATTCGCGGAACCGGTTTTGTTTTTTTGTCAACGTCTCCTTTTTTTTCTCTCTTTGCAATTCAATTAAAATTCGATATAGAACGCGCCGCCGAAAAATGTACGAAAAATACAGGGTACGATCAGAGAAAAACAAGAAATTTGCATAGTGTTATTCGAGCTCTCTCGGCCGATGCGGCGAAAATTTATGCAGGTCCATTGCGCGCTGTGTTTCGCAATCGCAATTCGCCGCTTGTGACCCTTGGATATTTGGCGAAAAGGAATCATCGCGTTTATATATATAAATCCTTAGTCCTTGCATCGAGCATATAATATACGGTTGAAGGAGAAAGGATGGCTTTTATTTTTTTCTTCGAGCGCGCGTACAGCTGCTGCGATGCAACACAGAAATCATAACGGTGTTACGTGTTACGCGGATTATTGTACAATATAATATATAACGCATTGTACAAAGAACGACTGCGGGACGACTACGACGACGAGCGACAAGTTTATAGAACCATAAAAAGCATCAGGGGCAGAATTGCGTCGCGCGAGCGATGATGATGTTTCCCTCGAAAGGTTGATTGTTGCTCGAAGGCAGTGTTAAAGGAGATGTATTCCGATCGCACGACGATGATAGACCTCTCAATGCATCGATCGTACACGGCGGATATAATCATGGTTCTGTACTTGCGTAAGCGCGCGCCCAAGTCGTCGCGTGATTTTTATTGAAATTTTTTTAATCGAGGCGGGCAATTTAAGAATAAACAAACGTCATTACGACACGTTGTTTGTAATATATTATTGGAAAAAATGCGCGCAAGCTCGTTTATACGAAGCCATCGAAGACTTATGGTTATAGTCGCGCACGAAAATGATCAATTAGACCATTCATACTTAAAAATACTCATGCGCGCATTAAATATTAGCTCATAATGTATCCAACAACGAGGTAATCAGCGATGAATATTTAATCCGCCAGTCGCTCCATATTACGCGGTCAGGCAGCGAGCGCTGGCATATTATGCATCCTATTGTTATCGAGACGCGCGTATAATAACACGCACAAACTCGGTCATTCGCGTCGTCCCGTCTCGTCCTTGGGAACATTCATAAAAAAGAAAAACCACCTATACGTACGTGCCAAAGCGTCCGATTGCACTTTTGTTGGCATTACGCAAAGTCTGGAGGACGCCCGCGCCGAAAAATCGACGGTCCGATCGCGGTGCATAATATATGATGCGAGGGAAAAAAAGAGAGACGCGGGATGCGAACTTTTTTTTCTTTTTCAAATTCCAGTGTACGCAATCGCGTTGCGCTCTCGAGCCACGGCATTGGCTTGCAATACAATTGAGAATCGGCGCGTATACGTGCCGAATACGTTCGCCGACTTTGACCGGTCGCGATACGTCCCAGGGCTGCGCGTGGGCCCGCGTCGAGTTGAAGGCGTCTTAAGGCGACAAAATAAACGACTCGTTTTCTCATACGTCTTTCTCGGTCGCTCGATCGGCTATACGACGGTCGCGCGTGGCGCGACGAAAAAAAAACCAGCGATTCGTCCGCGCGTGTTTTTGCTGTACATGAAAAAAGACGGTTCTGCGGTTATAAAAGAAAAATCGCACGCGGTCGTCTTCGTCATGCTGTCTATTTGTCCGGATTGATTTATGTCGTTTGAGCCGGCACGGCAGCGGCTCGCGGAGGAGATGGACGATTTGCGGTGGGGGGAGACGTGCTGCTGCTGCTGCTGCTGCTGCGTCCACGTGCGATCGGCGGGATGATGCGTGGATCGTCTCCGATCGTGACCGCAGACTCGTCGATCGTTTCGCGCGGTATAGTCATCGGCAGTGTCAGTCCGACTCGCGAACTGTATCGAGGCGGATCTCTCGGCAGCAGTCCGAGCCAATAGCTATCGAGCCTTCTCGATCTCTGCGCTTTTCGACGGGTGAGTTAGTTCGCGGACAACGATTGTGCATCTCTATTTGTGCTCGTTTGATACTTACCTGCTTCATCGTACGTAATAACATTTATTTGGTAAAGATAAAATAAAAACACGAACAAATAATTTACATGACGTATATAGACGATCACTTGTTAAAGCCTCTTCATCGATATATCCGATCTGAAGTGCATCGATTTTTCTTAGATTCACATTTAAACAAGCTGCAGAAATATGTTATTTAAAGAAACTCGCCTCAATGACAATAGCCGTAACGAGGTTTTTTCTAAGCTCTTAGCATACCGTACACTTTTATACTTCATGCCGAGCAGACCATAAAGTTGCCATTCATCCGCTGCAGTACGCGACATTGCATCTACCCTCTTCCGTTGTCCACTCATGCAAATGCTGATCTACCATAATTTAACGAGCTCGCAAACTAATCAAGCGTCATAGAAACTTTTATGTATAAATAAATAATCGATTTTTACCCTCTCTCGCAGCGGCAGCAGCAGCAGTGCCAGCGAGTATTATAGATTTTTTCCACATACAACACACACACAGACGTCAATATGAAGTCTAGGCAGACCGCAGTTCTGCTAATGCTGCTCGGCCTGTTCGCCACACAGGCGATGGCCGTCCAGAACGTCTACTACCGAGCCCTCTCAGGAGGTAAGTCGAAACAACGCTTTTTTATTATTTTCGTATATATGTAAAGATGGAAAATCGGCGCGGTGTGCATTACGACTCGTTTTCTCGGCTTTATAATCACACACATGGGCGAGGATCAATTCGATCGTATTCCGGCGGTGGTAATTTAATTGCCTCCGACATTATTACGTGCAAGTTACTTGCACGCAATATAAATCATATTACTTCGTTGCAGCTTTACGTAATAATTAGTTTTACGATACAGCAGCGAATCTAAGGTTCGCTCGGTGCTTTTTTTGCTTCGATCGATACCCGCGTGGCATATTCTAACGTCCGGAAAATCTTCGAAAATTGCAGCTGCCCATGAAAAAAAAGCCGCGCGCGAGCACCGATTAATTAAGATTAATAATTCATGCGGTGATTGCGTCGGGCGCTTGATGATGCAGTCGCGATGGAATATTTATCGCGAACAATCGACTCGTCGAGACAATAATGAATTTATAAACGATGCTACGACGTAAATAGAGGGTTGTTTGTAAATAATAATACGCACTCATAAAAATAAAGATTCTCTAAAGAGTCGATCGGAAAAACGTAATTGCATTTGATCTCGGCACGCGGAAATGGAGCTGTGTTCGTTCCTGTTGTTTACATCGTGGATCGCGTGCATGACCTCCGATGCGAAGAAACTCGAAGCGGACCTATAAGCGGAGCCAGTCATGAACCCAGTTTTCGAAAATACAGCCCGTCCGGTACAGTGCTCATCTGCAATTTTTGTCGGATCGAAAGCTCAAATTATTCGTGCCCGACAATTAGCGGATCTCTCGTCGCGGCCTCGCTTCTTTTTCGTACATCTCTGTTTGCGCGACTTGTAATATGACGCATTGCATCTGTCTCGTCTGCGTAGGTGGAAGTAGCTGCGACACTCACACCTGTGGCATCAACGCGAGATGCACGATAAGCGAGGGACGTCCCGTCTGCTCCTGCCTGAACCTTCACATGGGCGATCCGCTTCACCGATGCGAACGCGTCGAGTGCTTGAGTAAGTACACGTCAAATTTTCATCTATTTATCTGATACTTATAGAAAAAAAAAAAATAAATAAATAAATGTGAAGATACACATCGACGCTCGACTGAAAATCTGCAAAGAAATACCCACACACTTATACAGCAACGTAATCGTTTATGGAGGCTCGAGTTTTATTGTCGCGGATGCTTGTATATGGTCATGTAAATATGTACATCGGGTAATTATTATACACACGCCTTACAGCAGCACTCGAAAGCAGTTTCATTAAATACGCATATAAACACAGAAACTCGGTTTTTTAGTCGTATTTTTTTTCTCTCTCGAACGCATGATACATATACACGCGTCTTACGAAAAATAGGCCAGACTCTCGCGCGGCCAGTAAACGCGCCTTCTCGATAGTTTCGTGCAAGGTCAAATCGCTGGTGTGGCTGCTTCGTCGACGTTGCGCGCAAATGTGCCTCTTTCTACTTGCGCGCGTGCGCCATAATCTTCTGGGACTTTCGTCCTTTAACGAATTGATGGATTGGGTGCGAATTGATTAATTTTAGTATTCGGCCGCGTCTATAAGTAGATTGAAACACGTGCGTGAGTGTCTGCTTATGACCCAACCACGTGCGGCGATTTTGCGCCAATACGGAAGCTCAAAAAAAAAAAAAAATGATACATATAGTGTCGTAAGAGGCATCAGTAATTATATTTCGAAGAATTGAAAATGCTAATTAATTGGTATAGGACCTTTGGGGGATGACCAAAAAGCACTTTAAGACGATGTTAATGTATATCATTATGGCCGGCATAAAACTGTCGATGAGTGTTTAATCGAAATTTATGGGTTTGTTAATTCTCAAGGATAAACGACTCGACGAACTTGACTGACTTGTCTCAATGCCCGCGCGATTATGCTATACGCGCGTCTCTCATAAGAAAAAATAAACAATTACGCTACACAGATATATCATTGCTTGAATTATTCGTCTGCCCATTGCGAAGCAGATTCGCGATAAATCGCACGCGCGCGCCTACAAAATGACTCGTTGCTCGAAATTATCATATTCATTTCATAAAATAAAATTTACAGTTAACGAGGATTGCATCGGTAGCCGAGTCTGCTCGTCCAACAAATGCGTGGATCCTTGCGCCTACGCCTGCGGCACCAATGCCCTCTGCCACACCAAGGGCCACGTGCCCGTCTGCACCTGTCCGCCTGGATACACTGGAAATCCATCCAACAAATGCATCTACGATCCAGGTACGCGCACTATTTATCGCGTCGCACGAGAGCCGGTTGGACGCGACGCGACTAGTCTTTTATTTTTTTATTTTTGAATCTTTTTTCTACGAAGCTTTCGAGATATAATTTTGCAAATTTGCCCGATGATGTGCGTCTCGATAAACACGATGCCGTCGGACGAGTATTTGGCAAGGCGTTCATCATTGATTCGCGCGTCTTTACGATACGGGTTTGCAAGCGACTTTTTAAACGAGGATCCTTGGCGTATAATAGATAGAAGAAGGAAAACTTGAAGCGCACGAGAGATGCTATCGCGTTGATATTGAAATTAAACGGAGAGATACATAATTGAGCTTTGCAATTTAGAGAATCGAGTGGGAAAATCCGCAGACGAATGCGAGTGAGCCGAGAGATGAGCAAATCTATCGCTTACAATACGAGCGACACGCGAATCGCCGATCCCAAATTCGAATCGAAATTGGCCAACTTTCGTAGAAAGTATAGAATGACAGGAAAAAAAGTTGATCAATATTTGTTAATTGGAAAAAATAAAATAATTCGAGAACTGATGCAATTGTTTGCATAAACGGAAGCACCGCCACTACTACGCGAGTGCAATATCGTCGTCGAACGCGCGAAATCGTCATTGAAATATCGAATATCGCTTCACGATATGTATCGTAATCAAGCGCGGAGAAATCTCGGCGCGGTCGGTCGCGCGTATCGCTGCTATAATTGTCGGATTAGCATTTAATTATTGGCCGCGTGGCAGCTGTGCCGCGGCGATTAGTCATCCGTGTATAGTAATGCGAGCGTCTTGTTATACAGAGGCGCCTTGCAAGGATCCGAACCCGTGCGGAGTCAACACCAAGTGCGAGGTGATCAACGGCGTGGCAACCTGCAGCTGCCTGCCCGGCTACCGGGGCCGACCCCTCGAGGGCTGCCGCCACGAGTGCGACAACGACTTCGACTGTCCGAACCATTTGCACTGCTCGGCCAACTTCCGCTGCGAGAATCCCTGCCTGAGCCAGTGCGGCGAGAGCGCCGAGTGCGACGTCGTCAATCATCGCGCCAAGTGCACCTGTCCCAAGGTGAGTGGAGAAATTCAAAAATCGCTATACGCAATTACGCGGTGTAAGATATGAATTGGACATTTTCTCGATGTAGAGCTGGCTGGGCAACCCGCTGATATCCTGCCGACCGGAGTGCACCCACCACTCGGACTGTCCCGCCGGTAAGCCTGCCTGTCACTACCTCAAGTGCGTCAATCCCTGCGACGGGGTCTGCGGCACCCACGCCAACTGCGAGCTCCAAGACATCACGCCCGTCTGCAGCTGTCCCAAGGACAGAACCGGCGATCCCTTCACCTTCTGCAGGCCCTTCACCGACGGTAAGCTTTCTTTTTTTTCACCGATCGATTCGAGTCCAAAGCTAGTAGTGCGCAGCGCTAATTTTGTTGCTCGTTCGCCTTATATCGCAGAGGACCTGTGCCAGCCCAATCCCTGCGGCACCAACGCCGAGTGCCGACCCGGCCACGACAACACCGGCAAGAAGCGGCCGGTCTGCACCTGCCCGCACGGCTACCTCGGCAACGCCCTGATCAGCTGCCAGCGCGGCGAGTGCATCCAGGACTCGGAGTGCCCGGACAATCGGGCCTGCATCAACTTCAGCTGCCAAAACCCGTGCACGGGTCGCGAGTGCGGCCTCAACGCCAGCTGCTCGCCCCGCCGACACATCGCCGTGTGCACCTGCGACGACGGCTACCGCGGCGACGCCCTCTTCGCCTGCAACCCCATCGAGTCCGGCTCGTCGCGCACCGCCAAGTACGTCGGCCGCTACGGCCGACTCTGCAGCACCTGCTGATCATCTTCCTCGTTCTCAACGCACACGCCTGGCCGGTCCAACTGGCTCGTCCCCCGGCTCGCGTCGGAACTGTAAAATAGTTGTAATAAGCCGCGTCGTGGAAGCTTCAGCCTCGTGCGATTATCGACCAATTCATATTTTGTCGCATTACTTTTCGCGAATAATCGACGATAAACGCACGCCAACATCTTTTCTCTATTCTTTTTCTTTCTTTCATCCGAGTACTTGTACGTTTGCTAAATATTGTAACTTAAGAATAATAGCTCGTAGATATATATGTGTAATTTATAATACTATATAAACAATATAATAATTAATGCGTGCAAGTCTCAGTTATACATTTGTTGCAGCTTCGATCGCGCCATTGTAATCCACTACGATAATTTTATTGAGATGTAACATCGTTGACAAAATTAGACCTATAGATATGCAATAAGCTTATTGCGTATTCGAAACTACACTACTTACTTTAATTTTTTGTGCCATCGTATCTGAGGTAAACACAAGAATACGTGCAGTCGCACACATTGACATTTTTCACAAACAATCCATACATGTAAAAAACGTAATTCAGTATTTTTGCTTTACTATAATACGTATTTTCTCATTAGGCATTCGCATAAGATTTTTCAAATAAAGATTTACTACCATTAACTGTTTAGTTGTGTAAATTTTATTATTCTCTCCCAGTGATTTTCTCCAGCAGAAAATTCAAATGTTCAAACAAGTTTTTTGATATACATAAAATGAAAAGCTAAGCAAAATGATTTAACATATCAGCAATTGATATGCCCATTCATCCAAGACTTCTTTGATGAGAGGGTCATTTGAATCTATTCTTAAAGTTAAAAGGGCATACACTTCTTTATACAGTTTAAATGTTCGAAGACTATTTTAAAAAACAAGTTGGTTAGCATAAGCTTCGCACAACTCCTCCCAAAGTCTAAGAGAAAAAAAATTAGCGATAACTAATAAAATATTTAATTTATCCTTCGTTAATATTGATGGGGCAAGAGACGCCATGAAATCATTCATATATGCTTATCTTTTTGAGCTTTTTGAAGATTGTCTTTTGAATTTCCAGACCAGAAATCTAGTTCTGTACAAATATTATACTGTCCATTTTGCTTTAATATTTTTTCTGAAAAAGAAATCCAAGTTTTAAATTTATTTACGTTAGTATTTATTTCAAAATAGCTATTTTTGGGTCACTGTGTATGAAAAATAGTATACAGGCCTATGCCACGAAAAAAGAAAGCCCCAGAGCACGTGTTTATCGGCCTCGGCCACTAATTACGAGTGGAAATCTCGAACAAGTAGTCAAATTGTCAAACCAAATGAACAATCGACGGTGTCAATCAATTACAGTTACTTCGTCATTTTCCAATTAAAGTAGTCGAGTGTATGCAAGATACGGTAGGATCGCATGACGTTTTTATTTTTGTAATTACTTTCGATACTTCAATATTACATTGTTCCTCTCGTGACATAATTACATTTGATCTATAATATACAACCTTTAACCTATAATATTTGAACTATAACATATTACCTTCAAAAATTTAATTTGAGTACTAAATACTAGTGAATTTCCTCGCTCGCTGACGCTCGCTTGGTTCAGTCAGAATTTTGTAAGAATTTTTAAGAAAGCAAGAAACATAAAATAAGTTTTTACAAAGTATATACCAGATATATATGGGTCGAAATAATACTTTTTTGAATTTTCGTCCGCACGTATGTACGTCACTGATCTTGACACGCTTTTAGTATGTTTAATGTTATAGTACATAATAAAAAAGTGCCAAACCCAAAAATATGGATAGAAAATCGACGTTTATAGGGGAGGAGGGGGTCCCAAATTTTGGGTTTGGCACTTTTTTATCATGTACTATAACATACCAAAAGTGCGTCAAGATCGGTGACATACGTGTGGACGAAAATTTAAGAAAGTATTATTTTGACCCATATACATTGTAAATACAAGGTTTAGTCATCGATTTTCCAGATTTTTTGGGGAGGCCAGAATTTTAGTGCGAGATTCATTCAACGCGAAATTTATAGATATTATATTGATTTATAATCTAAATTTTTCAGAACAGTGTATTACAATGAATGAAGTTATATTACCACCATCGCCAAACTCCAATAAAAGAAGCATTTTAGAATGTGCTGATGATGGCACTGTGTGTTGGGGAGCAAAGAATATAATCGTAGTTGCAAAACCGGACAAAGAATATGGATCAATGAATTATTTTTTTATTCATGAAGCTGATACTAAAATTGTAACCACATTGGCTTTTTTACCTATAAGTAAAGATGGGATTCTACGTTTGGTATCTGGAGGAGATAATGTATTAAGAATTTGGAATTTAAATAATTTCACGAAGGAACAAGAAAATAGAGAACTTGATGTTTGTATCAATTACTTTTGTTTTATAATTTTTTATTATATGAAATTTTAATGTATTATAAACTCAACAGGAAAGTGATAGAGTGGTTGCAGTTGATTGTTTTAAGCAGAACGCACATTTAATTGCTTGTGTTAGCAAAAGCCAATATTTAATAATATGGAATATATTATTAAATAGTACCAAATTGATAAATCTTGGTGAAGTAAGAGCAACATGTTTGAGTTGTTGCCCCCACGATAGTTATATTGTGTCGATTGGTACAAAATGTGGTTTAATTTATGTTGTGGATATTCAAGGATCTGGTACTATTAAATATAGATTAAATATGCATTTGCTTGAGATAAATAGCTTGTCATGGTGTCCTGTACCAGTTAATGTTTTTGAAAAAAAAAATACGATAAAAGAATATTTATTAGCATCTGGTTCTAAAGATAGGTAAGGGAATGATTTCTTTAAACATTTTACCTCATAAAAAATAAACAATTATCAATATTTTTAGAAAAATAACCATATGGAGAGCTGGAACTGATGGAAAATGTCAATTTCAATGGCTCGCTTTTAAGAATCATTTTACATCCTTTCTTTGGATAAAACCAACAATTTTACTATCAAGTATGCCATGTGGGGGACTTGTCTCATGGGAATTTTCTGCAGACTTCCAGTGCCGCACCAAGCGGCATTATTTAGGCGAGTCGCCAATTTTTTAACTCACTGTAAAAGTACCTAAATGCACCTAGGAAAAAAAACTAATGCATGATTTCGATGGAAAATTGCCTCAGCTCTCCGATGAAAGGTCAGATTTTCCAAAATTTTTCGTTTTACCCCGAAGCGTTGCGGGAAAAACTTTAAAGTCGCTCAAAAAATTCATTTTCATGATTTTTCTAAATAGTCTAGATCGAAAGATCAGAAAATTTTCCATCGTTATAGATACTATCTAGACAGGTACAGGACAGATATAGCGAGAGAAATGAGAAAAAACGTGGTTTTTCATAGGTATTGCATATAGTTATTTGCTTATAACTTTTTTATGACCAATTTTAGCGATATGCACCACAAAAATTCGGTTTCAACGGCCCAAAATACATAAGAAAAACTTTGGTGCACCCATCAAACAAGACGTGGCCCACGGTGGACCCACTGGCCCTTGGACGCGTATGTATTTCCCTACCCACGCGTGTGCAGACTAAACTTCCTTTAGCACCCGGCGAGAAAAAAAAGTCCCTCGCCTTTACGACTCGACGTTATTCGATCTCTTCAAACTATTTCGGATCTCGTGAATAACGCGACTTTCTTAAGCATAATCAGACTGCAGCAAGTCTTATCTCTTTTTCGCGCGTGGACAGTACAATAAGTCTTTATCGCCGCGTACTCTATTGTCACGCCAAATTTACATATCTATGCGTATTGTAATATATCTGTCATTAAACTACGGTCAGCTGAATCAAAATCGGCGCAGCAGTAAATTATCTACTATACTTATAGATATGCCGCGATCATTTCATTTGATCGGAGCGCGGACAGTTCGGGGTCTTCGTTGCAATTGCTTGCGCGCAAGTGGGCAAGAAATCCGCGTGCACCACCGCACCGAAGACGTCGTCTATCTAGCTGCCTGCCGCTGCTGGGCGCTGGCTGCTACGAGCTGATGTGCTTTTCGGAGCTGCCTGCCTCGAATTCGCATGCTTCTGCTCGGTCTGCGGCTGCTGCGACTCTGGCATGTCTGTGTAATAGCATTATTATATTTACACGCGCTGAGCCTAACCACACGGAGATCGAGCGAATGAGAGCCTCCACGCGATATATGTACACAATAAAGTACATAATACCATAGAACGCACGCTGGGTACGAGGTGCGTTTTGCCTAACATCATCGGCAGCAGCAGCAACGCATATTACATACATCACGCCCAGCGAACGCAGTGTTATTGACTCCCCTGCGATAATTCACGTTCCAAAGTCCAAGACTGCGTGTGTACATGTGCACAATATATTAAGCTCTCTGTCTCTGTTGCGCGCGCGGACTGCAGCAGCAGTAGCAGCAGCAGCAGACTCGCTTTCGTACTTGGCGTGCGAGGCATCCATCGGTCCTCGACTGCATTAAGAATTTTTTTTTATCCTGAAATTAGACCAACGACTCGATTATATGTACCCCGTTAGCAGGCACGATACAAGGTGCAAAGCATACGAGGGATAAAAGTGCCGCGGCGCGTGCATATAGACCTTGCCAGACAGATCGAGACGATTGTCGAAAATTCTCTACTACACCCATCGCAATAGACGTATGGACATATACACGCACGTATAGATATAGATATAAAATAGACATATAGATATATAGTGTGTGTGTGCGCGACTCCGCGAGTGCCGTGTGACTTGTGAGACTGTGAGTGCACAGGCATTTAGCAATTTGCACACATAGACGTGCATCTATGCACATATACACCTCTTACTACAGTGCAGTGCATGTATATAGCAGTAGCAGCATTGCATAGTTTATCAGCTGCAGCAGCAGCAGCAGCAGCAGCAGTGCTCGACGGTCTGGGTGTGCGTGCGAATTACACATACGTGCCAGACGACTACACTCGCGGATACATTGTACAATACTGATTCACTGCGAATTACAGTATCACGCCTACTCGCATAAGGCAGATTGATTAAATAAATAAATAAACGAGCACGCGCGAATAATACGGGCATAAAAAAGTAAGGTTGAACGTGCTGGCAGCTGCGCAAAACCAGGCAAAACGGCGAGCAATCAGGCGCGGAGGACGACATCGAGCCAGCGACGCAGCAGCGCGGCCAATCTCTCGTGCGAGGGTGAGCAGCAGCTGAGTTGTCGTCGTCGTCGCCGTGGTCGTCGACGTCCTGCTCGTAGTCGTCGACAACTGCTACTTCAGCGTCAGCGTCGACAAATCGAGGAGGAAGTCCCCGAGGAGAAGCAACAGCAGCAGCCCAGCCGAATGGATCCCAAGATCGGCTGGTATCAGCCAGAGCAACTGGGACCCGCCAAGGATCTCTGGCTCAACATCTGGGAGACCGGCAAGGAGCTCGACAATCTCAACATCAGGCCGCAGCCCAACAATATCAACAACAATAACAGTGCCGACGCCTCGAGCACCACGTCTCCGGTTCAGGTTTGTCGTATTGTCATTGCATCTTTTGCCCGCATTATAACGCCAGCTATCCGTCTCTCACTCTTCTGCTGTCATTTCACGCCCTGCGTCGTCGATGGCCTATCGGCCCAATCAATCGTCCTACGATGCAATCGATGCTCCAATCGTGCCTGATTGGATCGACGCTTTTTTTCTCGTTTCCTTCGTTCTTTCATTTTTTTTGTTTCTCCTAGTCGTTAGCCGTCAAGTCTCCGATGAGCTTGCCTCGCCGCGCGTCTCTCGCAATTTCTCCCGCACTTCTCGCTTCTCGGTAATAAATATAAAGATGAGAAAAAGTAAACCGTCTTCTGCTCTCGAGTAACGCCTCTTGGAATTAGGCGTCAGCTTGGCCCCTCGCATTACACGCGCACTTACCTTATACGAGTGCACGCTTCCGCGTCGCATTGTTCCCAGCTTTTCTAGCCTATAACGCATTGATTTACGAAGCTCGACGTGCTTGTCAGTAGGTGAACGTAGACCCGCGATAAGTGTTTGACAGTTGTAATCGCATTCAGTCTTGATCCGTTGCATCCTCAGCAGTTTTGTCAACGTTGGCCAGCACGAGTTTTTATAGTATGTTTCGTACATCGTTGCAGAATCATCAGACGCATCAGCCCGCCAACTCCAATCCCACGATGATGAGAAATGCCAGTAGCTCGACGACGTTGACGAGCCAGCAGGATTACATACCTCTGGATAACGTCAACAAGTATCCAAACAACAGTTCTGACAGCAACGGTAGGCTCAGCCACCCTGGTCAAACGACAAGTAACTACTACAATCCGTCCAAGAGGAAAAGGGAGAATCGCGCCAGCACCTACGCCATGAATGACAATTATAAACAACTTGTCGGCGTCTATGGTGGCTGTCCTTGGCGAATACCGCACAAAACATATTCCAAAGGAGTCATTGGGTAAGCGCATCTGTTGACATTATTTATTGTCCCTTGCATCGGTCCATTAATTTACCTTTGAATTTTCGAGGTTAGGTTAACGCATGGCCTATACATTGATGCATCTGCCCAGTTTTGAGTATTATAATAATTCTTGTTTCATTTGATTTTTTTCAGATTGCATGAAGAAATCCAGGATTTCTTTCTCTATATGTGTCCAACCGTTGAAGAGCATAATCTTAGATTAAGAGTTATCAAGCGAATAGAAAAAGTAATTTATGATTTGTGGCCTGAATCTCAAGTCGAGATCTTTGGTAGTTTTCGTACTGGACTTTATTTGCCCACAAGGTACTGGTTTATTTCTAATATATATTCTTTTAATGATTTTTACCTCATTTATTATTCCATGTTAATGATTTTAGTGACATCGATATAGTTGTGATTGGATTGTGGACGAATCTTCCACTGCACACCCTTGAAAGGGCTCTTATTGATGAAAATATTGTAGAACCATCCTTTGTCAAAGTTTTAGATAGAGCTTCTGTACCAATAGTCAAACTAGTAGATAAAGAAAGTGAAATTAAAGTTGATATCAGTTTCAATATGAATAATGGTGTCAAGTCTGCAGAATTGATTAAAGTTTTCAAGTGCCAATATCCTGCACTCGAAAAATTGGTAATGGTTCTCAAACAATTTTTACTTCAAAGAGATCTCAATGAAGTTTTTACTGGAGGTATATCATCTTATAGTTTGATCCTCATGACAATTAGCTTTTTACAGGTAAACATATTTTTATATTCAAAATTTTCATCAGCTAATACAAAATTCATTTCTTATTATTATTTCATTTACAGTTGCATCCACGAAATAACGTGAATAATCCAGATGTGAATTTGGGAGTGTTGTTGATTGAATTTTTTGAGTTATATGGCAAAAAGTTTAATTATGTAAAGACTGGTATACGCGTCAAAGGAGGTGGTACTTACATATCAAAAGAAGAGGTAAAACAAACATTAAATAACTTATGATATATGTAAATTAATTGAATCATTTACAACAATTTTTTTAAAGGTTCAAAAAGATATGGTTGATGGATACAGACCATCTTTGCTCTGCATAGAAGACCCTCTTACACCAGGCAATGATATTGGTCGTAGCAGTTATGGTGCTTTATATGTTAAGGAATCTTTTGAATGGGCTTACAATGTGTTATCACAAGCTGTGAATCCTCTCAATACTTTGGTTAATGACGCAAACAAACAAAGGTTTGTTATAAACTATAAAAATTGTTGTTTTAAAACTAACTGATATGTTATTTTTAGTATATTGGGAAGGATTATAAGAGTAACAGATGAAGTTGTAGATTATCGTATATGGATCAAAAGAACATTCCCCGCAACTGAACCAGAACTTCCTTCTAGTTCAACTGGTTCAGAAGCATCTACTCTGTCCGCTCCTGCGAGTGAATCGGTAATTTAACAATTTATTTTTCAAGCAAAACTTGAAAAATGAATAATGCCTGTCTCTGTGTTAACTATTTGTTAAATGTCTCGCAGGAATCTGAATGCAGTAGGGGAAATTCACCAAATACTGGGGAAAAAAGTGAGGAAAGACACAAAGATAGGCATATATTCAATTATCAACATCCTCATGGTCATCTTCCATACAAAAAAACTTACAAACCATCAGCACACGGTAATCATCACACTCGTTACCATCTCAGTAGAGATAAATATTAGAAAAATAGTTTTAAACTTTTTTACAATTTCATTTCAGCGCATCAAAGCATGCGTGCAGACTACATGCGCAACGTAAATAATCATTCAAGTGGACATGGTAAACTGAAAAATAATCAGTTTAACAGCAATAATAATATTGGACATGGACAAAATCAAAGTTTAAGGTTACATGCTATGAAACGAAAGAAGCATACTATTACAACTCGTAGTCCTCCAGGCGATTGTGTACGGTGATGAAATGAACAAAGGGCTACTGTATAAGTCTCCTACTTAGACCAGCAATAATCTCAAAAATTATTTTAATTTCTAAGATTAATGCCAATTCAAGAGCCAATTTAATAAGCTGTACATTGTTATTGGACCAGTAAGTAATTTATGTAACATTTCGATCAATTGCGTTGATGAGAACTATTTCCAATTACTAACGTTGACCAACCTATTTTACGATAAGGAATTTTTTGTAATGGACCTTTCTCTGATTGGCTCCTATAAAATTATTTGATTCCAACATCGCAATGCAACTAAGTTTTAGTTAAAAAAACCATTTTCGGGACTTATAATTATATTGGATTATTTTGAATTCATTAATAGTCGTCAAAAATGAATATTTTTTAACTTCTTGTTGCACGATTTTGCAATATTTGAATCGAGCGCTTCAATGGGTGCAATTTCCGAATAGTCTAGCGTCTCCGTTTGTTACCAATATTCTCTTATCACGCGTATAGAACGTGATCCGTGACAAATAGATTTAATATTTCAATTCGCAATATCTGACATCGTTAATTACAATTGGTGTTTTTAGCACCTATGATGTATGATGTACAGGTATACAAAAGCTTTTGAAATATTTTACTGAAAGATTACTGAACGATTCGGCACATAAAACAGCTGTTCATAGCTTGCTTATGTTACTGTGATTATGCTTCAAAATATTCTGATTATTGTTTGTATAAAGATTTGTGTAAAGGTTTATTAGCTAGACTCTGACTGTTTCAATATGTATAGTAAAGATTCTATCAGTATAATTAATTCTAAAACGAAAAATAATTTGTCATAAAAAGTCATTTAAACGTAATTTGCACTTTTAAATATAAAATAAGTAGTTACTACTGGGTTCAACAGTCAATCATGCGCAAAATGATTACTTTTCAGACATATATAAAATATATAAATTTATATATATTTTATTTGAACCTAAATTCACTTTTATTTAATAAAATTTTCGATTGTTACGTTGCGTTTTTAAGACTTTGCAATGCATAAATAATTTATTATGTGCCAGGTGATAAAGAGATATTGATAGTTATGATAAAGACTTAGTTTTTTATAATAAAACTATATTCTTATAAAATACTAGAGATCATTAAAATAATAAAAAGATAATCTCTTAAGTAAATGGTGATAAAATAGGACTTGCCTAATGTAAATAATGTAAAATAAAAATTAACAAAATACAGAACATCGATTCTTGTAAGACAAAGTTACCCAAAAGAAAAATTTTTAATTTGAACGTGTATAAATTAATGACTAAGAGAGGAGGAAGAAAAAAGTCTTAAAACAGTGTTCTATATCTATAAATATGTATAGATAACGTAAAACCGTAGATTTATAATTATTGTCCATACGAAATTTTCGTTAATAACTTAATTTTTCTTTTGTATGATACAGCTTTACCTTCATTATATTTGTAAGTGTCATACTTATAAAGATCTTTGTACAGCTGTCGCAGTTTTTCTATAGCATAAAGCTTTATTACTTGAAATCTTGTATCTGCATACATAAATTTTAAGTAACTATTATTGCATGTACAGGTAAACGAACATACTACATCACATCGCAAATATGCTGTATGTATTTTGGTTCCATAAACATGTACAAAAGTTCAAAAGACTGCATGCATACATAAAGTTTAAGTGGTCATTGTAAGATATCGACTATTTATATACAAATATTGTATCATAATCTCAAGTACAAATACTTATATAGTTCATTACATTTTGTAAAAAATAAAAAAACAACCCTCGGAAAAAGAATTTTGTTTTTAATTCAAAATACCAAAAAAAGCACTAAAGCAGAATTTATAAATGTTGAGAAATAATATTTTAACTAAATGGGAAATTTCATGACTGATTACATTTATCTTTAATTTTTACTAAATTGATACGAAAAAATAAGGGAGAATTTAAGAAATTTTCAGTTCTGTAAAATTTATTATTTTCATCGTTATACAGCAGTCACAAATTTTATTAGAATCGTACATTGGTAAATGTGCGATGCTATAATTATTACAATATTGTTAATTGGCACTTAATAGTAACAATGTTAAATTTTTGTCAATAGCAATAACAGATTTAAAATTAATGGTTTGCACATTCAGAAAAAACGTTTACAGTAATGAAGTATGAAATAACATCAAATAGAATTATTTGAAAGTAAATGTTGAAAAATTAAAAGCTGAAATAGAAATAAGTTCATTTCAAGCTATAGAAAACTTTTTTCAATTAAAACTATATTCAATGATATAATTTTTCTTTTCAAATTGGGCAATGCGGTAAGTATCCAGTGCAAGCAGCTGCACCACATAGACATGGCGTCCCACTTGAACTATGGACGGAATCGATTGTAACTCCTGCATAATTAAATGTTATTTCTTCCATTGACTCAATATCCTTAATTGCAAATAAACAGAGTCTTGGTATTACCAAATCAATTCTCACTGGAACCAACATTGCATTTGGTTCACAACTATGATTTGCATATCTTCCAATGTTTCCAAATTTTGCTGGATCTATGCAAGTCGTAATTTTTTTCTCTCCAATATGTTCTGTCACCACAAGCACATAATTCATTTGTCCTTTAACTTTATTTTCGTCAAATCGTTTATAAGCTTCTTCAATTCCAATAACTTCACCAGCATATTCACAGATGAATTGTCCTTTTCTTATGAGTTTAGAAGTAAACAACCCAAAACCGATATTTTTTACAATTGTTTCTTTTATGACCAAACAGTCTAAAGGTCCTTGTTGCACCAAACGGTTACCACATTTTTCATTGCAAGTACAAATCGAGTTACACTCAGTCAAAACATTTTTGCTTGCATTTGACAATTTATTGTTTATATAATTTTGAGTGCCATGAATGCAAGAACAAGAATTTTCCTTGCATTCTTGTTCACAAGAGCACCCTAAAGCAAACGTTGTTTCAAAATCATCAAGTTCACTTCCTGGGCCAGGTATATTACTAACTACATACATTACATCTGGCAATAGATGTTCATAATTATCAGCACCATAACTTGCTACAATGCTTACCATTTTTATAAGTTTAAATGAATTGACCAAGATATAGTATAAGAAGCTTTACTCCGATAGCAGCATTGGGACAAAAGAAACACATTTTTTTAAAATATTTTGCATTGAGTTAGCTATACCAGTTGGTATTAAAATAAATTTATATCCTACAAATATAACACCGCCTACAACAGAAGCTTTGAGTGTAAACTTCAGAACTTTACTCGTTAATGAGGGTGGGGGTATGCTGTAAAATGGTAATATATTTTAATTTTAATTTCTCACATTTCAACGAAAAAAAAATAGTATTTACCTCATAATAAGTGGAATATCATCTGCAGTAACTTTACCCCATTTTTCAACAATTCCAAGAGTGTGACCTGCACCAACCACACCAACTACTCTAGTAGGTTCCTTTACACCGTTAGGATGTATTCTAGTTCGGCATGCCAACTGCAGAGAGTAAGTCAAATATGTATCGCGCTCTTCTACAAAAACTTTTTTTATCACTGGGTATTCTCCACTCAACTCTTCCATCATTTTTTCAAGAGCATCTTTGGCTTTGTATTTCTCAACTTCACTTTGAGTAATAGGTCCAGTTTCTGTCAAGAGATTCCAAGTTAATTTCAGAGTCTGCCACCAAGTTAAAGCAGCTAGTGCTCGAGCAAATGTTATTTTAATGGGTCTGTCACCCATATGTATAACACAATTATAAATTTTTTTAGCCTAAAATAAAAAAGTTAGTCAATATTTGAGTTTTTGTAAAACATAAAATCTGCAATTCATCTACCTCTTTCAATGCTCTTCGAAACTCTCCTCCTGGGGCTAACCCTAGCACTTTAGTAATATTTGCAGACATGTTCAATAATAAAATGTAAAATAATCCTTTGTGGACACCATTTTTTTTAATAACATCCATGGCTTTACCTAAAAAAACAAATAAGGATTTGAAAATAAGAAATGAAATTACTTTCACTAATGAAATCTGAAAAGTAAGTGCTTACTGTAATCCAAATTCTTAGCTTCTTCAAGAATAGTTTCTTCATCCAATTGAAGTACATGAATTCGATCTAAACAAAGTTCAACCATGACAACATGTGGCCGTACAGCTTGTATCACCTAGATAATTGTTAGAAATGTTATTTTTAATTTTTATAACAAATTTTTAGGTATATGAATTCATACTTTAGAAACATCATTTTGACTTTCTATGCTAAAGTGTGCTGTTCCGATTAAATAACATTTACCACCTTCCTTAGTGGTCAGTAATGTAACTGTTTCTGGAAGATCATCCATATTGATTTCGGGTTCTTTCTGATCTGAAGCTACATCATTGAGATTATCTTCAATGTCACAATCTGAACCAGGACTAATGTTTTCTGAAAGTTATATTAAATATGCATAAAAATATTTTTTTAAATATTACATGTGTTATCAATCAAATTTTCTCTTAGCTTTAAAGATTGTATTTTTAGTATACACTGAATATTAGGTATGCAACTTATATTCATCAAAAGAAAAAAAAATTTACAGAAATATGTTTAAGAAAGATCAACATAGTTTTCTACTCAAGTATAGTAATGTTTTTATCACTTAGTACCAGGTTTTTTTTTTGATTTTTTCAATCTTTTCTTAGAAAAAAAAGACATTTTTGAGATATGTTTGAACAGATACACAAACTGCAGCTGACCTTATTCAATTAGTGACAAGTAAAAGGTATATGTCACATAATTGAAACCTTAGCAACGCAACCATGCTCAGTGCTTCTTTTAACGTACAAGCTGTTATAAATTGTAAATAATTCAGTAGTTAACTTACGGTATTCCTGAACATCTATGACTACAGTTTCACTGTCTGGAGTCTCTGGAGTCTCTGTCCGCACGTCCCTGTCACTTTCATGCTCTTGGACTTTTTTTCTTTCTGAATCTAAAAATTCTGTAGTAGATTTTGTTTTATCGGTTTTAGAATTGATTGTGTTATCTGTGCTTTCAAAATGATTTTCTTCCATGTTGAAGTTCTTGGTCTAGCCTCCAAACTTTATTCCAGAGCAACTAAAGGCATCATTAAATAAATGAGTAGATCTTACAAATGTAAATACAACAGATTTATTTTAAAATGTGAACAAAATATAATATCTCATCTCAACAGTGAAGCAATTGAAACGTATTTGTATAGTAAAAACAAAGTAATGAACATAAGTAGCATCAAAATAAAAATTTTTATATTAACACACTTACCTTTTGTACGATATTTTAAACTTTCGAGTTATACGTAATTTCAACATACGTTTTATGAAGTTATGGTTGAACTAAACAATAAAAAAAAATTAAAAGTCAAAAACATCCGGATGCTATAAATAATCTAAGTAATAAAAAGGTAAACAAGGATTAAATTGTGCAAAAATGTGGTAGGTTATAGAAGTGGGCAATAAGAATAAAATAATTTGCAAGGTGTGCCGACTGCCGACTGCCGAGTAGCACGCTTAGTCCTCGGCAAAATGTATATAGATAAGCACCATATGTGACTCGGCAGCCACACCAACTAAACTGCGACGCGATCTTCTTCCGTCAAGTTATGGCGAAATATTATTTGCAAAAGTTAACTTTTACCGAATTAAGTGAAACTAAATCGAAACGTTTTACTCGTTATTGATCATTGAAAAAGATTTGAACTGGCAAGTTTTTATTATATTATTTCATAAAGTTGAATTTCTGATTAATTACCGATTCATTGTTTCTTATCTTGAATTGTTATCTGTTTAATAGTTAAATGATTTATCCTTTTTATATCTTTGCAAATCATTGAGATTTAATTTCGTTTCAATGTATAAAGAAAATTGTAGGTGTGATTAATAAAAACAAATTTGTAATTTCAAGTTTTTTTTGTAGATGATAACATGAAAATGTTTATATCATTTAAATAAAAAGTCTCTTTTTAAATCAATTGAGGAACAAAAAACTCTTGGTATTGATTAAATTTAAATAATTTATATTTCGACCATTTTCGTGATTAGCGCACCCACGCTTGTCATACATATTTGGAACTTTTTTCACATTTACAATTGATTTTTTAAATTTTTACACCTAAAAATCAAGTGAAAACGATATGAATGAACTCCTTAATTTTTTTTGTAATTGATTTTTGAAAACCTATAATAATATATGTATCATATATTTTTGCGCAAATCACTATCAAAATATTATGACTCATTATTTCGATTTTTAATACCATTTTCACTTGAACTATTTTTCATAGTGATTAGTTGTTCTATACCGACACACTAATATCTCTGAAAATATTCTATATTATATTATTACAATAAATTCAATTTATCATGAAAAACTATGAAACCTAACTTTCAGAGATATTTTTCAATTAATACTAAATTTTTACTTTTATTTATATGGGCCGATCTCTCGGTGAATCAATGTATTTATATTGTACATTAAAAATCGTGTAAGGCCGTTTTCGCATTTAATTCTGATTAGGGGAACTTGTTACATTCATCCTTAAGTTTAAAGTGCCATGGTTTTTTTTATCGAAGTGTTTTATGTATCGAAAGTTAGTTATTATATAAACGTCTGCATTTACAAAAAGGTTTTTGGTAGCACAAACATTCTCTAATATTTGGTTGTATTCAATTTGTGCAAATTTTAAAAATACTAAAGTATTTTGTAACTATTTTATATATTGATATTAAACCTTTATTCAATCCTTTTAAGAGATTTTTATTTTATTTCACTAAAAATAACATGTACAAACCATTCTTAAAATATGTTGTTCTTACTGCGGTACACTTAAATATATTTTTTACACATATAAGCTCATTATAGTTGGAGAATTGTTTTTTCATGGTAGATCGGACAATTCTTCTATCATATTGTTTTATCAAATGAATTACTATTACAATATTCTTACCATTCACGACTGGTACTTGGTACATCGTTGAAACGTTCAATCCCTGTTTTTATCTTAAACTACATCTTGTTGACTAGTGTGCAATTCATTTTACAACTAAATCAATTTTCAAGGGCTTTGTTTAATTTCAATTGTATTTTCAAATTGATAATTTCTCATATGAGAAATTCTGTATCGTAATTTATATTCAGATTTCATGACATTCATTTTCATGGAAAAAATAAAAAATTTTTTGATACATACCAAATATATTATTTAAATTATTTCTTTCATTCGATGTTTGAGAATTAAGCTCTAATTCTAGTTATAATTATCATCTATAGTTTAAATAAATACATTCTATTTCATGCACATTATAAAATGTTGCACTAGCACTTCAATTTTGACAAGTTTTTTCTTAGTTTAAGTTTATTTTAGTGCATGCATAAGTTCTATACATAGTAAAAGATTTTTCTTTGGAATAAGTGACAAATTATCAGTCTGTAATCAAACCCCTTTTCAAACAAAGACAAACAGCTATTTTGCACAATTACAAATAAGAATGTTTTTAAAATATGTAATCATTAAATACAATCTTTTTATTCATCACAATACTTTCTTATATTGATAACGATTTTAACAATTGTATGTGTATTATTTACAAAAACTCAAAATCTATTTTTGTACTTCCAACAAATTTTTTACAATCAAATCTTCTATTGGTGCAGTCTCAATAAAAATATTAATGTTTTATTTCCTTTATAATTTGGTTTTCAAACGTACATCTCTTTGCGTGATATCCTAGCTATATAAATTTGATTTATAACTACTTAATAGGGCGGATTTCATGCTTTTGTAGAGTACTATAAGTAGCATAACCATGATCGTTTTGATTTTATCCACTCGATAATGCATGCGCCGTACATGATAGTCATGTAAAATTGTTTCAATTTTTCAATATTACTTGTTATTGACCTAATTTTGTTAAAAATGCATATATTTTTAATGGTCTGGATTACTGAATCGCTTCATACGAAAATGTTACAGTAACTTTTATAATACTATTTCAAGATATCATTGTTGTGTAATTTTTATACACATAAGGCTTCTAGTACTTCTGTAGTTATATTTTGTATCACATTACATTGATTTTAAACAGCAATTACTGTGTTTCGTGAATGATCTATTGGAGAATATCGGCATCAAATAATTGTATTTTTGTCATTATATAAAATTAGAATTTTAAGACTAGCTTGGTATATCGTCGCCCCAGCGCAGGAAGATATCTATTTCCAAGCTGTAGCAAGAAGGATACTTACTCGCGCGCAGAGGCAAAAAGGTATCTATCTCGAGCGCAGCGGCAAAAAGGTATCTAATTCAAGCGTAGAAGCAAAAAAGTAGCTAATTCAAACGAAGTGGCAAGAAAGTTTTGACGCGCCGAATTTAGGTTGGCAACGGAGTCGTAAATGATAAAATTTTGTTTCGTATTAGAGCAAAAAAGAGGAAAAACATTTGAGCTTGTGTAATGATTTTCATCCATTTGTAATGCGAGCAAACAAATCAATCTCACCATGATTTCGACTCAATTTGCCACTTATAGAGAACTTTGTATGTTATGAAAGGAAAGTAGAAGTTATCGGCTTTACATAGCTTTGAATTAAATGTTGAATGTTGCATGTTGAAACAAAATTTTATCATTTACGGCTCCGTTGCCAACCTAAATTCGGCGCGTCAAAAGTTTCTTGCCACTTCGTTTGAATTAGCTACTTTTTTGCTTCTCGCTCGAATTAGATACCTTTTTGCCGCTGCGCTCGAGATAGATGCCTTTTTGCCCCTGCGCGCGAGTAAGTATCCTTCTTGCTACAGCTTGGAAATAGATACCTTCCTGCGCTGGGGCGACGATATATGGTAGGCCTGATTTTTCCACTAGACTGGCTTACGACTTTTTTTCTCGAATGTTTTTATTTAAACATTAAATCTATGTACAACGTGTATAAAAACACAAACAAAAATACACTAGAATGATCAATTACGACGGCTTACGACTTTTCTACCTATAGTAAGCTAACTACATACATACTTAATCTGAGTTTTTCTTGGATGTGCAATTATGAATTATTTTATGACACATTGATTCCATCTTAAAGCGCCTAACGAAGCGGTTAGCTTAATTTTATCCGTTTTGTTGGATTACTATCCGATAAATCTCCGTTGGGTTCAAAGATATTGATCATTGAGCAGTTTTGAGTTTTCTGGAAAATTTTTAATCGATTGTAGATGACAGAATTTTAATAAATCTAACTTCTTTAAAATATCAGGTACTCACATCTCCCATTACTGCAATTGGCGTAGTACCAGTAGAAAGAGCTACTTGATGTTCAATCAAGTAAAACATGTACTCGTCGTAAAGTAATCGAATAAGATGAAAAGATCCAAAACTTGCAGCACTTCTTAAAGTAAGATCTCTTATGACCATTGAACTATAAAAAGACCACTTGAGCAGGAACTGTCGAGCTGCTTTAGCAAAAGTAGGTTTGCCTTCGTAAGGTTCAAGAACCTGAGTCACAACGCCTTTCAGCCAAATTGCCCATTGTTCAAGCGAGTTTTGTTGCTGTAAAGTGACTTTGAAGTCAGCTTCTAAGCGCTGTACCATTGAATAGTCACACTGACAAACCCAGGAAGCCTAAATCGGACAAAATCAGATGCAATTCAATGTACTTAATTTCGTGAACGATAACATGTCTAAAGTATAAATTATAATTCATCAAACCTGCTCCTGTACGTTGTGGAAATCAACGCGATTCAAATCTGCGAGCATTTGGTTGATTTGACTATTGTTTTGAAGTACCGCGCGTGCTGCTTGAGCTAAATGATTCAGAGATGTGTATCTTCGTAAAGTTTGTGCAAATGCAGATACAGCAGTAAGCTTGATTTGCATTAACTCTTCAGGACAATCATTCATAGCTGTAGTCAACCAGGACTCCAAACCTTTGGCAAAATTTCTAATAGATTGAGTTAAAGGACCTGAAATTTTTTCAAACGATTAAATTTTAATGCTATGAATAAGAAAGTGATCGGAAAATTATATCAAAACTCACTGGGAATAGGCCTTAAAACATCGGGCATTAATACTTCTACAAGATTCTGATAAAACATGTAGTCTACTTTTTTGATAAACTCTTGGACTTCTATGCATTTGCATACCTGGTATAGTTTCGTCCTGATGAACATATTATAGATTAGCTTAATTTGCATTATTTCAATCAGCAAATATTTAAGCAAGTGTTTAAGTAAACTTACTTAGACAGGTAAGTCTCCTCTTCGCATTCACCGCCATTGTTATTGTCCTGGAGGCGCCAGAACTCGCGCCATAGACTCTCGATCGTGGCAAATTCAAAATTGGTCACGGCGCCGAGAAAAGCTTCGCAATGTTCTCGATAGAGATTGCGGAAAGTATCGATATCCTCCAGAGTACAATCGTCTGGTAAATCTGAGCTATGCCCAACTATGATCTCGGGAAATTCGGGGATGGCGTTGCCCGAACCACCCAAGTACTGATTGTACTGCGTCGATGTGACATTCGACAAAATGACATTGCTGTTGCCGTTGTTGCTGCTCGTGTGTACGTTGTTTTCATAATTTTCCGTTTGCTTTTGATTAACGAACTTCACTCGTTTGTTGTTCGTATGCGAGTTATTGACTTGTTGACGCGACGTACCATCCTCGTTTAGCATCACCAAAGGGGAATTTGGTTTCACTCTTATACCATAATAATGATATTTCGAGTTGCCCCTGGTTATAAAAAAGTTTTAATACTGTAATTCGTAATTCATTTATCGCAAAAGGCATTTCGCCTGAACTTACCTTGTTCCAAGACGACGCGTGCGTAAACCTAAAAATACGGATCTAATGAGCTTTCCAAAGCTTGCAGCATTCACTGGGTCGAGCTTGTTTTCTGAGCAATGGCGAAGGTAATGATTGTACAAAGTGGATCGAGGCAACGACACTCCATCAGCAGTCTCATAATTTTCTAACAACCATTGTACCTATACAAACAATCATGTATTATTAGTGACTCAAGTTTACACTTGATCATCGAAAATTTTGAGAGGATTATACACATAAATGAGTGTTACAAACTTATTAAATATTTAAAATGAAAAAAAGGCTCAACAGCATGATTCAAGCAAGTAGCTAAAGGACTAACACAAGAAAAGGACAGAACAAGGAAAGAACTCAACATTCGCATAATGGCGAGTATGAGGTGTGCGCTACAGAGGTCTGAGTGAAAAAACAAATGATCGAAGTGTTAATTAATGAAATTCCCTTACAGTAGCTTGGGAGACGCGAGTCGCATGCGTCATGTTAGCCGTGACCGAGGCAGCATCCTCCACGCTGATCTGGGCAGCACTCGCCGTCGAGTTACCACTAATCAGGTATGCACCGCCCCCACTAACGACGGCTTCCTACAAAGCAACATCCAAAAACGTGTTTTTTTCTAATGGCTCACAGTCTTCTCGTACTTTTTTTTTTCAAATGTTGTTAGTGGTTTAAGATATTGCAGTCAATTAGTGACAAGAATTGAATTATTCAATATTAGAAAAATCGGAAAGCAATGCATTATTTAATTCACAATGGACATGAGAAAATTGTTATTTTCGGTACAACGATCGAAAGAGAAACACAACTAATAAACTTACAGCACCGTCTCCTTGAGGGCTCGTACGAGCTGCTGCAGCAGCTGAAATGAGAGCATGAGTTGTAGGGTCATTCTCCACAACGCTTTGCTGAATCAAGTATGTGCCGTTTCCCTGTGATAACAATTGGCTGGTTGTCGCGTTTGAGCCAGTGACCTGTGTAAATTAATTTTGTTTTCATGAAAAATGGAAAAAATTTGATAATTCTGTTCAAATTTTTTTTTAATATTCTGGGTAAAGTATGTTGTAAACAAATAGGTATTTAAAAACATTAACTACTTACTTGAGCATATGTAACTGGAGTAGTTGCTGAGGTATAATACTGATTGGAGGCGGAAGTGTACATGGTTCCCGCTTCTCCAACAGCGTACACCGGATATGTCCTTTAAAAAAAGTACATTCATTTTCAATTTAGAAAAAAAGTTATTTTATTTTAATGAGAAATTTTAATTACATCTGGCCATTCGTCGGTATATACGTGGATCCATCGCCTTCGACATATTGGACATAGGTAGGATGCGTAACAGTTTCGGACCCCACGGCGTCGCTATCACCAGGTACTGCAAGTAAAACAATGAATATTAGTTTTCACTTCATTTCATTTTACTTTTTTTTCATTAATTTTACATTAATTTTACATTGATATTTTTTTTTTTTTTTAATATTTATTAACTAAACATTTTTATCACAAAGCTATTGAAAAAAGAACAGAGCAAAACATTTTTGGAAAAATTGTGTAAAGTTCATCAAGATTCTTATGTTGCGATTTTTTTTACAAATAAACACACTTAAGTCAGTTCAAAAGTGTCCCTCACCTACAGCCGTTGTGAGGGATGCGTAAGATGGTGATTCACTGGTGCCTAGCAAAGTCAGTGTGCAGTGAGTTTATATTAAAAGAACGATTTTATGTAAGCAAGTTTAGGTGAATAAGCAATACAGTGAGTGCATTACAAGAATTTGAAAACAATGTTGTTTAAATAATTTAAATTTTACCTGTTACAGTTATATAATGTGGTGAGCCACCAACAATAGTGCCTGCTGAGGATGATGCAGCGTCAGAATCAACAATTGTATGCTGACCAGAATGCGTTGTGTTAACAACTACTTGTGCCGTTACATGTGCTTGAGCACTGGATGATCCATTAGAGGAATCCGCTGTTGTGTCTAGTGAATCTTGAACTAGAAGCTATGACATAATGAAAAAAATTAACAAAAATGTTCAATAAAATTTTTTATGACATGATTAATCTTAGCAGTTATTAATAGGAAAAGATTTTAGAAAAAATTCTTTAAATATTCAAAATAATACAGCTATTTTAACCAATATTTTCACAGAATGCATAGTAAAAAAATAATATAAAAATAAATCCGTACAAATTAAAAAATTGTAGAATTTACCTGAATGGGTTGCAAGTTGTTTGGACTAGATGGATCACTAGTTACAACAGTGATTAACTGTTGACCTCTTCCTGTAGGAGTTTGTGAAGCACTGGCATTACCATTCGAATTGGAAGTAGTAACAACAACAACATTTGACTTAGAATCAACCCCCACTGCTGTGGACGATGAAGAATTACCCCCGCCATTAGCAGCATTGGCAGCTCTATTAGAAGCTGCCAGAGTATATTGGGTTCCAGTGGTAGTCATGGTAATGACCCCCTGCTCAACTGATGATCTTTTGGAATTTGATGTGTTACCGCCAGGTCTGCGTTTTTGCTTCTGCAAAGAAGACTCTATAAAACACAAATAAAAATGATTAGTATTTATTCACTTCATGAAAATATGTAAAAAATCGTGAAAAAAAAGTTACAATGAATATAGCTTCATCGTTAGATCAAAAATTCTCATTTTGTACTGAATTGTAACAAATTTTTTTTGGTAAGATCTCGAAAAAATTAAAAATAATGGTGGGAGTATAATGGTTAATTGAGCAAGTGTCATAATGAACTAGGTAGCTGTGAAAGCATAGTCGATCGGTACACACAGCTGTCAAGGGATGAATTGGGTAATGTTTACAGAACGACAGGGAGAACGTTGATAAACAAGCCCTGCACACTAATCACAAATTATCGAACACTTGCACAAGATTCGCGAGCCGCAAGCTGGCAGGTGTCGAGTCGGGGACGGGGGCTTTGATAACGATCAGCGCGTGGAATATATATATTTACCTCGAATCCATGACGAAACGGAGCTAAAGCTAATCGACGGGGTATGTAAGGCTGCACGAGATGAAGGGGCCCGTGCAGCCGAGGACGAATCGGTCGCGCAGCGTCTTGCAGAAGACGCGCTCTCGATCGAGCAGCAGACAGCTACTGGCCCGTCCGTGTCATTTTTTACAATGTCTGCGTGTGTTTGTGTACATAAAGTTTTTGGTCTGCGGCGTTAGGCACACAACAAAGGAGGTGCGAGTAATAGTTGTCGATAAGCCACATCTGCATCACGGGAGGGAGAGAGACAGAGAACGGACTGCGCGTAAGAACGCCTATATCTGTTGCAAACTAGCGTCTGTCACATTACAAAATGCACTTACGCATGTTTGTAAAAAGTGTACGTGCATGTAAGTAGTTGTAAGAGGCAAATTTTCAAGCCGTCAGTGACTCGATATACAATCTGTATACAAGCGAGAAAGCTAACCTTTAAAAGATACGTTTAATACAAGCTATACTTATGTATAAGAAGAGACGGGGCTAGCAAGTTGAACACGAAGGGTAATTAGTTATATAGCGGCAATGCAGGTATAAGCGCAAGTCGGTACGGGAGCAATAAGCTGATTCGGAGCAGGTGCTCACCCCTATATCGCAGCGGCAGCGGCGGCGGCGGCCCCGGCTAGGGCAGCCGTAATCCCGTCTAGAAACGGAGCAGCGGAGCAGGATCAAAGAAGGCTGCTCCGAGTAGCCGAGGACGACGGCGGCGGAGCGAGGATGAAAGCGATGCTAGCCGCGCTACTAAATCTCATCCCCCGAATCATCGTCGGCGTCGGCGTCGGTGGTGCAGTCGACGACGGCGTCATCGTCGTCTTTGCGAGGGTGCAGCAGGCAGCAGCAGCAGCAGTAAATTCGACCACGGCACTGGCACACGCATGCGAATACGTACAACGATACAATACTTTTGCCTATCGCAGGAGCACACGAACAATGCCAAGCAGTGTTGGTGGCGGTGGTGGTGGTGATGGTAGAGCTGGCGCGGATGTATAGCTGGTTTTATGCGTGTGCCGAGCAGATATTGGATATACACCTATTGGATGTGGACCTGATACAAGTAGTACACAACTGGAGGGAAATTGTTTGGGTTCGCGCGGATGCGAAAGAAAGAGAGAAAGAGAGAGAGAGAGAGAGTAAGAGAAAGAAAAAGACAAGGAGCTCGTTTCGAGCTTATAGCTCGGACGGGCAGGTAGTAGCTGTATTATGGGATGTATATAACTACAAAAGCAGCAGCAGCAGCAGCAGCGGCAGCAGTGCGCGCGAGAGAGACAGAGTATACGCGTTAGGGGCACCTAAAAAGGGGGGTTGATTCCAGCCGCGCGCAGGGGTGTAAGAGCGGACTGCTGCTGTTGCTGCTGCTGCACAATCCACATCACAGGCACAAATACACACACACACACGCATACATATGGACTTGTGCCTGGATAGGCGCATAGTGCGCGGACGACGATCCGAGTACCGATTGTACCGCCTCGCACTCACGCAGTACTCGGTGAAAGAGAGAGAGATAGATGGGGAAAGCGGCTCGTTATACCTATAGGAGAGCCCTACAACTACCCCCCAGGCTCGCTCGTATATATACATGCACGTAAAATAATCCAGACGAGTGTGCGTTGCGCCGCAGCGCTGCTCTCCAAGTGTACCGTGCGGACTGCGAGTCTATATATGTATACATATGCAAAAACTATATTATATTGCCTACGGCTTTTGGCCGTACCTCTATACATGGGTATAGCTTACGATATATTCGACTATGCGTGCACGAGTCGGGAAGCTTTGCGACTAGGTAGCCTTTAGTACGGCAGCTGCGTCGATCAGAGCTCTCAATTAGTCGGCATTAGGCTAGATTGATATTGTACTAATGAACGAGGGCTTAGAATTCCGTATGTATCAATCGGTCGGCGCTTAACGAGCACATGTAACAATTCGTCGTCGAGCTCAAAGCATATTATTGAGCATTAGGTACGTATCTATTACTCAAGTAGCGGTTTTTCGTCGTTTTCTCCTCTCGATGCGAATCGAAAGCTTTCACGTCATCGCGGCGCGATATAATATCGATGTCCATTTGCGCGCGTAAAGCTCCCGCGCACTGCTTTCGTTTCATCGGCGCGCGTATACGTTTACGATGATGCACGGCCAAGGATACAGTAGAGGCAATTTCAATGCAACCCCCGGAGGAAAGACGAAAGTATATCATAAGCGAGTAAAATGTACGTAAGCTTGTCTGTCGTGCGCACCTTCAAAGAGCGCGGCCGGGCACGTGTTTGCGCGTTGCCTGGGTGACACCTGAAGCCTGCAAGATCCGAGTCCGACGCGTCTTACCTTTGCCATATTCTACCCCACTCCTACTGCTTCGCTATCAATTACTATCTCAGCTCTGTATAGCTTTTATCCTACCCCGTGTACTTTGCTATACCAAATCGTAAACTGAACGATCAGAGCCACGCACACGGAAGCCGCCGCCGGCATTCGCGACATCAAAAAGCCTTTCCCGTATTACAAACACACAACTCGACTCTACTCGTACCGATCATCGGCTGTAACGAAATACTTTGCTCGATGCGCCGAAAAAAGGTGCACGGGGTCGCCTACTGGGGTGAAATTGAAATTTTAATTAGAGAAGAGAAACGACGCTGAACTGTACTTACGATCTCGAAAGTCGCGCAGTCTTGCAGCGAAGCGACACACGCGTTCGAAAGAGTGCCAATCGGCCGGCAATCGGCCGCAGATAATCCGAGTCACTGCGTCGCGTAGAAATCGATAATCGCAATCGAGAAAGGAGTACGCGTGATCCGAGGCGAGAGGTGCAGCTCGAGCAGTAGCCTGGCAATAACTGACGCGCTACATTGCATTTGAGCGTGGCGCGCGCCAAAACGGGAGGGACTTGCACGGAGAGAGAGAGAGAGAGAGAGAGAGAGAGGAACGGTTGGGCCCCTCGTATTTTTTTCCCTTTTCCAACGAGTGCGGGCGGTTTAAGTACTATGGCGAGTCGCGCGCGAGTAACGACGACGATGGCATATACACACGGCACACGGGCCTGACGATTGCGCGCTGCAGTACACCTGGCGTGTGCTTACACGACGCCGGTCACGCTCGGCGGACTCGCTCAACCCTCCTGTTTATATATTTGTATACCAACACGAGAAGCCGCAGGCCCGACGCAAAGTGACTCGCTTTGCCTCTCTCTCTCTCTCGCATACACGCACATATGCAGGCTTTTCCCTCTCTCGCTCGCGCGCAAGCGGCACCCTCATTTTTTTCTCTCGAAAGACTCCGATAGCTGTAATATCATGGTTCGCGTCTGGGGCACGCGCGCGTCTTTCCGACATATCGACGCTGTTAAGGAAGACTAGCACGTTTACATTTAAAAATGTATAGAAACGTGCTACTCTTCCTTAACAGCGTCGATATAGTCCGGGGCACTTTACTTGGTCAACAATTTTTTTTTACCCGCCGCTATACGTTTGATTCTCTTGCAAGTCAGGTGTATCGCGGCATCTTGCACGCGCGCGATCGACGGGTACCGCTGCTACCGGCATGTGTATACTGTACTTTGGCGTGAGAGAAGCGATGGACGCCGTTGACCGTTGCAAGATCTTCTAAGTGCGATTCTCGCCTTTTTCACGCATAAACCATCTATATTTTTATCGGTGGTCATCGCGATTTCGAAAATCGAGCTGAATAGGTCTGAGCAGGCCCTCGCGAGAGATGGACGCTTCATCGAGTAGTATTTTCGAACGACCGTTCGATTGGAAAAAGCTATTATGAAATTTCTTCTTGGGCTTTTTTTTGTCGTTCTAACGCACGATGCATTCAAAATGTCTCTCAACGTTGCTCGAATTTGATATCTCATACCGAGGCATAACAATTGCGACTCCTTTACTGATGGGGGGTTGTAGCATATAAGTGCAGGACGATAGTCGATCTCACGATTGCTTATAAAAGAAGAAGAAGGCGTATATATACGGTCGAGGATTTCACGCGTGACCGCTCCGATAATAAGTCCAGTTTAATTGAAAATCTCTCGCTATCTGTCTGCGCTCGCGTATATAACACAAAGCGAGACTTTGAGTGTATTATATACGACGCGTAGGTATAATATACTCGGGGCGCTCGTCGTTTCATCGAAGCGCACCTTATTGATGTATATTAAGTTCTATGCACTGCAGGCCGGCGAGCACATAACGTAATATGTGCGTGTGGCGGCTATTACACGTATATAGGTATATGAACGCAGTGGACAGAGAAAGAGCGAGCCGCACATATACAGTACAGCTACAGCTACAATACAGTACATTGCGCACACACCCCTATATATGTGTATAATACACTGGCAATACGAACACGCACGTGCTGCTACGCACGGTAGGGTTTTATTAGTTCTCAGGGCTATATTAACGACCAAGCAAGCCGAGGGATATTCGAGCGCGCACAGGTGAGTTATCAGCTATGTATAGATGGACGTGCGCACATGCACACAAGCAATACACGTATTGTGAACCTACACAGAGAGAGAGAGAAGCAGTCGGCAGTGGCCAAAGTCTACGTCTGTGTGCATAATACGTCACGATATTATTATTGGACCTCTGGTTCGCGCACCCTTATAGCACTTAGTAGCAGTAGAGTCCCTGGATATTTCTCGCCATGCACACGCACATCGAGCTGCTCGATATAATATAAGCTGTGCCTGATAGACATGTTATATGCCTATACCTATACTATATACATAAGCAGCACATCGCGCCGTGTACACCCATGCAGGCCCAAGCGATGTACACCGCTGTTGATAGCCACACGCACGCCAAAATCAAGTTGAACGACGTGTGCAGCTCGTGCATGACGTGCGCCAGAAAAAGAGAGGGAGAGAAGGGCCAAACAATGCCGCGCGAGCTTTTTGTATATTATAAGCAGACATCGACCCGCGTACGAAGCGTAAATCCGATGCAGCCGAGCTTCAATTTTAATCCTTATCGGCCGATTCTTCTTCCTTCTTTTTCATGATCAATTTTTTTTCTGCTCGTGTACCTCCCCATATGTAACGTATCCGAGCACGTGTAAACACGCGATAATTCATCGGAGCAGCTGTCGAGAGCAACGGACCGGAACGAGCGCGATACCTGATCTGCGAATTTTCAATGGCAACACGCGTCGAATGGTAATTGAGTGGGACGGTGCTGGCTCGCATCGAATACTCATCGATAAAATTAAAGGAAAAATATGAAAATATCGGACGCGTGTGTATCGATAGAGACTCTCGAATGAAGCCTAATCGTTACTCGATTGCGTTCACTAATCGTCGGTGGTGCGATCGCTATATTACCCGAAGAGAGAATCGTGCACACACCGCTGGAATATCAATTGGGCGAGGGAAATTATCATTGCACATCGTAATACGTGTCGTGTGTGTGTGTGTGTCTGTCTCACCTGCCTTCATGAATGACGATGCCGCCTCCCTGCGACAGGGGGGTAGTAGATAGCTGAGCAAGCAACGTACAGGCGCAGAGCACTCGTCTATGTATATATAATATATATCTGTAGGTGTACGCGTTGTATATCACTCGCTGGTGTCTTTGTCTCGCGGCTCTCTCTCACAGCTGTAAAAAGCACAGCAGCAGTACAGCGGCTTCGTGCGTGGCACCGGTCGCGCAAAGGCACGCCGGAGCTTTTTCACTTCTTTTCCTTCTTTCTTCGATCAGCTGCTGCTGCTGCTGCTGCTGGTGACACGCGACTGCCAACTGGAAATGCGACGGTTACAGGTACGTAACGTATGCGTTGCGTACAGAGCTGTCCACCATGAAAAGCTCTCGGTAGCAGCAGCAGACAGGAGCTTGGATCTATCGGAACAAGACTCGCGGTTGCCGAAAGGACACGAGCAGCAGCAGCGAGTTGGAACAGTCAACGGCCATTGTCGAGGCTCCGCTGCGGCATTATACTGCATCAACATCAACGCGCGCGCACTACTTCGCCGTTACGTATTGTCTTGCAGGCAGCCGAAGCACCGCAGCTTTTTCTATGTAATATCGCGGTGCGTAGTCAGCCAGCTCTCTTATACACGATACAATAGACGCACAAAGTACAATAGACAGCAGGCGCGCGCACACAAACACACATGCAGCACTCGGAGGAAAATTGTTAACTGCGTTAGTAGTTTCGAGTTGGCAGCTGACGCTCGTCGAGTGTGCCTTTGCGCTGCTGCACGCTGCCAGTAATTGCTCGTGCGCGGCTAGTGGCTACTGTGCTTATTACTGCCTTTATACCGTCGCTGCCACTGGTACTACCACAACTACTGGTTTGTTGTTGACAACGGGGCACGGTCGCCAAGGCAGGCACTGTACATAATATGCCGCAGTCGGAGGGATCGCGAGAGGCCAAAGCTGCAGCGAGTTATACCAGCCGCTAGCTCGCACTGGCTGTCTGCTGTGCCGTTACCGCGCCGACACTCGCTGCCTTTACTCACGCACCCACAAATACTTTTGCATTTGATACTTGCGCCTGTGTACTCCGACACTTTCTTCGTGTGCGTGTAGGTGTGCGAGAGCTTGCAGTCGGTGCGAATGTATGTATATAAATGACCACGCGCAGTCGTCGTTTCCCTGGCTACGGCGCCGCGAGTCACCGTCTCTCTCTCTTCCTATCGTTCGTGTACCTATGAACTCTGCACGCGCAGCTCGAACCACGCGCAAGAGTCCCGGAGCTTTTTCACGCTGCAACGGCGCGAGCTTTGAAAAGCTTCAACGATCATGACAGGTGTACTGCTAAAAGCCACGAGATAAATTGCCTTATCGGTCATTTGATGCCTCGTGCGACTCGACTGAAATTATCTCGTGTACAGGTCGTTGGAGCTTTATTGATTTTTTGAATATCATCCCCTCGTCGAGGACGACGACTCGCTTTTCGATTGCTCACGGTTACCGCGTCAGTGACGCACGTGGCTCGAGCTGTCGTTTGCTCGAGCAGTTTTCCCTGCTTTCGTCTCCTTTTTGCTCGACTCGATTACTAATTTATACATAAACCACGATGAATCATGTCGAATCGAGACTTCTCTCTTTCTTAAAATTTTTTTACGTTTACTCTGAATATATTCTTGGACAAAACAGTTAAAATACCGTGAAAGTAATAATTTATAGAAACAAAATAAGTCGATTTCGTTTGCAATAATTAACAAAGAGTAGGACCACAGTCGATTATTTTATCAAATCACATCCCTTACTTTTGCAAGTTTTTCAAAGTATGCTCACATCGATGAAATTAACTTGGACATTTAAATACCAATATTCGATGCCTTGAATGTGAAAAGTTAAGGCAATAAAATCCATTTAACTCATTGGTCAAAGTGATTGCAAGGAACAATATTTGATGCTTCATAATTTTATTAACCTCTCTTTTGTTCTCACTCATGAAGGTTTTGAATTAAATTTGATCAGCGGTGAATAATTATAAATCCATGGTTAGCCTTAGTTATAACCTCTCCACGAACACATCGAATAAAAGTAAGCACTCGAACGAGAGATGAAAAAAAAATTGCAAAAAGTACTCACGGTGAGGAACAAAGTCGCCACTCTCCAAATCGTAGTAGGCATCTCTGATGAAGATGGAGTTCGGACTGGTGCACGAGACGTAAGCGTCGTCGGCGTCGATCAGCTCGTCGTCCTCGTAGTTGTTGTAGTCGCGATCCTCCTGCTCGCAAATGTCGGGCTCGTCGTCGTCTTGGTCTTGGGCTCGATGGCGACGATGGCGATCGTCTTGGGCGACGACGTCCCGCGCGTCCTTGTACTTATCCTCCTCATCGTCGTCCGACGATATGACGAAGTAATCGCTGAATATCTCCTCGAAGGGCGCGCAGCTGCTCATTTGGAGCGCACAGTGCTGCGATCGACAATAATAGTGCAATCCGCGCGACTCAGTAACCCTGGAGATGGCCGTTTCCCTGGGAGAAAAATAGTTTTTTTCTTTATTCTGCTCGATTATTAGAGACTACGTTCTGTGCGCGTGATGCTTCTAGCCTCTCTTTCTCTCTCTCTCTCTCTCTCTCTTCCGATGCCCGATTTTTTGGCCTACCGATTCTCAACTGTTTGTGCTCTGTAAGCTCGCCGGCGCGGCTCGTCGCGGTCTGCTACTGCTAACTGCACTGCACACGCACGCACGAAAACGGGCTCGAACGCGTCTATAAAACATCTTTTTACCTGTAGCTGCCACACGATAGTTGTAGCATTTTTCCCGACTATTATTGTTATTATTACTTTTTTTTTCTAAGAGAGGGAACCCGAGTGTCTATCGATCATCCAACGCGCGCGACTCGTGACGTTATGCACTTGTGCAGTTTTATTCATATCATATAGCCGTTATACTACAGCCTCGAGTGCGTGAAACAAAATTTATTATTCCTTTGAGACGAGCCATTCAGCAGAATTAACTCAACTTTCGCCCAAGAGCGCTAAATATTTCAACCTTCGTGCACTCGTCCAATATGCAAACGTTTCAAATGAATCGTGAGCGCGTCTTGTTGCCTTATACGCTGGACTTTTATGCTATACGCGAACGGGCTGTATAAGAATATACGTGCGCACGTTTAAATATCATCGGCTGCACTGCAGCCTGTAGGTATACCTATGTAGCGATATTCACGTGACACATGCACAATCCAGTTGAGCCGCGCTCGCGACGCGATAGATCTGTTGCTTTACACGACACAGATATAGTTGTACAACATCGCGCAGTGTAACAGCAGGTGTACTTATAGGCGTGTATACATTAGGGATTAAGTGTAAGGGGCTGTGTTTGATATACATACTTAAACGGTCGAATGAGCTGCTCGTAATACAATAGCGAGTTTCGGTCTGATTCCAGTCCATCGTCGGACTCTCGCGCGGTCTATAAAATCAATCATCTCAGGTCGCAGCAACAGTTTGCGAACTGTCAACAAACGGCCCGAACATGATGACACCCATCGATCCGGACCTCGTCGACGACCAAGTCAACGGCCAGCAGAGCATCGAGGCCGAGGTGCACTCACCCATGCTGACGCCGCCCAGCCAGGCCAAGTCCTCGGCCTCGGACGACGGATTGTCCATCAACAACAGTACCTCCGTTGAGGGCTCCGTCGTAAGTGCATCTCTGTATAACCTGTAAAGCAACAAACGACTCCGTTTTTTTGCGCAAATTCTTCCGTGCACCTCTATCCTGTCCAAACTGAATTACGCAAAATGAGTAATCGACATGATTCTTTCACGTATAGGTTGCCTCACCGTCCATCGAGAGTTTTTCCACGTTTCCCGAGCAGGAGGAGGAAATTTTCGACGCGATCGCGGATCACAGAGATCTGCAAGTTAAAGTTGACTGTCCGCAGAAACACGTTGAGACACTCGAGACCTTCATCACCTTTAGGATAACGACAAAGGTCAGTTCATTTTCCACTGGAGTTCCACTGGAGTGGAGTTAAGTACTTTTTCCAATAAACGATCACGGATTAACTCGAACACTTTTTTTAAATAGTCCACTAGATCCGACTTAAAAGATGGTGAATATGTCGTTCGCAGACGTTACAACGACTTCGCCTGGATTCGCCAAAAACTTGTTGAAACTTATCCAGCACATATCATCCCAGTAAGATTTTAAATTTTCAAAGATTTTTATTTACAAACTTTAAATTTATTATCATTTAAAAATTTTACTTTTTTCTTTTTAGCCAATGCCTGGAAAGCATACACTACTGGCACAACTAGACCGTTATTCTAAAGAATTTATTCTTGCTAGAATGAGACTGTTACATATTTTTTTAAACAGGATTGCCAGTCATCCTATACTAAGTTGTGACAAGGATGTCTGTGCTTTTCTCACAGCTCAACCTACTGTATAAAAAGTTTATTTAATGAGTTATAGAAAATTTTACTTATTTTTAAATACATATTAATTTCTTCATTTTAGGAATTTATGGTCTATAAAAAAAGTCATACAAACACCAATAAAGGTATGGATCCAAGATCTTTAACAGCTGCAGCCATGAAAAATCCTATTGCAGAATTTGAACATTTTAAGGATTACTGTATAGGTCTTAGTGACAAATTAAGCGCAGTGGATAAAATTAGTAGAAGAATAAATAAAGAAAGACATGGTAAGCATAATTTATAAATAATTTATAATTTCTTTTTTTTTTCAATAAAATTTTTTATTTTTAGAATGTTTGGCTGAGTTAAATCAATTGCATCCAATATTTACAATGTGGGCCTCTTCAGAACCAGAACTTTCAAAAACTTTAGAAGCTATTGCTAAAGCACTTCATTCTAATGCTAATGCACATAAAATATTGATAGATTCTGTATCGAATGAAGAAAAAGAATATGTAACATATGTTGAAGCTGTAAAAGATGCTCTTAATCGGAGGGATGCCATGCAAATTGAATATGAGTTATCATCAGAAGAATTAAACAAAAGAACAGTTGAAAAACAAGAAGTATGTATTTAACATATGTTTCCTGATTTTGAATTGAGGCAGAGAACAGTTATACTTACTTTAATCGATATTTAATTTTCGATTAGGTTGAAGATCCACGAAATAGTAATAATCGATGGGATGGTTCTTTCTGGAAAAGTGAGAGTAGTGGAGAAAAGCTTAGCAGATTATCATTAGCAATACCTCGAATATTGAAAGTCGTTGAAGTATTACACGATAGAATAGAATGTGCTAATGAAAATTTGCGATGCGACATTCAGCGATGGAATGCCGAAAAACAAGCTGAATTAAAAAGTATGCTCATAGCAATGGCCGACAAGCAGATCGAGCATTATGAACAAACTATGCAATCCTGGGAAGAAGCTCTGGCTACTATAAAAGAAACAAGTAATGAATCTGATACAGCTGTGAATTCACCTCGGGTGACTGCTTAAAAGTTAATATCAATTTGACCAGACAAAATTTAATGGTCAGAAGTTTCTTAATTAATTTTATTTAAACATTTACCAAATATTTTAAGTAAATGATCAATTTAGAGGCAGTACCAACTAGGTTATTTTTATATGCAAAGACGGCTACATCCGGAAACCGTACTTTTTATGTCGTTTTATTAACTTTTATTCAACTGATGAATTTTCAATCAAAATATTACTAGGTCCGATACCGATACTTTTTATTAGAAAAAAAAATGAATTTACAAAGAATGCATTTTGCTGTGATATTAATAATACCAGATAGATAACTATATTTTGCAAATGTACATAATTATTTCATTGAATGACTTTTATTTTTTTGGAGTATTAAATTTTACTCTTGTGCAAGTTTCATTTTGGGACCAAAACTATTTTCAATATCTATTGAGACTTTGAATTTCCAATTGAAATCAATTTGACTTGAAATGGGTGAATTGAAAGTGGTACTTGCCGGATGCTCAAATCTTTAATCAGATAAATTATATAAGGTAAAATTATGTAGGAAATGCAATGTCAAAGAAAAGAATTTAAGTCTCCACCAACAAGTTTTTATATCCAATATAGTCACATCAGATCCAACAGATCATTATTGATTGTATTAAATGTACAAAGAAATACGCTTTACAAAAATTTACAAAAAATATTTAACTTAAGAAGAATAATTATATTTTATTCATTTTTTCAATTCATTAATTTATTGTAATCCTATTGCAAACACTTCACTCAGCAATTAGGCAAACGGCGTTATATAAAATTCTATAAGATTATCAAAGTCCCTCAAGCTTGTAATGGATTCATCTGCAAATAATCATGTTAATTGTCACTACGAATTATATATTTTTAAGTATTGTATAAATGAAAAATGTTATATTGAAAAAATATCTATTAATCAAAATAAAAGCTTGACGAACCTGCTAAAGTTAATTCGTTGCTTAAAAATCGAACACAGCGTGCATAAGGCTGCTGAATATTTCGTCGCATTTGTGGCACAATAAGTTTCGTTGGATTCCAAGGTACAGGAGACGAACCAATTGTTTGCGATAATTTTTCAGATCGCATAACATCAGCTTTGACTTCTTTCATTTTTAAAAGATCTGTTATTCTATATTCATTTGAGTCAATATTCCAAGTGAATTTGCATCCAGCAATATATTGTTTCCGATCTTCTAAACTATAAAGAGATCGATTTTTCGCTAAAGCTCTAAATTTTAAAGTAGATGAACAATTGAGCTTGATCTTACCATTGTCCAGGACTAAACTGTTCGCTAGTTTGTACTTTCATTATGAGTAAAAGAATAATATCTCCACTGAGCGCGCAAATATCGATAATTTCTATATCATAATCACTGCAATGCCAATATTTTTTCTTGAACAATTTACACTGCCAGTCAGCGATGTGGTGTGAAAAAGTTTCAATGTCAAAACTCATTTGGTGAATTGAGACACATGGCACATTCTAAAAAATGATTCATGAAATGTGAAAATTTTGAAAACTTTTTACTGTTTTGTTTTCGTACTGACCAATTTTTCTGCTTTTGCGTTGCTAATCATTCCCATTTGAACATAATCTGCTCCATGTACCTGCATAGGAAGCACACATTGGTAGCTTGCGTATCCGCCCGTTTCTTCATCTGTGAATTTTCAAAAAAATATTCATTAAAATATATTCATAGTAAACAACAGTTTAAATTTTTATGATAGTTAGATAGATACCTTCAACATCAGTAATTACGGAAGCTCTTTCATCATCCAAGTCGATATAAGAACGCTTAAAGTGTGACGTACATTTTATCGAAGGATATTGCAAAGTAGCTTTAGGAACTAATGGTGAAACACTATTGGAGATTGGTTTACTTGTTCTATCACGATAAGAATTAGGCAGTTGATTCTGATTAATAGGTCTTAGAACGTTCTTTTCGGCTAAAAAATAATCAAATTAAATTTTAATGCGTTTATAATTTTGATATTTATACTGTAGTAAGAACTATATAAATATAAGCTTACAAGTTTCGAAAACTGCTATATCATTAAGTACATCTTGAGGACCTATAAAATCATCGGATTCACTGTGTTCGGAGTCCATACGAGGTCTTCTACTATTAGGCGATGCAGTCGGGGACTTTTGATATATGGCACAGCCAATATGTTTCGTTTGATCGCGTACATGTTTAAAAGGAACTATATTTTCAGCATCATCAGTTTCATCGCAAAACTCGTATTTTTTATCGGCCAATCGACGTTTCCTAAACGAACTTAATTTTTCGCAAGCTTCTTGTGTTTCGTCTGTAAATTCGTAAGCTTTTTCTGCATCTGAAATTAATTTATGACTGACTCGTGTTCGTAGTTGCGATTGGGACGATGGTGAAACGATATTTCTTTTTCGACAAATTGTATGCCTGAAATATAATTAGTTTAAAATTCAAGTTTTTCAAAGAAAATACAAATATTATAAAATATTAAAAAGTACCTTATTGACCTAGTGATTGGCGGGGACATGAGACGAGGTGACGAGGGAGCACTGACCCCTCTAGAATGTAAAGGAGAATTTTTGGGGCATGAGCTAATCTGTGAAGCACCAGGCTGTGGTGACTTTCTAAGACTAGATTCTGAATTGCGAGTTTTTAAAATGTCAGATGATGGTGTAAATGTATTGATCGACCATGATTGTCCATGAGATTTCAAATCTGGTGGAAGTCTTTGAGGTATTGATCGAGGGGAGCAAGGAGGATGTTTGACCAATGTTATGACCTCACTACTTATACTTAGTTCTTGTGACATATCTTCACAAAAGTCTTGTAATATTTTATCTCTGACTGAAATGGCTTGTGGTTCAGTCTGAATACTTGAAATACTAGATTTATCACAAACACACTGTAAACTATTTAAACACAAGCACCCTTTATCACTAGAATTACTACTACACTTATTATTATCACAGGTACAATCACCTTGATTGCTGCTAAAAGTACTTGTTTGATCACATTCTATTTTGTTATTCATTTTACAATCATCATTGTCCTCACACTCAATTATACTAGTGCATTGACATTTTTGAGTTGTATCTAATACATTTTCTAATGATGCATTTTTTCCTTCTGTACTATTATCTGACTCATTTTTTGACTCTTCTGCTTCGTTTACACTTATTAAATCCAACTGTTCCATGTCAGCTAATAAATTATCATGCTTTTCAATTGATACTTGACTTTTTATTTTCATATTCTCTAAGTCTACTCTCAGAACATGTAAAAAATTTCCTGTATTAACTACAATGTGATTGGCATAGTTCAAACATACAACAGCACGAAATTTTGGATAAGGTGAGATCACTTCATACGTTGTGTGAACTGTAAGTCCATGCTGAAGACAATTACAACGTACACAAGAGTCCCAATTGGCTGCTAAATCTGGAAGTAAAGAAGTTATTTCAATGTTATATAAAGAATGAACATTATCTTTACAATATTGTATACAAACCATCTTCTTCGTAAGATGAAGCTATGCTTTGACAATCTCTACAATTTTCTAGTGATGGTACTGTTGTTATGGTTACAAATGCTTTATCAGTTGGTTGTGATTGTGTTTGAAAACTAGAGCTATAGCATTTATCATTATATATTATTAGATATTAAATGGTACAAAATACAAAAATACATAAAATATTAAAAGTTACTATACCAAAGGCCGTGTATGACTAATTTGTTTCTTTCTGTTGGCCATTGAGCAATTACTATGACCAATTCTTTGTAAATGCTATAATTACCAAACAACGTTACTTCAGCAACTTTACGTGAAGCTCTATTTGGAGTGAATGCCCACCAATGTAAGAAATACTTTAATAAACTGCCAGGTACAGCAACGTCTATATTATAGGTGTAAGTCAATAAAAATCGTCCGCACTGTGTGAGCCCCATAATAACATGTCTAAAAAATTGTAAAAATATTTGAGAAATGAACATGCATGCATAAAATTTTCTTTAATAATAAAATTTTACCCAGCTTGGAGAGCGGATTTGGGTATAACTTGTAATAATGGTAAACGACGCCATGAAGGTATCTCAGTAAACAGTCTTTCTTCAGTGGCATAATTGTGTTGAGTTAAGGAACCCCTTATCTAATAAAACAAATAAAAATAAAAATAAACTTAAAATAACTCTTAATTTAATTTACTATTGATAGACTTATAAATTCAATGGTTTTTTCAAAGTGTTTTCAAAAGTGGTACTTTTTTTTTGTTAAAAACAACATTAAAAATGACAGTTTGATAGAAAGCAATTTCTAACTGTCATATAATTCATGACAGTAATTATGCACAGTATTACATACTTAACTAGTGTTCCACAAAGGGAAAATCGATTTTACTGTCCAATTGAATCAATGATTTATTTATGCAGAAATGAAAAATAAAAGCAGCCTTGCAAAAGCTTGTTTGAAATTAGACAGTGAGATTAAAACAAGGCAAAAAATTTCATAAAAATAAACAGTAACATTAGAAAACGCCTCCTATGCATTCGATTGCTCGAGCCTCAGAAAAACGTATCTCAAGATCGAAATTTCTTTGTGGCCAGTAAGCACGAGTCCTTGGCAATAAGTCCTCGAAAGGACGAGTCGAGGCTCGCTAGGGGCCACGTGAGACGATTAAAAATGTGCAAGAACAATTCACCTCTCTGGTAAAGAGCTTGTGAAGGATGTTTCTGCCTTTGTTATTGTTGCTTCTCTGCGTGCCGACAGTGTACTCCGTTGACTTGCACGAGGAGTCGTCGGATAAACAATCGTTGAGCGTATCCGAGGAGGCAGTGTCGGATGACGATGCGTCGGCCATTTTTAAATAACCCCCACGGACAGCGCACAGCAGTGCGAGAGCTGCTGATATCGGAGTCAGGCAGTCAGCAGCAGCAGCAGCAGCAGCAGTTTGTGTATATGCCAAACGATATGTTTACACGAGAAGTGTCCGTAGCAGCAGTGAGCGAGCATGAATCGGCGCTGAGTTGCGCCCGGAATTTCTCTGCCCGTTACAATGCTAATACGCTGACATGTTATGGAGTAGTGCAGCGAGCGAGCCTGCGCCTGCCGCGCTCCTCGAGACTAGTCTCCCTCAGGCCCGTGCAGCAGCGAGCTGCCGCGGCTGCTAAAACTGCTGCCGATGGCGAGTAGGTATATGAAATAACGTAGCAGTCGCCTTGGACAGCTCGGCCGACTACCTACCACCTACCGCTCCGAATCTTTTTCCAGCACTACTGCTGCTGCTATTGCTGCTACTGCATGCATGTGCATTGCAACGCGCGCCAAGACGCAGCTGCAAACGCGAAAACTTCGAGACGAGCCCGAGGCTAGGTTGTTACAATTGCCGAGAATTAATTCAAACTTATCCTCAGTTTTTCACGGACTTGCATAAATCACTCAGACTTTACTATAAAAAAAGATAATCTGTTTACTGTTATGGCAGTGACTAAAATTAATTACAATTTGTTGGAGGAAATTGTCACTTTGAGGTAAAACTAACTTTTTTCAAGCTAATGCACTTGTTGTTGATTGTATTCTGGTTTGAAATACGTTAGGTCGATGATCGGTCATGCCGCAGCGTCTTTCTAATATGAGAATCGTAAGAGCATTGGTTTTTTGGCGTTCGATAACTTCTGATTGGTTGAATTTTTGAAATAATATTTCACTTGGCGCATTGTTGCAAAAAATTTCGAGCGAGCTTCTATTTCTTCCGCGTTCAATCATTTTTTTAATGCAGTTGAATCGCGTGAAATTTTATCGTACTTTGATAAGGTAATTTTCATGATGAAATATTTCATAACTTTAATTTCTTGTTCGCAATTTGCGAGCGATTTCAATTTTTCATTTCGTTTTGAAATTGAAAATAATGTTAAACAAAAAGTAAGGCATCGATTTAATCGGGCAAATAATAAGGACAAAGAGCTATTTTTGAATGAAATTTTTATTTGATAAAGTATAAGCGTTGAAAAGCGTTTGCTTGATTTTTGTCTATTTTACAATGCGAGAGCAAAATTGATTTCCAACGAAGAGCGATGCAGTTTATTGTTTGATGATTTGGGGCTCGAAGTCGGGCTGCACAACCTTGGCTAATTTTTCGGCGTACATGTCCAATCTGGAGGTCATCTGGAAGAAGAGAGAAAAAAAATAAACGAATGAAAAGATGCGCGTGAAAAAAGAGTCCAGAGTCCAACGCGTTTGGGGGGGAGAGGATAATTACCCTGAAACCCCAGAAGTCCTTGATCTGCCTGCAGAGATTGAGATCGATCTCGGCGATCAAGACGCCGTCCTCGGAGCGGCTGAGGCCGGGGGTGCGGGTGCCGTCCGGGGCGGCGATGTAGCTCGAGCCGTAGAAGTGGCCGAAGTCGTGGTGGGCCGGCTGGCCGTTGCCCGAGGTGAAGGCGTTGGGGAAGACCTCGGTGCCGACCCGATTGATGGCGCAGGTGTAGTAGCTGTTGGCGATGGCGGCGTTGCGCGCCTCGATGCCCCACATCGGCTCCGACAGGGTCTTGGTGGTCGCCGACGGATTGAACACGATCTCGGCGCCGTTCAGGGCGAACATGAGCCAGTTGAGCGGATGGTGGCGGCCGTAGCACGTGTTGATGGCGATCTTGCCGAAGGGCGTGTCGAAGACGGCGTGGCCCAGATTGCCCTCCATGTAGTAGGTCGACTCGTTGAAGTCGTTCTTCCTGGGGATGTGGTTCTTTCTGTGCTTGCCGATGACGCGGCCGTCGGTGCCGATCACCACGGCCGTGTTCCAGAGGGTGTCGCCGTTGGTCTGGTCGCGCTCGAGGATCGGCGAGACGATCACCATGTTGTGCTTGCGGGCCAGGCCGGACATGAGCTCGGTCGTCGGGCCGGTGATCGCGTCCTCGGCGAACTCGCACCACGGGTACTTTTCGCGGGTGCAGAAGGCGAACGGCATGGCTGAAATTGCAATCCCCTCTCATTTTATCACCAGCTCGCCCTCGATCGACTTTTTTTTTTCTTGTTCATTGTGCAATACTCACGCCAACCCTCCTGGAGGCAGATAATGTTGGCGCCGCAACTGGCCGCGTGCTCGACGTACTTGGCGAGCTTCTTGTGGATGGCCTCCCTCTGGTCGCGAATCGGGTCGGTCGTCGGCAGGACGATGGTATTCTGGACGATGGCCACCCGGACGATGCGGGGCGGCCGCAGCTGCTCGACGATCGCGCCGCCCATTTTGTAGCCCTTGATCTCGCAGTTCACGCCTTTTTCGAATTTCGGCAGGTCTAGGGGTCTGTATCAAAGAGCAGATTTTTTTTTTCTTTAGACAAATGTTCAAAGGGACGAGTTGGAAAAAATCCGTCGGAAACACCTACTCGACTTCTCGTCCATAGAGGATCCTCTTGACCTCCTTCAGAATTGGCTCGGGCAGGTTGTCCTCGAGCATCTGCTCGAGAGTCAAATGCTCCAAACCGGTGGTCTTAGCGTCGCCGAAGATCTCCATCTTATTCTCTTACCTTTCGAAAGAAAAGCAAAGACCGAAAAAATGAAAAAGCTACTGTAGCTCGAGTTCGTTCCCAAGAGCCGAACGGACGAGAAGTGAGGAATACCGGCGAGGAAGCTTCAATTTATACGCATATTAAACAGATGATGTGAAAAGATTCTTTGCTACGATTGGCCAAAGATAATGAAATCAATCAACGGACTCTCTCATCTCTGTTATTTAGAAATTGTATTATTGCTCGTATGCAAAATAAAATATCGAATCGCACGCGCCGCTGCCACTCTGCGCTGCAGGTCAATACGACATTGCCCTAACGCTGAGTCGCCTATCTCGCGTGCATTATGAGCTTATTATAAATTTATTATTATTTATATGGCTCTTTGTACATGTGTATAAATTTCGATAAGAGGCTCATTCGATTGGCTGCAGCTGCTACTGCTTCGCGACGACTCTTCCTGCTGTAATCTTTTTTATTGTATTGATCAGTTGACGTGTCATTTTTAGGGCTGTGTGAGTATCCGATTTTTCGAGTCGAGTCGGGAAATCGAGTTTTTTCGAATACTCGATTTTTTTTCGAGTACTCAAGTTTTTTCGCGTATTTAAATTTTAAGTAAATAAATGGTGAATCAACAGTCTCTAGACCCCTATCTTTGTGTGTATATGAGCAATTTCGGAATTTAGTTTCGAATTTTTTGTTTAAAAACGGAACAATTTGTTTTCCTGGACGCATACTATGAACATTGGGTATTGTTCTTGAAGGTCCTAGGAAGCTAAAAAAATGTAAGAACACAAAATTTAAAGATGGGTAATTTTTTTCTGGCTACTTTTGTGTTTTAGGGCCCGAAAAGTCACGTTTTTGATACGACAATTCACTCAATTTCTAAAAGGCTAAAAAAGTATCAAAACTCATTCAAAGCTTCCTAGGACCTTCAAGAACAATACCCAATGTTCATAGTATGCGTCCAAGGAAAAAAATTGTTCCGTTTTTAATCAAAAAATTCGAAACTAAATTCGAGAATTGCTCATATGCTTATAAGTGTGATATTCGCAGTGGCTAGAATTGAAAGAAGAAAATAATTAAATAGTACCACACCTCATCACACTTATAAGCATGTACACACAAAGAGAAGGGTCTAGTAACTGTTGATTCATCATTTATTTACTTAAAACTTAAATATATTGCGAGTATTCGAAAAAACTCGAGTACTCAAAAAATCGAGTACTTCACTGGAGTACTCGACGAGTCGAGTTTTTTCGAGTACTCGCACAGCCCTAGTCATTTTATACTGTTATAATGCATTATATTTACACGCCTACCTCGTTATACGCGGGGGTTACGTTCCGGAAAAGTTCCGCGTGTAGCGAAATCCACGTATAACGAGGCAAAAAGCGAATCTTTAATAATCTGTTTCTTATAGTTCGAATAGTCGACTCATTGATCTCGAAGCGCCTAGCAATAGCAACAATACACTCCCATTCTCTGATTAAATTTAGAATTTCCAATTTTTCAGCCAAATTGATCATAACTTTTCTTTTTTTTTTGTTGGAGTTTTAGAAAATCTCGGAGTATTTGGAGCCATTGTCAACTTTTTCAAAAGGTTATAAAAAAAATGTTGGATCGTCTTTAACCGCGTATAACGTGAATTTATCCACGTATAACGAGACATCGTCGCATTTGGCAATCCGCGTATAAGGGTAAACCTCGTATACAGAATCCGCGTATAAGGAGGTATGCCTGTACATACAGTGTATTGCCATTTAATTAATGATGATAGAAAATAAGATATTTCTTTTCTAGTTTTGGATACTTATTTGAGTTACAATATTTTTCATCCCTTCGCATTTCATTCACAACTGAAATGTTACGCCGAATAAGCTAAAATATTCTTCATTCACTGTTTTCTATTTCAAACAAAATACAACAGCAGATATTTTCCAAAACAATAAGAAACTGAAATCATATCTTTTTCGGATAAATTTAATATTTTTTGGATGTCACAGTTATAAGGAATCAACAATTATTTCTCAAGAATGTTTAAAATGTGTGGTATACAAAATATTTTTCACTGTTGAAGATGATTTTTTAAAAATAACTTATTTTCGTGACTCGTGTCCTTATGTGCGTTAGACATTATTTAATAAAATAATATTTCTGCTTGGTTTGTTTGCAAACTTTAAATTATAAATTAGTAAGCATTTTTTTATGAATAAAGAAATCAATATTTTCTCTACGATAAATAAGAAACTGTTACAGGATAAACATTCGCTTACGCATTTTCACGCAACTGACTTTTAAACACGACTTATTGAAGTATTTTAAGATAACACCAGATTAAATATGCAGACGTTATAAATAAACCCAATCGGAGCACAAAAAAGAGCCAAGTTTGACTCGCATGCATATGTAAATGTGTATAGTGATTAAATTACTGCAGATTCGGGATTTCGTAAAGACAATATGAAAATATTGAGCAATAACTGGAGCGTGAAATTTTTGATTACAAACATTCGGTAAAGTTCAAAAAATTTTACATCAAACTTACAAAAACGAACATGCATGAAATTGAAAATTAAATATTGTAAAAATTTTCATTTCTTATTTAATTCCAAATTTTTCAATAATGACAACCTATTCTAAGATCATGTAATTATACAGCAAGTTAAATGTAAATTAAAAAATTTATTAAAATAATCAATGAAACTTTTTTATCTATTATCCTGAGACATATACTTAATATTTAATTAATCGATCGATGAGATAATTTGAAGTTTATATAACAATCTTTAAAAATGCATAATTGCAAAGATCTAAGTAGCCAATCTGTTTGCAAGATAAAAAACGTAAATTGCGAGATAATATCAAAGAAAAAATCGTGCGATATAAATTGACAGATTCATCATCATTTGAAGTCATCTGTGTCTGTTTGAATTTCAAATGAGTGAAATTTAATTTTTACAATGTTGTACAGTTTTTTTCTCGAAACTAATAAATGCCAAGCCTTTAAACATTAAGATATAAAAACTTTTTTATTTTTAAGACAGTATTAACAAAATAAATAAAAACACCTTGTAAAAAATATTTGATTAACGTTTGATTATATACACGAATATTTCACGCAAAATTCGCAGTCAGGTTTGGAAATTTGAAGAAAATAAAGTTAACTTCGATGAATTTGTACTGTAGAAAATCGATTAATTGTCTTTTATATTTTACTTGGTTTAAGTTTCTTTGGTTATAGTAATTTTGGCAGTTTCAGATTTGGTTTTCAATACGATATTTATTAATTTACACAAATACATATTAGGAAACAAATGTCGGCTAATAACTTTTCACTATTTGATCGATATCTGAAAAATTAATGTTTCTAAAGTCTAGACTAGCAAGTAAACAATGAACCATTTAATCGATATAGGTTGTTCTTGCATCTTTATTAATAATAATTTGAGACAAATTTTAGTATTTTATGACAAAGACGTTGTCCATTTTTTGAAGTGCCATTGAAAAGTTCTTTTAATAAAATTACGATTAGATATCACTCATTGAGATATAGAGGTCACTTTCATGATATGCATAATTCATTTCATAATTTTTGAGAGTAATATTCAGTGACATCTCGCGCACGATGGTGGACAAAAAAATCGCATGTTTTACTAACATCTGTTCTAAAATAAAAATTTAAATACTATCGCATTTGAAAAATATCTTGAAAGAGCGATTAATATTCCTAAAGGAAGTTTTAGGTTTCCGAGAAAGTAATTGATTTCTGGCATCTTAAACAAAACACATTTTTATAAATTATTCGTATAAGCGTTATTTTAGTTTTAGCATAAGCTGACAAGACAAGTATAAGTTTTCCTACAAAAACTTTATAAATTGTATTTTTTAACTCTGTATAGATAAAATGTACGTGAAAAATATTTTCAATCGTTACGCCTGAAATTATGCAATTACTCTCGTGTTTTAAAGCTGAGTTCCGAAGCTTAAATTTAAACAGAACGGAGAGTTTTAAAATGCCAAAAACGCATTCAGCAATAATTCTTATAACGCGATGAAAATATTTTAATTAAATTATTTGTTTTGTATTCTATTTTGATTCATGTTATAGCCATGATTGATCCTGTCATGGGTTTCATTCTTCAGTTGTTTTTTTAGGCCTCTTTATTATACTTTTCGTTAAAAATCAAAACCATACTCCGAAAATAAAAGGGTTATAATGGATATTTATCGTATTATAGTCGGTATAAAAGTTTCAGAATCAATCATCTATTTCTAATTCATAAATACGCCTTTGTTCGAAGATGCAGTGAAGTTTCAATCGCTCTTACAACGATTTTTCATGGATTATCAAGTCGAGACGACGCCTCTCAGCGAAGCTTGAAATATTTACATTCGTAGTTTTATTGAAAAAATGAAATTATGCGTTGGAGATTGATCTGTTGGAGAAAAATCACAACATCCGCAGAGACTGATAAATTTAATGTAGCTGGAGTATCTTCTATTTTCGCTTTGAGTTCGGAAAATAGTTTGGTATCGACCGACTGGAGCCGTGATATCGAAAACGTCGAGAAAATGAAATCCATCGAGTTATAAAATCAAGTGGCAAAAAAAAAAGCAAGAAAACTGTTACGCAAGATCTTGCGAATAATTCATGAGCCGTGAAACTCGGAGCAAAAATACGTGTAGGTAAGTTACGATTCTTTGCTGTACGCGTAAATTTCATAAATATCCTACTGATCGACGTAAAATTTTTGAACGACGCACGATATCCGCATGAATTTTTATCATTTCGGGCGTGCCAACGTGAGAATCGTAAGTAAGTCGTATCGGTGACTGGTACATCGTTGGGTTGGCTCGTAAGTCCCCGCGAGCGTCGGTGGGCGCAGCTGCTGCACACAGACAAGACACAAGTGCCAGCCGTGTACGCGAGCGAATTCTGCAAAGTGCGACATTAATGACAACAAAGTGCAGACGACGCCTCGAATATGTAGCTTTATTCGCCCGCGAGCCGCGAGGTTATGTTTTTGCGCACATCCCGACGTGCGAAATGTGCCATTGAGTCGTGTGCTCTCCTCTCGCATGTATAAAGCACAAAGTCGTAATTCGCGTTTGCTGCGGACCGAGTCTCGCGAAGTGGGGGATAAACGTGGCTCTCCGATTCTTGAATCGATCCGCACATGCGAATGTTCTGCTGACTGCTGTCGCGAACCGTAGTGATGATAATGTGACTTATTATTCATCAGGTACACACTCATACCTTGTGTTTATACTGGCGGAAAAACAGCATGTTTTACCGATGTGGTATTTGGTATGCGTTTTACATCTCTACTTTTGTTCGCTGGTTTTTTCATTTATAATTCTTGCTTCAACTTTTGATCGATTGCATTTAGATATCGAATATTGAATCTCGTCTTCAAACTAGTAAATTTTAGTTTTCAATGATAATTCATTGAAATGAATAAGACTTTATGCCTATACAACTTTTCTTCAGTGAAAGTAATTTTTGTCCAATTGCGTGATATCATATTTGGTCGAAAATGATACCACAAATGTTTTTTTAATTGATTCTTAAAATCTATGTGTTGACATTTCAAATTAATTCATCATATATGATTTTAATTTTATAAATTAATCGAAGTAAATGTTATAATTATTTATTTGCATTTAAAAAACCTTTCCACTTGATTAAAACAATTTTTTCAACTTGTATGCATCTGAATTCTTGAGTAAAAAGTTATGTTTTTCATTTTAAAACAGGTAACGTGGGTAATTTTTAGAACCAACTGTGATGGAAATAATGCTGTCAGCAAACAATAAGTCATACATTATTATCAGGCAGCAAAAACAGATACTCTCAACTGAAAGATAAAGTGTACATTCAGTTTTACTACAACTTCTGTAGAATAAAGGTAACTTTGAAGTCAGTTCTATTATATAATTTATTTAGTACAAAATTTTATTTAAATAATTTCAAATTGCATTCGAAACTTAATATTGTAAAACAGAATCATTTTCAAATTTTCATTTGGAACTCTACATCAAATGTTAAAAATCAATATTGACTCTAAAGTGTAAACATTATTTATTTAATGTCTGTCTATTTCATGCATTTTAAATAATTTATCAATATATAATTTAAATTCACTGTTTATTTATTTTTTTTATCTTACATAAAAACTTCTGATTCTAGGATTTTTGAAAAATGGAGCATGCAAAAGAACCTCATTTTGATATAACTATTGATGAAAAGGACCTAATTTCGGGTGCTAAAAAAATCGTGAAGAATTTGAGACCTTCATGGCAAGATGATAAGCTATCTCACAAGGTAATATTTTTTATCTTTAAAATTTTTTTTGAAAAACCTAAAATTTGACACAACATAACATAATGATTTTTTTGATTCAGATGTTTACTAATGGAATATCAAATAAATTAATTGGAATTTGGCATGAGAATGATTATAATAAAATGGTGCTAGTCAGAATATATGGCCATAAGACAGATCTTCTTATTGATAGAAAAGAAGAAATAAAAAATATAAGGGTATACTTATTTTATAATCATAATTATAAAAATCTTGAATATATGTTTAATATACATTTTTATTTCAGATGCTGCACAAAGCTGGATTCACACATTCCATTTATGCTACTTTTAATAATGGAATAGCTTATGAATTCATTGAAGGTAATACTTTAACAGTCGATACTATAAGAGATTTAGATATTTGTAAATTGGTAGCTGTGAGGTTGGCAGAAATGCATTTACTGAAACCAAAAAAGTGTAAATTAGGTGAAGATAAATCTATAATTTGGGAAAAAACAGAAAAATTTATGTCTATTATGCCTAAAAATTTTGCTGATCCTACAAAACAAAAGAAGTATGTTATTTTTAATAAATTTTCTATAAAATTACAATGCAAAAAAGTACAGGTATGATGTTTCTTTCAGATTTGAAAAATTGATAAAACCACATTCTATTCTGATGCAGGAGTACCAAACTTTAAAGGATGGACTTTCTCAATTGAATTCACCTGTAGTATTTTGTCACAATGATTTATTACTAACAAATATATTACACAATGAAAAAGAAAATAAAGTGACATTTATTGATTTTGAATATGCTGCTTACAATTTTCAAGCTTTTGATATAGCTAATCATTTTGCTGAATTTGCTGGTAATATTTAATTTACAATCAACACATTTAAATTTTTTGAAAAAAATATTTCATGATATTTGAAAAAACAGGTGTAGATGAACCAAATTATTCTTTGTATCCTGATGAAGAATTACAGAAAATTTGGTTGAGATTTTACTTGGAAAGGTTTAGAAGCAATACTCATATACCAGAAGAAGATGTGGCTATTCTTTATGAACAAGTTAATAATTTTGTGTTGTTAACACATTTTTTTTGGGGTTGTTGGGCACTTATTCAAAGTCAATATTCTCTCATTGATTTTGACTTTTTAGAGTGAGTCACGATTTATTACTTGTTAAAATAGTAGTAGTAATTAGCATTTTTTAATAGTTGTGTTGATAATTTAATTTTTATTCATTTAATGTATTCTCTGTTGGAGAAAGATTAGTATAACTGAGCGCTAAAAAACCTTAAGATATAAATTAAATTTCTAAATGTAAAAATAAAACAAATCGTAATAGTGATAACGTATTTTATGACAATAAATAAGCATATTTTAATATATTTTTTAGGTATGCTGCGCTCCGATTCAACGAGTATTTTCGAATGAAGTATCTCAACCTTGAAAGTGAAGGAGGAATAATTAGGAACATTTGAGAAGTTGATACTCTAAAGATCCAGCAAATTTTATGCAATACGTCAGTAAATTGTAAACTTGTTTTTATGTGCAATATGTGCGCGGGCGTGCGACGTTACGAAAGAAATCGCTATTTTTTTATTGGTGTCTTTGTAAATAAATACGAAAGCGATGCTACCGATACTTTTATCTATTTTTAGTGACTACGTAACGTTTATAAGATCCTAGACGGTACTCAAATTGATATTTAAAAGTTATATTACCATATTGATAAATCACAACTGGAGCTGTGAATCCCATATTTTGAAAAGATGATGAAGTCTTATTTTTCTAAGACTATATTTATATTATTATATATTTTTTTTACTAATTGAGATTAATTTTATTGTTTCTTTTTTTTTTTGTTTAAAAACACACTTAATGAAACTAATGATATTAAATAACGAATTTATCAAAACGTAGAATGTTGATAACCTTTTGAATTATTAAATCAAATTGTAATGAAAATGTGATATAGTGAGCGGTAAGAGAGCACATTTTGCATCTAGTTCAATCTATTTTCTCAATTTTAAACCAGTTACTTAATTTATGTCGACTAGATGTTGATTTACGTACTTCAATTCGAGATCTCGCTATTGTGACCTTGAAATTACAATAAAAAATGTTGACCATTTAAATAGTTAATTATGTATTTTTCTTCAAGTCAAAACCATACGCAAGATCATAGCATTTCAAACATCCATTTGTCTTGAAATATACTCCATTAGCTTACGTTTCTATTTACATCACGATGATTAATGTAGTTAGTTAATTTTCTCTTTTTATTATGATAACGGAGTTGAAGAAAAAAACGAATGAAAATTTGACTAGGATAAAAATTGTCTTAAATTTGTTTAAAAAGAGATGAGTTTTTTTTCACATACTGAGCTTGGCGCACGCAGCCTTGATGTTCGCTGCCGAGGCAGTGCCCAGACGCGCACCGGTAAGAGGTAAAAGCTTGTTTCGCGCGCTGCTCCCATCGAAGTGCCGTACATATATTTTCCTTACATTGTAATGCTGTAATCACGGAGAAGCTTGATTAGAACGTTATGCTCTCGGCCGTCTGGTCTCACGCTTTGCTTCTCTCCCGCATGGGCGCATGCAAATTACGCCTCCAACGACGGCAACACACGAGCGTATATTCACGTGTTTTTGTCATCGAAAATAAATGCTCGGGTATTAGATCCGTTCTCGGTGTATAAAAAAAAAGCAGAAAAAAAATAGCGAGCAAAGAGGGACGTTTGGATGAAAAATATCGCTGGTTCGTGACGCGATTCATCCGCATCGCATTGATTCGATCGTTTCTTTTCCACGCTCGAGCATATATTGTATTCCACGCACTCGCTCAACAATACGTAAAAAAGAAAGTAAATAAGAAAAAGATAGAGCTGTACAGAGCTACGAATGTGTTGCTCTGACGTGCGCGCACACAAGCTGCACTTGTTTCGCAGGTAAATAAGAAAGTTACGAGAAAGATGATTACGGTAATTGGATTTGGTATACACCGGCTCGAGCACATGGGTGTATATTTTCGCCGTCGAGAAGATTCAAGGCCCGTTTCTCGCGTCGTTTATCCGCAGCAACTTGTGATTTTTGCTCATAGAAACAATAATATAAATCCTCGAGCGGTACTAATCGCTTATTAAATTCAAAGTAGACGTATTACCGCCAGCGAAAGAAGAAGAAGCAGAGAAGGAAAAATTAATTGTACGCGTGGGCGCGAGACAATGAGCAGTTAAAAATACGCGCGGTGGCTCGAGCTTCGGGGAAAACGTCGTTCCGTAAGAGGAGAAAAGCTCGCGCTCCACTAATTTTCTAGCTCGGCCGCTCGAATAAGCTGGCTAAGCTGTTATAAATTGCTTACATGCTTATACTTTTCACCCAAATGGCTCGTCGCACATGTGTGTATGTATGTGACATGCTCTCTCGTACAAATGTCTTATCGTTATCGAGAAGTTATGTATGGCAATTAGTTCTTCGCTTTGGTAAATGCGACGAGAGAAATAACGTTATACTCGCGACTTTGGTTAATTTTGTATTGCGTATGCCGAAGCGAAGATTTTAAATTATTCACTGATTGATATGATATTTGGTTGTGATGTAGCAACCTAATTTTACGTAAAGCGCACGGACAATTAGAAGCTCTGCTCATAAAGGGATAGACTTGAGAATACAGCTCGGATACAGTTTGTTTATTATTACGGTTGAATTAGATTGCCTATCGCAAACTTAAAATATGCACTCTTGTGACAGTCTTTTGGTTGGGAAAAAATTCAACATGGACAGATTTTCAAATGTAAAAATCAAAAAGTAAGAGAAAACTAAAGAAAGCGTCGGCGATTGGAATACTCCAGCTTAATTTCACTAATCTATACAGGGGCCGATTTTGTAAGCTCTAATACGAGAAAAGTCATGACTTTTAGACTCGTAGACTTTTCAATATAAGCAATCACATATCTGTTGCTATTATATGAACTCAATATAGTACAGCAAATATCTCGTATTAGTTGACAAAGTGCGACTGTTTGATCACGAGAGAAAAATAAATATCAACACCGATCAGGGCAAAAAATTTTCGCTATACATTGAACCGTATCGCTCGAGAGCATCTCAGGTGTAACGGGCGAATCTTTTATCGACGCCTGTGCCAGGATCGAGCATACAGAGACGTGTCTCGCCTATGTGTCTCCCGACGATCCATCGTTGGATTTTTCAATTTAATGCTTGACTCTCATATAGGACTCGGGCCGAACGAGCTTATTAACGGTTCATCGAACTGCGATAAGCTTTGCAAGGTGCGAGTTTCGAGTGCAGATAAGCGAGCCATTACTGGTTAACCGATTAGTCGCGAGTGCTCACCTCTTCAATTATTTTGTTTTCCCCGTCGTTTACCACTTTTGTTTCCTTTTATTTTTCATCGTATAATGCAGAGTATGATTTTTGTTTATTATACTCGCGAGTCGCGAATACAACGTATCATCTTCAAATTATTGCAGAACCAATATTGACGGTTAAAATATATATGGATACGGCAGCGAACTTTGTGGCCGTTGCTCCTGCTGCGAATGTCAAGAACGCAGAGGACGCGCAATGACGCTCCGAAGACGAGTTCGACACACGATATAGCAAACTGCCGGTCGATATAAGCTCGTCGACTCGCCGGCCTGCTTATACCTATATTACGTTACTCGCGACTTATGAATATTGGCTCTCGAGTTTTATATATTTTATAAGGTTGCAAGTATGCGCGCGCGTGGCACACGCACTTGATTTTCTCGTGCAGCTGAGCTGCTCTGCAGCAGCAGCAGCAGCAGCAGTACAAGGTATACGCAGTAGCGGTGCAAGTGGGCCGTTATCATAGCAACTCTACAAGTCGTACCTATACCTCAGTGCGCTTAGCATAGCCACTTGCTTCGGCTCGCCTGTACATGTATATATAGCTACGCGGACATGTGCAGCAGCTGCACTTTACGTAATGACGTAATGTTCCGGAGCTCTGCCGCGGTACTTTATATGCGCGCGAGTTATGTACCTTTTAGGAATTATTATACCTATAATCGAGTGCGTTTATGTCTTGCACGGGGGGGGGGGGGCGGCTCGTGCTGCACTTCTCTTGCCGATGCTGCGATGAACGAATGGCAAAACGTTGACAAATCGGCCCCGGCTTAATTGTGTATACGGAGGAAGATGATTTGCCAGGTGGCCGCAAAGTTCATGCTCCTAAACAAGTCTCTAAACATTTCTTGTTCACATCTTAAAAGGGCGAATCCATCGAATTTAGTAAGCAATACGTATTTTTTAGTTTTGTGCGCTTATTCGGACTCCATAATGTTTGTGCCGTGCGCGACAATGCACGCGCGAGCAGAGATCCAAGTAGACCGACTGCACTGGCTGCGCGATATGTACCGTACGCGTTATTATATACTATAATGGTCTTTCTCTCTCTCTCTCTGTATACACGTAAGCGCGCCTAAGATAATGCACCGCAGCAGCACACATGCACATATGCTCGTGTAACGTCTGTTGGGACTCGTGCCGCTGCCACCGCCACCGCTGCTGTTACTTGCGCGACTAACTTGACTCACGCGCGCGATCGTGTGTGCAATCCGTTCCGTGTATACGTGCTGCTGCTGCTGTTGTTGTTGTTGTTGTGTGTCAGCAACACAATGCACAAGCAGTAGCTCTATAGCAGTCGCGCACGCACTTGTCAACGTCGAGCCGTCGTCGTGTTGTTGTTATTGTTATTGTTATTGTTGTCAATTACCGCGCCACAGTCATTTTAAACGCTGGCCCAGAGCACATCGTAATAAAGTGCGATATTACAAGAATCGAGCGAATTTACATCGATGCATGCGTATAATACATCATCGGCACAGAGGGATCGTGCCGCCGCCGCCGAGGTGTTTGCTACAAGGAAGTGAGCTGTGTTGCAGCCCGCAGCAGCACGAGAGCGCACAGTGTGTTCTGCAAAGTGCGAATTCACTGCTTTGCACGACACACACCGATATCGCGGGAGCAAAAGAGAAAGAGCGAGAGAAAGAGAGAGAGACAAGGACGGATTGTGGCAGACTGCCTACTATATAGCAACCTATAGGCGATGTATAGCGGCCCGCCGCAACGCACACACACACACTCCGATCTGCTCCGACTGCTCTGCTCCGCTGGTAGTCCGCGCGCGAGCGAGAGATTCTCGCACGACTTGCGTGTGCGTATAGAGCTCGATCCGACCGACGACTCGACTTTGTATTTGGAGCTTAGAGACTCGCTGCCTGCTGCTGCTGCTGCTGCTGCTACTGCTTCGACGACTGTTGTACATGCTGATACGTCAGTGTGTGCGTGTTGTGTGTGAGTTGCTGCTGCTGCTGCTGCGTGCAGAGCGGCTGAGCACAGGCTGGCCGAAGCAGCACAGTGTCGAGCTGAGCCGAGCTGCTCTGCGCGTTATGTGTATATGTTTACGTGCGTGTGCTGCGCCGTCGTAAGTGAGTTTTTGCAGTGTCAGTGTGTGTTGTGTCGACTGTCGTCGTCGTCGTCGTCGTCGTTGACGATCTACTACTAGCTGCTCGTTTGTGCTTGTGCGTGATCTCCTAATTGTGCTGGTGGTGCGTGCTCCTCTTTTTATATACCTACAATACACCTATATAGCACCCACCTCTATATGTATGCACTGTGTGTATGTATTACGAGTTACATGCTGTATACCTATATATCGGCCACAGCAAATATTCACACAGGCGCAGGAAGCTACCTAACTAACTAAGCAGAGGAGCCAGCCTATGCTGCTCCGGCACGACCGAGAGCAGTGCCAGCGACCTTTTAATCTCGCCATTTTGGAGGTGAGGACAATTTCGCTATTTATCGCGAGCTCTCTCTCTCTCTCTCTCGTTTATCGAAACTAACTCGAGTCGCGACCACGATACAACACCCTGGATCCGTTTAGCGCGGGGACTCGCCCCACAGGGGAGCCTCGTGAGGGGCCGCTCCTCTCTCGTCTCCGATAACTCGACCGACTCTGCATACGACGCACGGCATAATACCATGTCCGCGCCTCCGTACTCCCAATGTTACTTGGAAATCGTCATCGTTGCTCGAGAGCTAGCCTCTGCCGCACCGTTGCTGCTGCTTTTGCTGTTTCTCCGCGAGTTAGCAAACCTTTCCTCTCTCTATCTATCTCTCTCTCTCTCTCACTCACTCACTCACTCACTCACTCACTCACTCTCTGAATAGTTGTGTATGCTAGAGGAGTTATATAGAGTCTCTCTCTCTCTCTCTCTCTCTCTCTCGCTCTCAAGTCGCGCCCGTCTTGTGTGTTAATATGTAATTTCTCTCTCTCTCTCTCTCTCTCTCTCTCTCTCGCTTTACATTACTCTTCGGAGAAGATTTAGCTCAAACCTCGGCAGGTTGTTTTGATAGGTATTTTTTTACTCGTTGCCCGCTGCTGCATTGCAGCTCCAATATATAGTTCGTATTACGATGCGAGACCCACTCGACCCCCTTCGACTCTTTTTATTATGTGTCTGTGTGTGTATATAATGTGTTGAAAACGTTTGTTGTGCTTTTGCAATGATTACAGGTTTTTCTCGCGCTCTATCTGTATCTCGCTCTCACTGTGTCTATCTTCGGTGTGCGATATGTGCGTTGACGAGCGGTCAGTTATTCGCACGTAGCTGGGAATGCGAGTGCCCGAGTTAGCATCATCTGGAGCTTTTGCCGCTGCTGCTACTGTCCGAAGCCCCGCGAATCGGGCTTCAAGAATCTCTCATTATCTCTGCAGGAGAAACGACTTCCAGGTTGGAATGGAGCAAAACCTGCTGCTACTGCAACATTGATCTCTAAATGCTTTGTGAGTCTTTTTCTCTTTAAATTATGTTCCACCTGCTCCACAAACGGTTGTGAAATTCGCCTATGTGCTAGTTTTAAAATAATCCACTCATCCAGTGGCTACACAATTTTGGCATTTTATCATTTAAAAACAAATTTCACATGAAACATTTATAAATTTTATGCCTTTACACTTTACTATAAATATCAAAATCAATAACAAATTTTTTTCTCATTCATTCATAAGAACCAAAAAAATGATTTTAATGCATTTTATCAGTGGATAAGTCTCTTGTTAAAAACATTTATTTTCAAAAAGAAATGATGTAATATAAAATAGTGAAAAAGGTATGCATTATTTTTATGCCCATATTAGTACAACCAAGATATTTATTGTTGAATTAGATTTATTCTTAATTTAAATTTTAAATTTGAGTAATACTATATCATTTTTTTTCTATGTAAATAGGCCAGGCGAGCTACAGTCAGGCTGATGGATTGACAGAGGACGGTAACAAGCTGGCACAGGTTTGGGTAGAGGATCATCCAAAGCAAGGGGGTAGTAGCTCATCGTCATCGCCATTAGCTCACGGAGGTGGAAGTAGACGTGATTCAAAACTGGAAGTCAAAGGTGGCAACGGGGAGGCTGCCTCCTCGGGAGCTTGCGGTGGTGGCGGAGGGGCCTACCGCAAATCCTCTGCTGGTGGAGGAGGTGGTGGAGGAGGAGGTGGTGGCGGTGGAGTTGGAGCTGGAGGCAATAGCAATCGCCATAGTCAGATCATGCCTGCCGGTACACCTAGGCCAGGTAGTCTCAAAGATCCAGAAATAGCAGACTTATTTGAAAAGAATGATCCTGAAAAGATATTTGAGGACCTACGAGAAATTGGTCATGGTAGTTTTGGTGCTGTGTACTATGCAAGATGTACTGTTACAAAAGAAATTGTTGCCATCAAGAAGATGTCTTATTTGGGAAAACAAACTTATGAAAAATGGCAAGATATTTTGAAAGAAATTCGATTTTTAAGGCAGCTCAAACATCCTAATACCATTGAATACAAAGGATGTTATCTCAGGGATCATACAGCATGGGTAAGACTTAATTTTATTATATTGATAAAAAATGAATTAAAATTCCCTATATCTAAATATTTAGATTATCAAATAAACAGTTGCAGTAAATTTCAATTAAATATTTTTAGTACTATTGTTAAAATATGAAACAAGTTTGTGAGATGTTTGTGACAGTTGAAGCATATATTTTACTGTAACTCAAAATTCTCTCAAAACTAGACGATTCCTTTTAAACAAAAGTGATGAATTTTGAAATTTAATAATCAAATATATAAATCTATATTCATTTAAAATATTGTGTACATAAGTACAAGTAACAATGATACATAGAAATAAAATAACAACCCAATTTCACGGATGATTGCAGCTGGTGATGGAGTACTGTCTCGGTTCGGCCTCGGATATAATCGAGGTGCACAAGAGGCCACTCAAGGAAGAAGAAATCGCGGCGATCTGCGAGGGAGTGCTACGAGGTTTAAACTATTTGCACAGCTTGGGAAAGATTCATCGCGACGTCAAAGCCGGGAACATTTTACTGACTGACAATGGCACCGTCAAACTGGCTGATTTTGGTTCTGCCAGCATCAAGTGTCCTGCCAATAGTTTTGTAGGTACTCCTTACTGGATGGCTCCTGAAGTCATATTAGCCATGGATGAAGGACAATATGATGGCAAGGTCGACGTCTGGTCCCTCGGTATAACGTGCATTGAATTAGGTGAGTCACTAATGTTGACAAAGTCGTTTTTATCATTTCGGCTAGATTAATTGATCGATAATTGATCTACGTGGTACATTTATTAGTAAAATTCAAAATTTACGAAATTCTTACAACTCGAGTTACAACTCTCAATGCCGCAATAAAATCATCTCTCAAGTTTATCGTAATTTGCAAAGATGAAAAATGCTAAATCTACGTAAAACCACAGAACTAAACTGTATGTATTTGATGATATAGCTTATCGCTCATTCAACTGATGCGCGCGAGCTCGTGCGTACGTTTTGTGCAATAACAAACAATTTTTTTTACCCTTTTCGCGTTCGAGCTTTTTTTCTCATCGGCAATTATTTGTTTCAATTTAGTTTGGGTTTTTAAATCATTTCTGAGTAATAAAATGTCAATTGGCTCACATTTGAGTTTGATTATGTATTTTTTTATGTGATCAACAGCGGAGCGAAAGCCACCGTATTTCAATATGAATGCGATGAGTGCTCTCTATCATATAGCCCAAAACGAACGACCAACGTTACACTCGTCAGAGTGGACGGACGGTTTCCGTCATTTCGTCGAAGTTTGCTTGACCAAAAGCCCCAACGAAAGGCCGACTTCCGGGAAATTGTTATCGGTGAGTCTGTATTTTATTATAAGAGTATATGCTCATACACATGATTTCATTTGACAATTACTTTACTACTATACTACGATACAAAACAATTTATTATCTTTTATCAAGACGTCTTTTCATACTTTATAATGAAACGTGAAAGCTTGATTTTTCTTTCGCCTTTAAAATGCTCTCAGGTGGATTTAGGCCTGAGAAATAATTCCGTTTACAATTCTTTTAAAATATTTCCTTGCTTGATAATGGAATTTCATTTTTGGAAAAACTCACCACTTCAACTTATAATCTACTTATAGAACAATAACAACTCCATTTGAAAATTGACAATTAAACTGAAATTTTCAGCAACATACATTCATCACGAGATCTCGCTCATCAAACGTCCTCGTAGACCTGATCAATCGAACAAAAGCTGCGGTGCGCGAACTAGACAATTTAAATTATCGTAAAATGAAAAAAATATTGATGATCGATACTTGCGAGACGGAAAGTCAGATTGGCGATGCTGATGGTAAGTGGGCTACTATTTCTTTAATCCTGTGGACGTTGATTTCTTTTTAAATCCCATATCACCTGGTTTGAGCTTTCTCAAACCGTTAAAAACTTTCCCTGAATTCCAATTTCGCGCTAGCGAATTTAAGTAAAGGTGTTGGCTATTCAACTGTACGCGATTATTGTGTACCGTTGTACTTTTTGCTCCATTTATCTCTTCCCGAGTAACCCTTAACCCTCGATCTTTTGTTTAACTGTTAACAATTGTATTGTGCTATGTGTTGGTGTTGTTACTCTCGGCTTTGACGAAAAACTAGACACTCCCGACGAACAAACAGGTGGCGACAGCAGCAAGAGCAACAGCATCACCTCGGAGCACTCGATCCACTCGATGGGCGTATCGGCCTCGTCGCAGAGCTCATCGACCAACAGCTTGCCGCTGCATAACGCCGACTCCAATGACGGCTACGGTGGCTCGTTGCGCAATCAGCGCAGCCACGCCGGAAACAAAATGCCAACCTCGACGGGCATGACGGCCAACCTGATCGAGCACGGGGCTAATAATTTTGCGACTATCAGGACAACGTCGATCGTTACGAAGCAGCAGAAGGAGCACATGCAGGAGGAAATGCACGAGCAGATGAGTGGTTACAAGAGGATGCGACGAGAACAACACGGCGCACTGGTGAGATATTGATGATTTTAGAACATTAACTTTTTTGCCTGCATAATTCGAGGCACGACCGCTTTCACGGCTCGCCTCCATATCGGTATTCAATGCTTATCGGAAATTCCTATTCATTCCTTTCTATGAATTTTCGCTAAAATTCTTTAATTAATATCGCGAAGTTTGGAGAATAAATTTGCATTGTGCTTACTCATACTATACTATTAGTCATCTTTACTTTAGAATTGAGTCACAACTTGGGATAGCTAAATTGAATTATTTATTATGGCATACTTTTAGTCATAATATATAATACATATATCTATATTTATATTTAATGTTATACAAGTATACGTGCTTGCACATAAATTAAAAATTCTGCTATGCTCAATGATATCAAAGTAGCAGGTATTAGTACTTGCCACAAGTTCATATGTAGCTAAATATTTTTCTTTTTACATCTAGGTCAAACTAGAAGAGCGTTGCAAGGCTGAGGTCGATTCGCATAAACAGCTTCTCGAAAAGGAATACGAAAATCTAATGCAACAGTTTAGCAAGGAGTTGGAAAAATTGCAAGCCAGACATCACCAAGAACTCGATCGAAAGCTGAAGCAAAATCAAAATGCTGAGAAGAAATTGCATAAAGAGATAACAAGTAGGCAAGAGGCCGACCGGAAAGCCCTTGAAACTCAACAGAAAAAGGAATACAAGGTAAACTGTTGTTTGCTGCTATTCACTGATTTCAAAATCCTGGGATTGAAAACCTTTCGCTTGCAATATTTCACTGTTGTACTAAAAATATATCATTCTGAATTAGGCTTACAAAGAAAGGTGGAAGAAAGAGTTATCCCAAGACGAGATGACTCCCAAACGACTGCGCGATGCTACTCTTCAGAGTCACAAAGATAATTTGAAGCAGAGTGAAGCTCAAGAGGAGCAACGACTTCAACGTGGTCAAAGGGAGTACCTCGATCTTGAGATACGCAAGTTCCGTCGGAAAAAACTACTCTCCTATCACGCTCTGGAGCAAGAGCTTCTTCGAGAAGTAAGTTAGAAGAAAACTTTGAGAGAATATTTTTTAATTACAATAATCTCAACGGATGGAAATGCTTGATTTTTTAGGAGTTGAATAAAAGGCAACAACAGTTGGAGCAAGCACACGCGATGCTTCTGCGGCATCACGAAAAAACCCAAGAGTTAGAGTACAGGCAACAGAGAGCTGTTCACGCTCTGCGAGAAGAACAAATCCATTGGCAACACTCTACCGAACTCAGTAATCAGCGCGATTATATGCAGCGCGCTGAACGTGATCTGCGTAAGAAGCATGCGCTTGAACTCAAACAACAACCGAAAAGCCTTAAGGTAAGCAAAATCAATATTACTGATGCATTTCATAACTGCGATCCTGTATGAGAGACATACTCCTACAAGTTTATGTACTGTAGTCTGCGTGAACAGAAATGCGTAATAATTTTAAATACGTTTTATTTATTGCAGCAAAAAGAGATGCAGATAAGAAAGCAGTTCCGCGAAACTTGTAAGATACAAACGCGCCAGTATAAAGCCTTAAAAGCTCAAATTTTACAAACAACGCCGAAGGATGAACAAAAGGCTGTTATTAAAAAATTGAAGGAAGAACAAAGGCGAAAGCTTGCCCTTTTAGGAGAGCAGTATGAGCAAAGTATTTCTGAAATGTTACAAAAACAAAGTATTCGTCTGGATGAATCGCAAGAGATCGAATGCCAGATTCTCAAGGTAATAAAATATAAATCATTATAAATTTACGTGTTCCATCATTTTGATGTAAAATTTATGGATTTCTTACTGTTATGATTTATGATTTACAGCAACGACTAAATCGCGAGCTTGAAATTTTAATGGCTTATCAGTCGAAGAACAAGATGCATGCTGAATCTCAGCGAGACCGAGAGCGTCGTGAACTCGAAGAGCGAGTTTTAGTTAGACGAGCACTTTTAGAGAAAAAGCTGGAGGACGAGACGCAAAAAATTCTAGATGAACGTAGCGAACGAATACGATTGCTTCATGAAAAACATGAGCGCGAACTTCAACAATTTGACGAAGAAAGTGCAAGAAGCGGCCTCAGGTAATAATTCAATGGTTTTTTAATTTTCCATAAAATTTAAGAAAAGAAATAATGTTCAATTTATTGCTTGCTTTTTTCAGTGCATTAGCAATAGCAGAAGCTTCAAAGGAATCTTATCCGGATGACGAAAGCCTCAGCGGTTCAATGTTGAGCTTGGTACACAGTAATAGCTCTACATCATTTCCCCCTAATAGTCTTTAATCTTAATCACGTTAAAACACAGAATGTAACGATCCGCCTGTAATACCTTATAAGTAATGGGAAGTTCGTTTAACTTCTAGAACAAATGATAGTGAAAAATAATCAGACCAGGCAGGAGTCGACACACTCGAATAGACTCGGGTATGCGTATTGGATCAAACCGTAAACGATCACACTTCCGTACATATTATATAAATATATAAATATACTTTTTATCGTTAATTTTTTTAAACTAATCAATTCCAAATAATATTATGAGCGCGTGATTTATTCAACGGTCAAGTTTAGTTTTCATCATTTCTTACTATCTCTCTTGCGGCTTAATTTTCTCAAATTCTTTTAATGTTATTTAAGTATGTAAGGTTAATTAATTGTCTTGTATAAAATTCGATACTCATCATTAGTCCGTGTAGATATTTTCCTCTTCCAATTGTGGCAAGAGATTTTTTCATTAATGTTTGTTTGTGCTGGGACGAATTTTCACAAAGTGACATCCTATCATACATTGTAATTGTCTTTTACAATATTTATTTTATCTTCAACTTCGATTTTCACATAGTACGATATTGCTTTTTGAAAATTCGAAAGCATGCATTTGAAAAAATTAGTTTATCAATAAAATGCATAAATTTTGTAAGAATCGTTTTGGTGAGAATGATACGTTATGTTTCAAAATGATTCTTGTTCAACTCAAACTTCTGTTTGGTTTGAATTGTTCAAGTTACGTGTACATGTATAGGTTATTGATTGTATAGTAAACTTCAAAATTTTTTTATTTGAAAAAGAGACCTTTTTATTATAAAACATGTTCAGAGGAAGTGGATCCGTGCATAGTTTTTTGTTTATTATAATTGATTTTTCTCATCGTGTTCTATAGATAGCAATGACCATCTTTGTAAATACTTTGGCCATTGAATGTTTAGCTATTAGAAATTTGTCTTGTATTTATTCATGATGCAAGTAAGTGTATCACTCATTATGTTATTTATCATCGTGCAAAACATAAAGCATATTATAAGAATATACAAACCAGTTTTTTAAAATTTTTAAAAATTAAGCATGCACAGGTATATACATAAATAAATATATTATCATCACATCAAAACTAAAGATGATTGACATTACATCTATCTTAATTTTAAAAGAGTGTGCTGAGTTATTCGATCATATAAATTATTAAAACTCTCAATAATTTTTTAAGACTCGAAAAAAATTCATTATTAATGATTCAATATTCATACAGAATCAATTTTTCCATGTAATGTCGTAATTATTGATAGGATTTTTGAACAAATTTTCATATATATTGACACTTTTTTCATTTTTATAACATACCTCATAATGCAGTCTTCCAATTTTGGACTAAATCTTTTTGTATTCAACACACTCAACAATATGATTTCAAATAATAAAAAAAATTCCAACGGTAGCTTGAAAAAATAATTTTCAACTGATAACATTTATAAGAATATTGGGAAATTTTATGTAACAAACATATACACACTTCCTCGATTGTACATAATTATATACATTTTCATTCAATCAGCTATATGCGAGAGTTTAAATAAACGTAATTTTAATGCGTATAATTATACGTAGGATTTGCATTTTTGCACGCAACATATTACAAAGAAAATTTGAAATAAAGTATCTACATTATGAGAAAAATTAAACATCTACGTGAATAATCACTGTCCAGCAACTCAATGAGTGAACTTGCGTTTCAATCCAGTACACATACCAACCTTAGATTATATTATAAGTACCATTAACAAGATGAAAGAAAATTGAAAAAACCGCAAAGCACTTTTTACTATAAACTTTTCATGAAAACGTAAGCAAAATAAAGGGTTTTTTAGCATTAACGATGTTTCTTCAAAATAAAAGAAGAAAATCTTTTTATACGCAAATTATTACAAAAAATTATATTAAAGACATACAAAATGGATTTACCGTATGTTAATTTTAAAATTAAATCGAATTAAAAGAAAAATTAAAATTATGGTTGCTGTGCGTAAAAAGTGAGAAGCGATAGGTGATTGTGACAATTTTACACCTATGAATATAATATAGACGTACGTAGAATCGATAAGATTATTAATTGTTTTAGTTAAAATCGTAATACAATAATATTAACTTTCGTGGTAGTATTGTTAAGAAAAAAATTAAATTGAGAGTTTCAGGATTACAAAATCAAGCTGAACTAACATGGGAGTCTTCTAGAATGATTGTGCAACGTGTTTATGATAAGACCATTTGTTTTTTTTTTGCATCTTTTTTGTCTGTATTATAGTGCCAATGTCTTGGGGATATAACATATTGAGTTCGAAAATTGATTGAGACAACATCGTGCTTAGTGAGTTGTGAATAATAATTATCATTATTATATAATGAAGCAATTTGGTATCCTTATAATGCGATGCCTGTTGAAAAAATTTAATTGCATTTAATTGAACTATAAAGTGATCTGTAAAGATAAAATAATTGATTGATGATTTGTTGATGTTGCTAAATAGTGTTATATTACTTCTTATCTGTCTAAATATGTAAGTGATGGATAAAGAAATAAAAGTTAAATTATATGAAAGTACGATGTCAGATTTAGAAAAGATTAAAAAATTGAATCAACTCATAAATAATGATAAACTAATTTGAAGTGAAAATATGCTTTCGATTATGTGTGCAATGAGTGACAACAGAGACATGATTTTGAAGAGAAGTTTTCAATATCTGTAGATAAAAAGAAAACAGCATGAAAATGTCACAATCAGCTGATCTTTATTGGATTCCTTTATCACTTAAACCTGCAAGTAGCATACGGCAATAGCAATTATCTGATGTGATAGTTACGAATATACACTCAGTGTAACAAGTTGGTTTAGAAAATCTATTCTACATAATTTTTTTTATTTGGATAATATTTTTTTTTGTTAAATGGTTCTTCGTAAAATCTAAATTACAGCGGAGAAAAATTTATTTAGTCAATAATTATTATTGTAATGGTAAATATGAACAACTTATTTGGTAATAAAAGTTATAAAATATTGTAAATCAAAAGCTTTTAATATCTTTCATATAGCTTTCATATCATTTGCAATGTTATATACAATTTTAAGTGTACAAATATGAATATTTTTTATAATTTTAGTTTTTTTAGTTTATAGAGCGTACCGAAAGGGTTTGAGAAACATTTGAAAAAATAAAAAAAATAAAATTATTCATTACTAAATTACGTAGACAGTATGTGCAAAATTTTCACATGTAGTCTTCGTATATCAGACAATAGATCCTTCATACCAACATAAGTTGACATGATTATTTCTGACTATTATTTATTAAAAATCGAGTAATAGATCCGTTAGAAATAATTTTTGTGGTCTCCTTGCACCTAATCATGAAACTCTTTGTGCTTAATTTGATATTTATTCTATAAATTATTATACTCTATTTTAAAGCCGAAAGCGATAAGCACTTGTTCTGGGTCTTTCTTTTTTTGCTAGTCAGATCTTAATACGATTTTCTATACCCTGCATCCCGAAAAAAAATGTTTCAGATCACATATAAATTATCGCTTCACTCGTATCGCAAATATCAGGGCAGGAATCATAAATACTCATTTAAAAAATTACGATTTAAAATTCATGGATGGACTTCAACGCAACAATGTAAGCAAAGATAAATAGATACTCAACAATAAAACAATTAAATGAATAGGTAACTGTCGATAAACGTCTTACTTCTAGTATTCATAGCTACTTGCCGACTTGTTTCATAATTCAAAAATTTGCTTGGCCCAATTCTAACACAGCAAGATGTATTGGACCGTGTCGCTATTAGTTGTATTATTTTCCTAGTTTTGATTTAGTATCTATACCAAACAATGCAACTACTATTTTGGACAGAAACCACCAAAAGTTTTAATTTGTTAAAAAAAAATAATAATAATTTCTATGCTTCGCGAGACTTGAATTTTATTCGAAAATTGTGTGACTCAAACCTGATCAATAAGAAACGGTACGGGCTATTCGTACCATTTATCAAAAATACCACTGCTGGCATCGACGATTTTCTGTGATAGTTCGACACAAATATAAACTCGACGCACAAAATGTACATGAAGCCCATTTTCAGAGAAATTTTTATGTTTTGTTTAAATTCATTTACGATCTGCAAAAAAATTAAGTTATAAGGTATAAATTTTCTACTTCACAGTCCAATTCGGAATCGTACCAAAGATCCAGATATTCTGCAACTGATAATCGTAGCCAATATTCCAAGCAGCTGTTACAACTTACATTCGGGGAATGATTAAAAATTGAAAACATAATTTAATTTATATTTTCGTTGCTACATTTATTTCTAATTCATTTCTGTTTATTTGTTAAATAAATTATTTAAAAATATCAACCAATTTATATGTATATTAACTTAAATTTTAATCACAAGTGAAATATTAAATAATATCACGGATATGAAAAATAAAATGTAAAACACAAATGAAACCCACGACCTTTTTTATACATGTCCAGAAAGGTCAAATGAATGATTTGAAAAAGGCACCAGCAAGGGATACATTTTCTTAGCGTGTTTTTCAAGATCTGGTATCTCTAATTCTGATAATTGTTCCAGTTTGCTGTCTTCAATTCTTTGTAGTAGAGTAATTGAGTAATATTGTGATATTTTTTTCGTATAAAAAACAAAACTATTTTGAAAATTCAAATATATATTGAGAAAAGTGATTAAATAGAAAGATTATGTATGTCAAATTAATCCACAATCAAAAACAAAAAAACTAAAGCAAATTTTTTAAAATAATAAAGTTTTCAGGGCCAGAAAAACGTTAAAAAAGTTTCTAAAATGATTACAGTGGTACTTATACATACAGAGAAAAATGTACGATAAAATAAGTACTGTGTGTGTAATCAAAATTAATGTGATCGATGGAACAGTTGGACTATACTTGACTCATAATAAAATTTTCCCTGTTACATAGCAGTTTTAGTCCTATTAAAATTTAATACGTTTGTGTATTTAATTCGCTCGTGTACAATTAAAATTGTAAAAATTATATCACAGAATATGACAAATCTATATGAAAAATTCTGCATGAAAAATCATCTTTAGATGTTTTAGGCTATATTGATATTTGACACTTAGAGGCAAATTGTTTAGATATGGCCTAGCACTGTTGTTGGATAGCGATCAAAATTCAAGATTTGTAACCAATCATCGAACAATCGTTGACGAAAAATGGACTCCCAATAAGTTTGCCTTTGTGAGTCCTGATGAGTAGAAGTAGTGGAGAATAGCGTTTACGAGAGTACTAGATTCATTAGGAAAAAAATTTAAAACATTAAAATTAGAATTTTAAGATACCAGCTACATCAAAAAAGCTACAAGATGTAAAATCTCCGGTGAAATTCTTTTTGAGTGTTGTCTTTATCTGCGCTTCATCCTCTAACTACATCGTTTGGTCATTTCTTCTGACCGTCCCATAGTTTCTCAGTCTTATGATGACTGAATGGGTGAAAGAAGATACTACTTAGGACCGGCACCTACATAGACCAAACTTGTTTTTTTATTATTAAAATAGGAAGGCCCCAAACTACGCCCTTCCAAAAAGTTTTACTTTCGGCACTTGTAAATTACTATTAAAGATAAATTCAAGAATGAGAAAACACGATATTTTCATTATAAACAAACAACTTGAAGCAAATTTCGAATAATATTTGGTACAAAATAGTCTTGGAATTAGCAATAGAATATGTGTGTATTTTTTCAGAATTTTTGTAGTGTCACAGAACCAATTATCGCGCAAAATATGGGCTTTCGACTCTAACACTTGATGAATAATCTGGAAAAACTGAAAAAATTCGTGGGCTTTTTCAGTTTTTTATATAGTGAAAGATCGATTCGGAATAAACATGAAAGATAACAGACGTCAGGTTTTTTTTTATATTATAAAAAACAACAGGAATTCTTACATACGTATGTTAATTTTAAATTAAGCATTCAACTATTTAAAACCACTACCTAAACAAATAAGAATAGATGAAGTAAACAAGTGTGCTTTAAAATCGGCGATTGAATTATACATCTTGCTAAACTGAAATAAAAAATAATCAATAATTTCATATATTCAAATATGATCTTGACAGTGAAAAATGTCTAATTATACCGCAGAATTCCAAATTAGTTATTTTGCTCGCTTTCATACAATTGAAGGAAATATTAAAGCAAAATAAAATGAAAATATAACAACCATTTCCGTCCTAATTGTACGAAAAAGACACATAAAAGCTGCAATGTATCAGTAAGAAATCAAAATTTTAGATTTTCTATTTTGTGTCCTCTATAAGCCTATGATAATTTGTTAAGTTTTGTGTGCGAAATATTCAACAGATAATAAAATACGTGATTATTCCTAACTCTATCAATGGAATTTATAAAAAAAAGGACCTCTCATTGATATTGATAATGCCTATTAAAATTGATATTAGATTCGAATGACTTAAATATTAATTAGTTTTAATGGAAAGTTTACAAACATTTTATTCAATTAAATTAATAACGTTATTTTTAATTTGTATCGTCCCAACGTTTTATAATTTTAACAATGCATAAGAACATATTAAATATATTAACTTATCAAATAAGTTAAAATTTTTTTTAAAAAGTTTAATTGCATTCCAGAAATGAACTTACACATAAGAGTAGGAAACAAACTAGATTTCCCTAGAGTTTCCAAAGAATTTATTAAGAAAATACATAGCTTTATCAATATCACTGATAGCTTCGTATTATGAGAATTAATCGTATTATTTACCCCTATATTGTGCTTTTTCATCACACCCTCTTTGACGATATAAAGGAAAGACATTTCCTTGAGCAGTCAGTTTTTTTCCAATCTCAGAACAGAGTACACTTCCGCAGATACAGAAAGCTTACGTAGAAGGTGTTTTTATTTCTTATTTAAGCTTCATATGCCTCTAAGTAATATATTAGTTTCATAGCGGTTCCGAATTCCACTATTTATTTACATTATTTCATAAAAAAGTTTACCAAGGTCACATTAATTTTTAATTTAAATTCCTTTAACTGCAAAGTTTGAATCTTTATTTGTTACAGAGTGGTATTTATAGTTTAATATTGAACGTGTATACAGTGCATTTGTCAGGGCAATTCATTATACCGACTACATCATACCGACTATTTCTCGGGTATAAAACAGCGGGTAAAGCTAGTAAACCCGCATTCAATGCATGATTTGCTAGCTGAATCTTTCAGAGCTTTTCCAGTTTTTTTTGAATAGTATACCATTTTTAATAGACATTTTTGTAAAATTAATTTAAAGTTATTGATTAAAGTAAAAAAAATGTATTGAATCAAAAGGTATGATTTCATTTCTTTTTGATTCTAGGTAAAATCAATCATGTTATCCATCCGTCTTACTCTTTTTCTTTTGGCTATTTTTGTGATCATGAGTGTCAATGCTAATGCCGCTTATCGAAAACCACCATTCAATGGAAGTATTTTTGGCAAAAGAGCCAACTCTATATCAGGTATGTTTCATTCAAGTTTATAGTAAAATAAAATTATTTTTATTTAAAACAAATAATTTTTAATTAAAAAAGAGAAAAGAAAGTATTAGCAACAAATTTGAATTTCACTTAAAACAATGCATCAAGAGATATATGATATAAATACAATATTGTTATTTAAATATAAGAAACTAGCTCCTAAAACAGAAAATAATTTTTTACAACAATAATACCATTATTTCAGTAGACTACGACATGACCAATCGCGCCATGGATGCTATCTGCGAAATCGCAAGAGATAATTGCAACACGTGGTACACTCGTCAGGATTCCATTTAATAATTTTTCACCCCAAGCTTCGAGTATATCAACAAATATCTTCAACAATAATTTCTGCTGATTTTATTGTAAAAATGCTTCTTCTCATGATTTAAATACTAAAAAATTATCAAGTGTATGAGCTATGACAATTAAAAAATAAATTGTTCAAATCTAAAAAGATTATCATTTATTTATAATGCCAAAACCACGTCTTCTTCACAATCATTTTTTTATATTCAAAGTTTTCAAAAAAAAAAAGAATTTTCTTTATTATTTCCGAATAATGACAATGACAATCAATGTGACAATGAATTTTTCGATGAATATCTTCAATAAATCAAGCGGTTTTTTTAAAATTCACCAAAAGTTAAAAAGATCGATATTCCGAGTTTTGTCAAGTATTTTATAACATGTCAACCATGAATTAAACTGTGCAATTCAAAGTACCTCTATTGTACGTGACTGAAATTGTAATTTAATCGATGAAAATGCATATAAAGTAAGAAGATTCTGACTAAAGTTGTCAGTCTCTTAAAATGAAGTTGCTGCAACGAACAAACACTTACATTAGCTACACGTCGTTGGGTATTACCAAAATTTTTCCTTCGTTTTATTGAATTTAAACTCGTATCTTATTTTTTTATACTTCTTTGTCACTTTAGTTTTATTCATAACAGTTTGTTACGCAACACTTCAAAATCAGGGCGTATGGTCGGACGATGTCCCAGCTTTTTTTCTTAAAATTGCAAAAAATATCCCACGAATAGGTAGGAGTTCGTTGGAAAACACGGATAATGCACGTGGCATTGAAAATGTAAGATTTCATTAAACATTTTAAAGTAATTATTCTTTTCACAAATTTGGTACTTTGATTTTAGATTAAATCGTTTGATGAAGAATCATGGTATAAAGACGAAGATAAAATGAGTAATATGTATAAAAGAAAAATTAATATGATTAAAGGTATGGTTTTCCTAGCATCTAATGAAAAAATAAATATTGAATACATTTTAACAAGATTGTTTATAAAAAAAATTATATTTTTAATAATTACTTGGAGATGATCTACAATCTTGGCAACAATTTCCATTGTCCATCGAAGGACCCCCCGAGTTATGGAGAACTTTGGCTGATTATAGTCAAAATCCTGTTCACAGAACATCCACGAAGTGAGAATATAAAATATTTAAAAATTAAACTAAATTGTTAAATAAAATTACTACATTAATTCAATCATTTTAGTTTCAACAGCGATTTATGGACTCGAGACAAAAGAGAAGAATTTTACTAAATTATTTGAAATTCTGTAAAAATGGTGATGGAAAATTAAATAAATGAATCAATAATTTCGGTGTTTTCTAATTTATCTACCAAACCATGGTTTGCTTCCTAACTCACAACTGGTCAATAATATTTCATAATATTTCTTAAAATCAGTATACCGACACGAGTCCTTTCATATCCTACGTCAATATTAAAAATAGTTCGTTAGATGGCGCTAGTCATATTAGATTATAAATTCACGTATTTTGACAGTGTGAATACATTATTGTATACGCCAATAAAATTACATAATCTAAAATATACGTGTTAAATTTAAAAAATCACGAAGTACTTTGTAACTATTCCATTTAGTAACAATAAATTGTGGTAAATCAATAAATCTTAGTCAATAATTAAGAATGTACAGCTTTGCACTCTCCTCAGAGATGGGAAATTTTGAGTTTAATTTACGTAGTTGACAAGTGTGCAAAGGATGTTATTTTATTACAAAGCACGATTTATATAGATAAACGCCATTACGTTACATAGCTTTTCTATGAAAGCTGCTGTTTCTTTCGCTAGTATGCGCCTTGCTATGTTGACCCAAATACCACAAGATGCAATCGGAGATCGTTTCGCGTTCTACCGAGCACGTTTAACACTACAATTCACTAACTGCTCTCAACAGTGTTATAATACTTGACTTGTGATTTTACCTGAATATGAATAAATCGTACACATTTTTCTGACATAATTTCCATTTTTAAGTTTTTAAGATTTTACACTCACTTCATTATGAAGATATTGTTATGGAAATAAACAATTGTCCTCGATATTTCACCAAATATTTTTTCTCCAATTTTTCAAGTAATTTCATTCTGACTTTTGTTAGTAATTGCTCCCGAAAATGACACGCCTTATGGACGTACACGTACTACCTGACAAATTGACTTACCGTTATAACGTTCGAAATGTAAATATAGTCACTCGGTTTGCCAATTTGCATTGAAACTCTCCAAAACGATCAATTGGCATTGGCAAGCATTCACACATATAGGCATGCATAGGTTAACTGCAGTTCTCCGAAAAATCGTAAAGATAAAATAAAAAAGTGGCGAGTTGTTGCACACGAAAGACAATAAAAAAAATTGTACGCGCGCGCGGTGCGCTGTGTCCATCATCGTGCACACACACAGCGAGGTAGGCGTCGAGTAACGATTTTTCCATATTATATTCGTGGTATGTAGAGTGTTTATACAGTAGCGCAAAATTAGACAAAGTGAACGTCGACGCGAATCGGCATAAATTTCATCGAGTGCTCGAATAGAAAAAAAATACATTCACGAACAATGTGTAACGAGAATCTTGCAGTCGTGTGTATAGACGCGCGTTTGCCAAGAAGCTGCCGGCGAGCGACGGTAGGTAATGCAATAAACAAGGCCGATATATAGCACCGATAGAAACGGAAGAAGAAAGCACTGGGCTCCCTCTCAAACGGTTAATATGCACGCCCCCGCGTAAAACTTACCGATGGGCGTTTCGCCGACCCTTTGTCACCGGTCCTGCTGCTGCTGCTGCTGTTGCCTCCTTATCGGTTCAAAAATATCTCATACGTAAGTATGCCCGTGCAAGGCCTAAGGGATATTATTCCATCTTTTTGTTCGACTCTAACGTGCTTAGTCATAGTGGCATAAATTAATGTTTGAATATTTTTGAATCGCGTGGAGATGACAATATCAAACTTGCTCGCTTAAAAAAAAATTATTTTTGTCTCTCTCTCTCTCCCTCTTTCTCCAACAACAGCAACAGCAGCAGCACGCTGACCCATCTCTTCAGCAGCCCATGAAAAATATCTCTTCTCTCTCGGCGGCTCGAGTATCGTGCGCGGAGTACATATTTTTTGTATTTTAAAGCACGGAAAGCGCAATAAATCTGGCGAAACGTAGAGAAATGATTTTCAAGCAGCGCAGCTTGTGCGCGCGTACATACAACGCGGAGAAACAAGAGAGCCTTAAGGCCACATATACCGCTCGTAACTCTTGTAGGTCTTGGGCTTGCGGGTTTTTTTATTTTTATTTTTTTTTTTTACTTTTTGAAGGGATCCCTCTCGCACGCGAAGCGCAGTTGTCTCTTTCTTTCTCGCCAACTTTTATAACCATAACGTCTCCTGGAGAGAATTTCCTTGACTAATTTATTTATACGCATGTAGGCACTTGCGCTCGCATATTTCGAATTTCGCTTTCACTGCCGCTCTGCGCTGGCTCGCGCGCGAACGAGCCTAGATAAAATTTATAGCGCCTCGCTCGTATACATACGCGCATTAATATGAGTTATTATTTATGTACTCGTATGTATATGCGAGATAAGGTATCAGGATTTTTTTTGCTAGTCCCTGTACAGGTGAGAAGCTCGGCAATAGATTTATGATGCCCAACGCGGTGGTCTCTAGTTTTATCAACACGACCCACGACAATTTATCCAAAGTTCCAGTTGATGTTCTTTCAGTCGTAAAAATAAAAAATCCATCAATTATTCGCAATCGGTCAATGACATGGATTTTCCATTATTCCACACGGTTGCAAAATGCACAAACAAGGATCCCATTGTTTTTATTTCTTCTATTCTCTAGAGCCGGAGAGCAGAGTGATTCACGCATTCCAACGATCTAATGGTACTTTTAGCTTGTAATACTGCATGCACGTATAAATGCAACGTATAATCAGCGCCAATAATGCTGAACCGCTCTTGTGTGTGTACATTTCGTCGACGACGTATGTCCTTTACATCAAACAATGTTTCATTATAAATCGTTGCCTTTTGTGTGACTGCATGTGTGTGCGTGCATGTGTATCATCGCGCTGTAATTCCTGTATAAGTAATGCTAACATGGCTGCTGCGGTTTGTAATAACAAACGTTCCGTTCAAACCGAGCGAGCGATGCAGCACCGTCTGCACGAGCTCGATAAATTCTGAATTAATTAGTCCAATGTCGCGGTGAAATATGTGATTCCGACGAACGCAGTGATTCGCAACCTCGCGGAAAACGGCGCAAGTGTAAAAAATCATGCTGCGAGCAGAAAAAAACACAAGTCGTACGAAAAAAAGGCAACTATTATTTTGATGAGTCGCGAAAGACGCAAACAAACCTACGTAATGCATATCATAATTTTTTTGCCGCCTTCCGAATGCACACGTGTAACACAGATCATGCAAAGTCTCGTTCGAGCGCGAGCAATCATCGGTATTTTGTGTACGTATAATACCGGTGTTGTAGGCGAACTTTTTCTCCGAGCGGATTTTACACCTCCGCGCCAAGTTGGGCGAAAAATGTTTTTATCGGTTCAGTGCATCGACGCTCTTCGAAGGCCCATCGATTTCTTTTGTTCGGTCCCGCGCTCGAAGGGAAGATTCACAGTTCTCGTAAGCGTGCCCAGAGGCGACGCGCACCACAACTACACGAGCCGATGCGCTCGCTGTCCGAAAAAGACGCCTCCCCCCCCCTCGTCGTCGTATACAGCAGCAGCATACAACAAGCGTACGCGGTATATATGCGGGATATATTATAAGCGCGTGTATCTAGACGTATACACTTGGCTGCGCGATGACTAACTGCCTCCGTTCTCCGAAAGTTGCGACCCCCCTTGCACCGAAAAAAAGAAAAGATTTGCTTTTAATTGCCGGTGGCGCGGCGCACAAGGGGCTCCTGCTTTTGAGCGTATATACTGCGACTACGTATACCTATAGACATCGACCACCGACAGATATTTTGGTAATAACCGAGAAAAATTTCGGCCTCGGCGCGCTGCGCTTCTTTGTTTTTCGGTGTACGATCGCTGCGCTGAACGTCTGGGGCCCGGCACGATTCGGCTTG